CCCCGTATCGGCTCCGACCCTGGCTCGACCCTGACTCGACCTGGCCCCGACTCTGCCCTGCCCCCTGCTGTTACCCCTATTCCCTTATGTATTTAGTCGCACCTCGCCCTGTAGCTAGCTTGGTAGTTTTCTAATATCCTACGTACAAGGCCTATAGGTGTCATTGGTATTCCCAGGTCTCTGAGTCCCCACGCACTCCCATATGCCTCTGAGTGGATTCATACCGCATTCGGACCCATTGTCTTGCCTGCGCCGTTACACCTATAGGCTAAGAAAAAGCTTCTTTTATAAGTAGAAAGACTAATCTAACTAAGATACTTTTTTCTTAATAGCTGCACTAATAAAGCGCGCTTTAAATGCAGAAAATGCTTTTTTTTTATTTATTTTAAAAGTTTAAAACGCTTGCTGTGCCTTAGTCTTCTTCTAACTAGTAATAAAATAAGCTTATAAAAGCTTTATTATATCCTCTGCACTTTTAAACTAAAACTAGTCTAATTTAGCTAGGTATCCTAGCTCTAGATAATCCTTTGCAATACTAGCTGTGTGTCTCTATATTAATGCTATGTGTGCACGCTTGCTCTAATAGTAATCTAAATTAATGTTAAGTTTATCTATAATAAAAGCTTACTATTATTTAAACATAAGTTCTTTGCTATCTATAAAAATCTTAATCTTAGGCGTGCGTTTAGTAAGGTAAATTTACTAGGTCTAAGAGGTGCCTAAAAGGTCTCTTACACTTAGAGTAGCAAGAGTAGTATAAGGCATTATTAAAAGTAATTTAGTAGTTAGTAAAAGTTAACTAGTAGTTTTTAGCTAAATTAGTTACTTAAGCTATGCTTATAATTAAGTAATCTAATTATTAATAAATATACTACTAGAGGTTAACTCTAAATTAAGTAGAAGTATAGCTTTAAGTGCTATAAAAGCAGGTTTAGCTATTAACATAAATTATTAATTAACTTTAAGAGGCTTGCCTTAGCTAAAGCGTATTTTAATTCTAGAATTAAAGAGTAGTTAGTTAGACATTAGTAGTTACTTTTAATTCTAATAAGTTATTAGTAGTTTTTAGGTTTCTACCTTAGCGCACTTTTTACAACTTTTCTAAAGGTAATTATAATTATATAGGGATAGTGTAAGGACGGGGCTCCGCACCGCTCCGCCAATACAACCAAAAGATACGAATAATCAACCAACGTTGATTTTCGGGTGCAGAATAGTATATATACCTGTCGCACGTAAGCGCCATCTCGGCCTTACAGATAGGAAGTTTTAAACCTAAAAGCTTTAGTTAACTAAAGGTTAATAAGATCTAGTCTATAAACTAAATAGTTTAATATAACAGTGTATAAGTATTATAACTTAAACTAAATTAAACACGTCTTAGGCTTAGATATAGTTAAACAAATAATTAGTGTAATATTATAATAAGGCTGTTACTAGTAAAAGCAAGTTTTCTAATATAATGTAACAGTGTAGGCAAGACAATAGGTCTAAATGCGGAGGGAATCTACTTAGAGGCATATAGGAGTGCGTGGGGACTCTAAACCTAGGAATGCTATTAACACCTATAGGCCTTGTATAAAAGGATATTAGAAAACTACTAAGCTAGCTACAGGGCAAGGTGCGACTAAATACATAAGGGAATAGAGGTAACAGCAGGGGGCTGGACAGAGTCAGGGCCAGGTCAAGTCAGGGCTGATACGGGGGCCTTCCGGAGGTTCCAGGCGACCTGACGATTCATGAGAATCGAGTCAGGGTCGGAGCCGATACAGGGACCCTTTGGATAGGTTCCGGGCGACCCGAGATGGAACGAGAATCGTTACACTTAGTGTATAAAGAATTAGCTATATTAGCTATAGCTACTAGCTAAAGAGAAAATCCTTACACATATAGCTTAAGTATGTGCTTAATAATTACTTACTTTTTATTATTACCTAGCTTTTCTAAGTTAGCTATAAAATTAGCTTATAAAAGTTATTTAGTGTGTTAGTTATTTATTATTTTTTAAAAAACTTTATACATAGCTATAGCATATTATTTTAAAAGTGTTACGTTTTATTTAAAAGCTTAGAGTATAAGCTATATCTAATATTTTTTTAGTATGTCTAAGTAGTGTTATTAGAAATGCATTAGTGTAAAAAAAGTAGTTTAGTAGGGTCTTAGTAAAAGTAAACAACTTAGGTGTGTAAGCAACTTGCCTATAGAGTACGTTACATGTAAATTATTGCTAGAAATAAATTTTATAGCATTTAATTAGTATTAATGTTATAATAAAAAAATTATACAATTTATAATTTATGTAAGGCTCTAGAGCTTTAAAAGTAAAAGGCGCAGATTGCTAAAATCGTGCATTAGGGTACGCGAGGCCATGCATTACGCGCTAAAACATGGTAGGGGTTACTAGATGACTCGGCGATTAGGCTGCGCCATCATGCGGCACAAGACTATACCTTGAATAGGCCTTTGCTCTGAAGAGACTACAAAGTGTTCTGCTTAGATCTAGATCAGAAAAAGCAAAACTTAAAGGAGAGGTGTGCAGAAAAGGGGTTAGTGAGGAGCTCCGCAGCGAGTTGGCGGATGCCTTGTCTCTTGACTCAATGCAAAGCGCGCCCTTCCAAGGAAGGTTGGATCACTAAGGACGGTACACTGGGAAAAACACAGAGGCGGTTTCTTTGCTGACAAAATATCGTCATTGGCTGAAACGGGTCAGACTTACAACAACGTGTACTGGACCTGCATAGCGGATATGCCTCTAGCACCATGATCTTTGTGTGATATGGCTCATGTATAGTATGCCAAGTTTTGTGGTCTCTAAAATACCATCTTTCAATTTTATATAGAGATAAAGCAACGTGGCGTTGGTTTATTAAATACGCTCTCTTCTAGCGTTAACAAAACGTCCACCGCAGATCATGCAACGACCCTTTTGTAATTTTCAGACAATAGAAGTCTGAAGGCTTTTTTACTTGCTATGAAGTATATGGATTGTATTGCACTATGAAAGATAGCCTGTGTGCAGGCTCAAAGTCGTACAGAAATCAAAGTACCTCCTGCTTCTTCCGGCACAAAGGGTTTCCGTAACGCCAGGGGGGAGATTAGTATTCGTTCTGTGCTACGATTATTGCTTCCTACCCAACGTCGGCTTGGAGTCCCTCAAGCCGCGCTCACAGCCTTCTTTTCCTCCAGAGCCTTCCGATCAGCGTGCTGGAGAGCAACAGTCCTCTTGGTATACTTCCTCGAGTCGACAGATGGAATGAAGAGCGCAGCAATAACACCGCAAAGACCAAAAGCCAAGGCAACTTGGTAAGACAAATGTGCGCCCGTCAAGTAAGCCTGCTTGTTTCCGAGCGCTGCTGCTGCCTGAATCGCCGGGGTAATACCGGGGACGGCCTTGTATGCTGCTGCGCTGTTAACTCGAGCAGCGGCAATGAGTTTAGTGAGTGTTGCAGTGGGTAGGTTGTATTTTGAAACGTTTGCGCGAACTCTACCGGGAAGTACGTTGGCATATTTGTTGTTTGTGACATTGCTGAAGATAGCGGTTGCGACTGCGCCAGCAAGTAGGCGAGATGTTCCAGCTAGACCGGCAGCGGTACCACTGAGAATCCGATTAGCTTTGTTTTTAGGATATCGCACTCCGGTCGGTACTTACATATCTTCTTGGTACACAATACCGAAGCCGACAAGTACCATGCCGTTAAGTAAATTGATGGAAGTGCAAAGGGAGATGAAGAAAGTCAGGATAATTGACCTCACGGGGTTGTCTAATGTTGCAGCAGACATCGCACCAACGCATGCAGTCTGGAGGGCAACAGCGCCGAATACCTGCCAGCGTTGGTGACCAATCTTCTTGCTAAACGCAACAACGATGCCACCAATGACAGAGCCCAGGGGCAAGACTTCAGCATAGAGACCTTTCGAGATCTCATCACTAGCGTAGAGAAGTTGCGAAAGGCGGGTCCAAAGTGTGGCATTGGAATAATACTGCATCCCTCCGATAGCCATGACGAGCATTGGAACGGTAAAACTTATAGTTATTAGTACCATTTGCCATCTGAGTAAAAGGTATGATCTTACTGTCGCATAGCCCTGAACAGGCGAGGTGGGAAGAGGGGCTCCTTCATGTTTCCATAGGCCTCGTAGAATCCTAGGGCTACTAAGGTCATGAAACCAATGATAATTGGGCAGAGAGCTGTGGCGCTAATCCATGGATATAAACTGCCACCCCAGCTGACGCCAACAATAAATAGAGTGCATCCCGCAATGAAAAGGAATAGGCCGATCCAGTCGAACTCCTTAAGCAACTGTCTCTTGGTCTTGCCATGCCCTACCTGCTTCTCAGCGAAGGTTGGCGGGTGGTAGAAGAAGAAGAGGAATATTAGATTCACTGCTTGGAATGCGATCATCATGTAGTAAGCATTGCGCCAGGTGTGTGTGTTCCTAATGATGACCCAAGATATCAGAGGCATAATCTGGGCGACCACAGAGGATGCATCGAAGAGGCCAATCGTGACGTGTCGGTACCTGCTGGGAACAATTTCCTACTATCCATTAGTCTTGTGCATATCTGCGGCGAAGAGAACCTTACCTGAACAGCACCGAATGACATTTCAAGGAAGCCAGAGCCCGCACCGAAAATGGCCCCACCGGCAATCATTTGATTGATATTTTGCCCAGTGGCGGAAACAATGCTTCCAATGATGAGGAGGGTCGAGCCAGTAAGGAAGAAATATCGTCGACCAAAGATATCGGACAGACGTCCACCGATAGTCACAAACATGGCTCCACCGAGATTCCAGGAGATGGTAATCCAGGTATATCGAGGGTCGGGGCCGAGGTCTGCATTGATAAAACTCAAGATTGCTGGGGGAATTAGGAGAGTGAACAGGTATGCATTGTAGCACATGCCCATAGACTTTTCTCTCATTAGTGCCTGTGGTCGGGAGGTTTTTAGGTTGCCAAACTCACAACTGCAGCCATGATCGAACGCCATGTCATGCCAACCTCCTCGCCTGTAGTCTGCAGATGTTGCACGATCTGTTCATTGGCGCTCATCTGGTCAAGCTGAACACTGCTGCCCGAGCTATTTGCATTCTCAATCGTATCCACATGCATGATATCGGCCTTGTTGTTGTCAGCCATGATGTCGATGGAGGCAAAATCACGACAAAATAACGGGAGAAGCGGGAAGGACGAAGAATGAGACAAGGGAGACAAAGCTCAAGGCAGGGGACCTTGGGGCTCTATAAGTATTCCTTGCTTTGCGCCGTGTCCTCGGTCGTGGGTTGGAAACGATCCCCGGAACTGCTTCCCAAAAACCTGGGGTCTCCACAAAAAAAACACCATGCCATCGAAGAAACGAGGGGTCCGCGTATGCTCGGAAAACGAATGTAGGGCTACTCGCGTAGTACAGATTTCCGCCACATTCCCGCATTAGGACTGGGCCGTTGTGGAGGTTGGTGGAGGTTAGGTTCTGTGGAGGATGGTGGCTTGGCAACTTGATTCAGTGCGGAAAACTTCAACCGTCTGTGCGTGCAGCCTCATCTCTTGAAATGGGGTTATCGTTGTCCTCATAGATATTTCGAATTCCAAGTTGATGAAAGAGGCGCCCTTGTAAGGCTTGGAAAGGGGGCGGCATTTGGCACCATGAAAAAGGCGGACATCGTGGTTGAAGATGTTGACATAGAACAGTTCGTCAGAATTGGGACAGCGATGTGCGCAGCTGCAACGTGCCATCCCGCTACCGTGGTTGTGGGATTTGTAGCAAGGGGTGATCACCGTTAGATGATGATGCGTTTTTAGGATCAGACCTGATGGATAATTGAAGCTGGTGATGGAGATATCGCAGCCTCAAGGCGGAAGTTGCACTTCCAGACTTCCTTGACGCTAAGACATATCTCCAACTTCCAACCTCTCACAAAAACCCCCACGACCTTATGAAGGTTACTTACAAACGCTTATACGCTTGCATATGTCTTCCAAACGCCACTAGTATCTCTTGTTCTATTCGCTTCACCCCTCCTTAGCGTGAAATCAAAGTCATACTGGGCAACATATCAGGTAGTGGAAGTCTAGCGACGGATTGAAAACTGCCTTTGAATAACGATAGGTCAAAATTGTGAGATTCCTCGGGCGTAAGGAAAGGTTTCATCGTAAGTTGGCAACCTAGCGCTTGAACTGGTGAAATGTTTATGACTAAAAATGTGTACAACAAGGGGAAGGGCTACTATTGATGATCTATGGTTGGTTTCACGCATTTAGATAAAGTTATGCTGATAAAAGTTGAGAAATGGATAAGATAGACAGCAAGGATGGTCTGCTTGTTGCCACATCATTACCCCATGACAATCTCCACGACTAGTGTCCCCGTAGCCTAAAGCACAATCCTAAGAACTTAGATCGAATTCTGATAGCCGGTACTATCCTAGAACGAATTAGAGAAGAACCATTGCCACATGGTAAAGTCTCACTTTCGCCGCCCGAGGCTATGGTATCCGGATAGCCAATTACAGTGCTCACCCACAACATTAATCTGACTCTTCCAAGTTCCGACAATCCCCGGAACTCACACACCACTTGGACACTCATCTCCCCTCCTTCCCTAATCCCTCTTCTCATTCTCCATCGCTGCAAGCTCAACATCTGTCCTCCTCCAGAAATGACTCAAATCACCCACAGGCAGACTAAGTGTCCACCTCATCTCCGCCGCCATCATGACAAAAATCATATACCACCCCAGCACAGCAACAATGAATAACAACGCCCCACCCGCCTTCTGCAGCCTCTGAGCCTCTTTATAGTGACCCGTACTGACCTTGAAATATGCACCCGCCAGCACCCAAGCACCGAGCGTCACAAAGCCAAAGATGCCCGCGAACACGGCATTGATGCGGATGGTAAAGAGCCAGAAGGTGCCGAGAGCGAAGCCCCAGACAAGGAGGTACAGGGCTATGACGGCGTTCATTTCCTTTGAGACGAGGCCTTCAGCGGTGGAGCCGGTGGCAGAGTATGCTGTTGCGAGGCCCAGGGTTGGGAGTTGGAGGAGGCCAAAGGAGAGCCAAAAGACGCAGAATAGGCCGCATACCATCATTGGGAAGAATTGCGCTTGGATCCAGAGGAAGATTGTGGAAAGGAGGAGGAGGACTGGGCCGGTGAAGAAAAAGATACCACTATGAAATTGTGAGTATAAGAGGATGTTTGGGAATACCAGAAGTTGTTGGCTTACGCTACTGCAGGTAACCCACTGGCTCCTCCCCAACCCATTAACACCATACTAAACGTGAAGGTTGAAATAACGAAACTAATGACCTATTCAGATTTTTCTATAAATTATCGCAACTCGAGAGTCCGACATACCCAAGAAATCCAAGAGGCGTAGCATTGGCAAATTGATTCGCATGCTCCGTTGCTTGCGGGATTTTGGGATTCAAATACAACTACAGGTCATTAGTAAGTTCCGTTAAGAGGTCGGAAAGACATTGATAGCATGCTTGAAGGAGGTTTGTATGAACTGAAGGAAAGCTGCAATGAAGACTGACCTTCTCAAACAGCTCCGGAGAAATCGAGATATTGGTAGCAGCATGCGTAAGCGGAACCTCTTTCTCAATCCGATCCGATGCAGTATGCATCCCATTCACGGTCTCGGCTTGGCCCTCTGTTGTAGTTGTCGTCGCCATTACTCTTCGTTAACCCTAGTTTCTTTTATCGGGAAGCACAAGAGGCAAGGTACCAAGATCAATTTAATGGCTTTCACGTATTGAGTTCGAGACTTCTCTCACAGAGACCAAGACACCTTTCAACGAAGTTGGATGAGGGCCGCACATTCTTATAAGGCCCCACCTGCATACTCCGCAAGGTTTCGCCGTGAGCTGGGCTCTTGACCCCGCCGTGATTTTCGAGCTACCCTGGGCTCATATTGTCTCAATCAGACACACACAACGCATCCCGCTCCCTCGTGTAAGACCGATGACACGGTACTTGAACTTCGGGTGAGCTATGGTTCGTCAATCAAGCTAGCAGCGACCGGGGACCGCTGGAGTGGCGTGGATAGATTGACTCGTACAACCCTAGACCGCACAGCAAAATTGGCCGCGACCCGGTCACGGGCGAAAATCAAGGGTCGCCGAGATGCCGTAGGTAAGCAGAGAAGGGTTTGAGTGGTATGGCGTTGAAGTCTTCCCCGCACCAACTTGTGTCATTCGACACCGGCAAAATGTGGGACGAATGCGATTGGTCAGCTTTGCAGGGTAACCCATCTTGGCATTCCTATTGGGATATCGCTCCTCACTCGACAATGTGCGACATCGATGGCCAGTATTTGGCTGTCATGCGTCGGGAGTTGACAAGAAAGTTACGATGTTATTGGATAAAACGAGAGAGGACATCATATACAAATATTCAGGGCAGCGATGGAAAGAAATTCGAGAACAATTATTGACCCCGGAAACAAATTAAAAAAGAAGAAAAAAGGAAAACATAGAGTCGAAAACAGATATCTTGAGCACCCCGAATTGAGAACACCCAAATCCCTGAGGCCTTTTCTAGTTGACTTGGGGCTCCCCATGAAGACGTTAGGAACTTGCTCAGACACCGGAAAACTCACCCCCCACAACAGGCGGCCACCTTTTCTTCAAACCCGAATCATCCTGAGGATAAACCGGCTTATTTCGCTGATAATTGTTCCAGTTCGTGCAGGTATTATACCACTCTGAATTCACCGCCGGTAGCGAAATTTCCGACTTTCTCTCCAAGAACTGAACGCTCAAGCCCATGGAGACATGAAAAGCGATATGGCAATGCATGAGCCAGGCTCCCGGATCTTCATAGGATTAGTGTATGTCAGGGGATATATTAAATGGATTAACTTACTATCAGTTGGGTAGGCGAGAACTAGCCAACCACCACCCGGGAGGAAAGCAACATCGCGACGTGGTGGGTTCGTGAATGTGAGTTGGCCGAGGTTGGAAGAGGAGAATTGGCCCGAACCAGTGCCCAGGATAAAGAAATCATGGCCGTGAAGATGGATTGGGTGGGCAATTGGAGGAGCGGTGGCGGCTTGTTGGACAATCCAGTACGTCCACTATGAAAATTTAGCGATGGTCAAACGCGTGAGGTGGTGGGTTCAGGCAATCATACCTGGGAAGATGACGGAACTTCGACGAGATTGTATGAAGTAGGATAGCTTGTGTTGTGCTCAGCGATATACTTGATGGTAGGCTTCCCTGGGTCCACGATCATAGAGGTGCCATTGATAGTCCACAAGACTACATTCTGGCCGTTAGTCACTACCGGCCCAAAAGCGACAGGGAGGGTCTGAGCTTGGCTAGCAAATTGGGCACTCGGAACATTTAAAGCAATCTTAGGAGTCGAGGCAGGATTGTTACAGCCTGTGGGAGGGTTGATTGGTGGACTAGTGGTCGGGTCGGCGACCGTGGCTCCTTGATAGGTGAAGATAGCGCGTCCAGCTCCATTGTTGGCGCTCTGGCAGTTGGGTTCAACATCGGAACGGAACCAATAATTACCAGACGTTTTATTAGCAGTGATAAGGACATCGTAGCGTTGGCCTGGAAGATATTAGAACTATCCTAGCATTCCCCAAAAAGTAGGATATGATGCGCACCAATGCCGATCTGAATCCAGTTTGTAGTATATGGCACAACCGGGACAAAATCATTAGCAATTACGGTGAAGGTATGATTATCAAGCGCAACTCGCATGCTAGCATCGACTGCAGTATTAATAAGTCGGAGGCGGTGAGTTTTCCCAGGCGTCAAGGTGACCTTGCTGTAAGCTCCACCTCCTTGGGCGTTCTTGTTCGTGCCGTTGATTAGAATGTTGTCACCAGTTGGTGGTGGTCCACCAAGGCCAAAGTTGAATGCACGCGCTCCCGCCTGGAATGAAGTGATGTAGTACCTAAAACCGATTAGTCTACATACATAAGTTGGTGGTGCGTGGAGGAGCGCTTGCCAGTCAGAAAGCGTATAAGTGCCGAGGTCAATGTCATAGTTAGCGGTAGCAGGTCCATTAATGATAATAGTTCCGATAACGCCATCGCCATACTGGCCGGAAAAGTGAGAGTGATACCAGGATGTGCCATATTCGGTAGCGCGAAACTGGTATGTCTTGGCGTCTCCAGGAGCAAGGGCGCCTGATGCATTATTAGTATGCATTGACGAGACACACGTTGAGGCCTTCTCTAAACATACATTCAGTAACACCGTTGGCACCATCCTGGATGTTTGAATTCAACTGACGAAGTCCATGCCAATGGATCGAAGTACCGTTGTGCTGCATCTTGTTGCGGATTGTGATCCTCAAAGTGTCACCTGCCATTGCAGTTAGAAAAGGTGATCGCAGCGATTATGGTGTACGAACCCCAGTTAGCAATAATGACTGGACCGGGCAGCTTGTTGTTGATGAGCAGACAGACTCTTGCGCCGTGCCCATCAGGATTGCAGGTAGTGTTAGTGATGCTCAGATCATACTATATCAAATCAGTGCCTGAGGATTCCCGCCCAGGTACAACAACCTACACTGACAATCCTCCCGGTGTTAGGCCAGGATTGGTACATGTTCGTGTTGATATTAAAACCGGATGACCAGCAGTTCCGACTGGTTGGTCCGTTGGCGCATGCCAGGGCCTGGCGCTCTTCAAGGCGAGGGACGAGCTCACTTCGCTTTTCCACGGCTGGAGCAATGCGCTTCTCCATGCGAGCCCCATATTCACCCCAGAGATATTGGACCTCTCCCGCGACGGGTGTCGCAGAAAGACCCAAGAGGGATACCGCAAGGGCAAGGAAGGACTTCATTCTTGAGCGGAGGAAAAAGGTGCTCGTGCAAAACACGAATGAGATGATAAGAACGTAGTAGAAAAAGAGAAGGAATAGGAAGAGGCAAGCTACCCTTAAGGGTTGCTCGATTGTTGCTCTGGATACCAAAGGAAAGGAACGAGGGGGCTTTATATTCCTCGTGGGCTCTCTGAAAATCCACAATTGATAGCTGCTACGGTACGTCCGTAATGGGAAACATTTCTGCTGGTGAACATAGAGTGCTAGTAAACGCCCTCCTGCAGTGTCTTCCCATCTTGCCGCTGAAGTTTCCTCGTTTTCTCCATGTCGCCTCCGAACACGAGCTCATAAACCACCTGAGCACAAGGGTAGCCATTAGATGCGGATATTTGAGGGTCGTGAGAGTGGTTTGAGGTGTTGGAGGGTGATGATTGCCACTTAGAAGGCTTGCATTAGTGACATGCTTCGCGCTATTGGATGTAGTTGCCCACGAGGTAGGAACAAGGATGACCGTGTCATGAACACGGCGAGGGAGGGCACAGTTCATTCTATGGTGGAATGGTCCAAGCCGGAAGCAACTCTATCATTCTGTAAATAGTTAGCTGAAGAAACGCTTCTCGCGTTTACAACTGGGAACTGCAAAAGATGCTGAGCGCCAAGTTCATGGTTGCCACCTCAGACATGGATTCCTAAAAATAAGCCTTCAAGTAGGGGTATCACCATTAGATTCCGCATGAAAACGGCATTTCTGGACTGCGCAAGGCTAAGCTGATGCCGTGACCTAAGGTTACCCACCGTCGGAGATATCAAAGTTTCTCCGACCGACGACTAGGCCTTGTCGTTTTACAGTAGTAGGACTAGGCAGAAGCCCCTTAGGCAAGACTTCAACTTCACGCCAGGCTTTCGGGACGGACGGATATGAAATTCACGCCACAAGCAAGGGAAGGCGGTTACTTCAGCTGTGCCCTGCAGGTTCAACTCACAGGTGGCCAGCATGCCCGAAGTCCTGGTGTAATGCGGTAAGAATTGGAACCTGGTAGACAGCCGGCTGTGGAACTTTCTACATCGGTCCTAGACAGGCGTGCGAACCTAGCGTCGGAACAAAAGCACTACGATGATAGTCGGTAGCGACGGTGAGAGCAATATCGACGACCTGGTAGACGGAGGAGATAGGTAGGAGATACCAATGACAGGAACCCCTAGCTGATCGTTTCTATAATGGCGGCTACAGCCTTGACAGAGGGGAAAGTTCTCTGAAAATCCATCTGGGTCCCTAGATTCTAACCAAATCCCGGCTGCCCTTGTAGTACAAATGGCAACGCTCTAAAGGAACGAGAGTAAGCGCGTTACCGTCCCGCTCTAGTGCCGACCCCGCAGATCCCCTGCTCTATTTAGGCAGTTTTCTGGTATTGCTTACTGAATGTGCGAGTTCTAGCACCTCTAACCGCGATGACTCTTCCCAACTTCTAGTTTTGAAGCTTTGCAGCAGGGCGGATGCGAGAAAAAGGATGTACAATTCGTGGGATGTACTCATGTACTCAGGCGGAAATCTCCGTGGGCTTGCAGGCGTGTCGATACGCCTCATTATGATCTGAGTTATGATTGCTTTGGCTGAGAGTGCTGAGAAATCGATTGCCGCTAGCGAAAGGTCGTACTCAGGGACCTAAGGGGAGTTAGCCACGTGGCCCCGGATATTGGAATTCCCTCACTTTGGGTACCTGGAATGTGGTAAGCTCCAGGTTGAATGGGGACGTGGGTTAAGGAAAGGGTCATGAGATGATATGATGTGTTGTATAGGGGTGGTTAAGGGTTGCACAACAGGTGACTGGGGTGATGGTTCGCAGAGGCCCCTCTTAAAATACCAATAACAGAGCTCGGTCCAGTCTATCGAAGTTGGGGAGTGGCCTCGAAAGCGGTAAGTTGACTCGGCTCGATGGGTTCCGTGAATGGCCATAAATGCCCAGATCTCGTATCTGCCGTTAGGTACCTGTCAGGCAGTATTAGGTTGTGAAGGGGCGAAGGCATCCCGTCTCATGCGCACATGGCGGGGAAGAAAAGGCGAAAGATGACGGGAGTGTCAACGAGATATGGATGGTTAGGGTCCGGCATGAGGGCTTCGGAATGTCCATGAACAAGAATGTGCTAGCGTGCTTCGTCATCGGATCGACTTAAATCGAATACGGTCCGGGCGATCCCGCCCCGGGCACCAATGCTCCCCCTAACCACGCGCCTGGGACGCCTCTTTTCAAGCTCCAGGATCCGAATCCCTGCTGACACCACGAGGGACTTGTGCATTGTGGCTCAGGAAGGCGGGGCTGTGGTGGACCAACTGTGACCTTGCGCAGAAGGTTGTGGGGCTAGAAAACGCGAAGCGACCTAAGCTTTCTGATGAGAGAGTTTGAATAGCAACAGTGTCTTCTAAGAGAGCTATTACTTTGGATATCACAACAGATCGGCGTGTTTGTGCCCTGCATTTGGGGATCTACTCTTCTTTTCAGTAGAGGGGAGCTTCACTCACTTGACCCCACTTACCAGCTCGGAATTCCGAAGGAAAAATAACTTGACCCCCTGCTCCTCGTAAACCTGCATGCCTCTCAACACGAAACGGGGTGTCATCCTCGTCAATTTCTTATCTCACGCCTGACTCCCAAACAATAGTTTTCCTCCAGTCTCCTGGGCTGGCTGCCGATGCGCCTCGCTATGTTAAGGGTTATGTTGTAGTAGGTTTTTGAATGAGATGAGCGGGCAAATGATTAGAGAGACGTTATCTCCGACGCTGGCTGTCGGGTAGCCGCCATGCTACTTCTTTTAATAAGCCTGTGCAGGAGTCGCGCGCGGCACCGGGACGAGCCTAGCAAGGAGTAATAGATAAGCATGTTTCTCTTGAGGTCATCAAACGAAGGATTCGTGGAGAGATGGGGTGCAGCACTAAAGCGCCACGGAGGTTCATGATCGTCGCATCTGCTCACACTTTGGCCTATCGATTCCAAGCAGATGACTTGAGGGTCGAAATCCCGTCACATCGGTCAAGGGATGCCGAAGCAAATGTGCCTCTAATCTTGGTCAGTCTGCGAACGATCTTTCGCGAAAGGACGCATTAGTCTTACATAAATGCAACAAACTGCTGAGGTCAAAGACGGGAACAAGATAGGCGTCCAACTAGATACGCAGGAACATTCCTCCAGCTCACAATGGAAATATTAGAGAACCGCCCAGTTCCGACCCGATTTCGGCCCGGAAGTCGCACCTCCTAACATCTATTGCAGTGGACGTGAAGACCCCGGAAGGTATGTATGCAGGAGATGAATGTGTAAGAGCTGATTCTCGCAGCGGGCTGTCCTTCACTGGCCTCCACGATACTCGAGGTGGACAGATTCTGTGTTGACTACAGGGCATTAAAGTCCTTCGTGATGGAACAGGGGTCATCAAGATTGTGGCGTTGTAGCCGCCATCAACGCCACAGGGCCTTTGGCTTAGGTGCGCCAAAGTTTGGTGGGAGTTGATGGTTCAAAGGCCCGACATTCCGTCCGACGAAGCATGGGAGATGTCGAAACGAGATGCATGCATATCGGAGGCGGAGTGACCCTCTCTCCAGCCCTGGCGGTATTTCTCGGACATTACTTTGGCCCTTGGATGGCATTGGTGCATGCATGAGCTGGGAGGCAAGACTGGCCAGACACACCTTTGAGACTTCCTTACGGTAGGGAAAAGTATAAGCGGAAGGTGCTATGTTCGAACATAAGGTAGCTTCCGTCAATCAAGACTCGGACGAAAATATCTCCTTAGAATAGTCCAGTAAGTATCTAGCTATATCAAGCTTGAGCTCAACCAACGGTGGTGTTCGAAGTTTTGACCCCACCAAGTGAGATCTTTCGGGCAGTCACTGAACCGCGTCCGGGATTCGGAGAGATGGATTCGTCAAGGAACCATAATCTAGGCAAGGAAAGTGGGCCCCGAAAAAGGATGTAAGGCATTTAGATTGAGCTGATGAACAACTTCTGCATCAATCCGTATGGAGGCCACCCACGAGTCATGCTGCATGCAATGAAGTCTGTCATTTCGAGGGGAATGGGGTCGTTCGTCGAATGGAGCCATTGCGAGGACTTGGCATGAGATGAGGAGTTACCTGGATCCTATAATCAGACACAAAAGGCGGGCACAGAATGGGCTGCAAAATTATGATAGAGTGAGGCGAATGAATGTATCTTGAATTGATACAGTTCGATTGTAGTGACGTTGAGAGTCTGAAGGGCGATGTGAGGAGGATCGTAAGGGAACTGTTACGTAATCAATGCCAAGGCACAAATATCCTTCCAAGCGTGAAACTTTTCTGCGTTTGCGACATTACATCCTCGATCAAACGAACAGATTGTCCTACGTACCGTGTGTATTTGCCCGAAAGACAACGGATATCAGTATTCTGCGATAACATGGACAAAAATTCCAGCTTCCTAAGCAGTTGCGCCGAGATCCCTCGGTTCTTTTCTAGCATGCCGTTCACCTTGATAGCTGATAACAGCTGCGAGATTCTATATGGATATGAGTATAAAAGGAGGACTTGCGGAGTCTTTAAAAGGAAATATAAGAGTCCGGGTAGTGGTAAAAGGAAGACTTGCTCATCAACGGAGCAGACGACCACGGGACAGGGTTCGACTGAACTTTAATGGAATCAACGATAACGTGCCCCACATTCCTTCTACCGATTTATAGACAATCATACCAGACATCTGACTCTAAAGCCTCCTTGCTTGCTGAGTGAGCGTACCCATACAGTTAGAGGGACCGTCGTCGCGTGAGAGAAATTTGGGGCAGTATGCATCGGAAGGCCACTGAGCGAGTAGGAATTGCCCCACGACTTGTCAGATCACAGCTCTTTTGTCCTGCTCCCTGTTGGGATACTGCCGGCAGCTACCTAAGTATAAGGATGAGGGAAAGTACGGGTCGTGGCGTTAATAGTGCAGGCCGCTCCTACGCCAGCGGAGCATCCGCAAGAGCTGACGTACTCCTTCTACGCCATGCTGCTTACCTCAACTGCGCGAGTATCTTATGCATACTGGCACTTACGAAAGAACACGACAAGGACCTGATTTAGGGTAGAAATTGGCATTCTCTTAACAAATTCCTCGATTCCGGAAAGGGTATAACTGATCAATTCCGTCCTGGCCAAGTTCCGTGGTCTGCGCTTGCATGCTGAAGGTGATCTACACGCCACGGAGTTATATTCCCCTGCCAGCCAAATGAGTTGGAGAACGATACAGTAATACATAATCCCCACTCCGACCCCATCCCTCCATATCCTTTTATTTCCACCATCAACACTGACATCCGACACCAAACCTGAAAGCACACCAATACATCCGGAGCCCCGGTCGTCGCATTCGAACCTCAAGACTCAACCAGCAGCAACGTCCCAACCCCTCCACCCCTTCATCCTCTCCCTACACTCACGTTCATAAACATCAATCCCGCCCACAAACGTCATGTTCTCGGCCTTCTTCCCCGGTATATTCCCACCAGTCCACCACGAACTCGTAAACGGATACAGCGTATGTTGGTTCATAGCATTTATCATATCCTTCCACTCTGTTTCCGACTCTAGGGTGGGTTCGATGACAGGCGCTCCCGTTAGTGCTTTCATACCCTCCGCGCCGGTGCTAGTGTTGGGGGAAGTAGTAGAAGCAGACGATTGCGCAATTAACGAGGTGATAGTATCACATATAAAATCAGTCTGAGCTTCTAAGATGGTGGGACCATTTGATAGCGCGGTAGGTGCTTGTGGTGAGTATACCATAAACGCATTTGGGAAACCGTGAATCATCATGCCTAGATATGTCTTCACACCGTCTTTCCAAACATCTTTTATATCCACACCGTCTTTGTTTTTCAGCCCCATGTGCGTTAGCGATCCCGTGAATGAGTCGAAGCCCGTGGCTAGGATAACGTAATCGAAGTCTCGCGCCTGGGCCTCGCCGGAGAGTTGGATGCCGCCAGGCGTGAAGGTAGAGATGGGGTTGACATTAAGGTCGATGATGGAGACATTAGGTTTGTTGAGCATTTCGTAGTAGTCGTTTTCGAGCGGGCAGCGCTTGGTACCGAAGTAGTAGGGGGCCGTGTCTGGGGCCATGAGAGCTTGTTTTCCGGGATCTGTTAATCTCTCTCGGATTTTCCTGAAGCGGGTATTTCGGTCAGCGAGCTGCTTGGTTCTATCTGAGGATTGGTGTTGTTGCGGGGGGAATAGGTTCAGTACCCACCTTTTCCAAAAATCGTAGACAACCTTATTCGCCTCCTTATCCAACATAACATTACTATAATTTCTCAACAGAAACTGAAATCCTCCACTCCCCCAAATCTCCTCAAAATAGCCCTCCCTCTCTTCCTCAGGCACATCTTGCACTCTTAACTGCGTCCTCGTCGTTGGGAACCCCACCGCAGAATTCCTTCCCATGCTGAACAAGCTAGGGTAATACCCCTTCCACCCCGTCTGCTCTTCTTCTGTAAACTTGCGTTGCCCCATGGGAAGACAATACGAGGGTCGACGCATCAGCATAGTAAGCTGTCCTGCTTCTTTGGCTAGTTCCTGTACGATTTGAACGGATGTCGCGCCGGCACCAATGATAGCTACCTTCTTCCCTTTAACACTTAAATCCTCGGGCCAGAAACCAGAATGGTGTATCACACCCTTATAACCCTTCAATCCAGGAAACTCGGGATAATGCCGTCGATGCAACAACCCCGTCGCAAGAATCAGCCACCGCGCTGACGCGGTTTCCCCTCCCTCCGCGGTCACGGTCCAGTCCCTGCGGTCTTTATTCCAGGTCGCGCTATTCACGCGGGAGTTGAAACTCACGTCTTTTCGTAGGTCGAGTGTGGAGTCTAAATGGGCCATGTATTTGCGGAGTTCGCGGTGGTCGGGGAAGCGGCTGGAGAAGTTCCAGGATTTGTAGGCAGAGGGGATGTTGAGTTGGTAGAATGGCGTTTCGGAGTCAACGCGGGCGCCGGGGTAGCGGTTCCAGTACCATACGCCGCCGAAATCGGAACCTGGGTAAGGGTTGATTTCTTAGTGTGGTGTGGAGGAGAAACTTGGGGGAGGTTGTATGCGGAAGATAGACAGTTTTGAGATGAACAGGAGCAGAAAGATACGGTCGAGGAGCGGATAAAAGTGTAGTAAAACTCAAATACAAACAACTTTAGGGCATGGAAATGAACGACGGTAACCTGTTGAAAGCAATCCGAGCATGCGATTTTACCTACCTGCTTCAAACACATGCACCTTCAACCCATCATTCCTCAACCGATGCAGATTCGAAATCCCAGAAAACCCAGCTCCAACAACGATAACATCGTATTGCCTGGGAACGGTAGTATCGCCTTCCGTTCCACTTATGGAACTCTTGGGGATTGAAGCCATTACAGGCAGACAAACATATCCTAAAATTAAAAGCTGTGGATTTGTTGGGGAATAAGAGAACCGGGGGTGATGAGAGAGATTAAAGGATTTGCCGGGATTGGAATATCCAAGATGAAAAGAGAGAAGGAAAGGGATCAAGGAAGTGAAACGATGGGCCATAGGTCATTCCTACACGACGCCTATATCTACAGGTCACACTGACAACCTTGGAGCTTAATCATTCGCCATGGTACTTGGCTGCACTCATTGAACAAACACTTCCTTAAAAAGACCACCGATCGTCAGTTTCAACTGGATCCCCCTATATCTAACCACCAATTGGTCCCACCCGAATGCCTAAATTTCAAATCGAGCGAGCTTGCAGTGTGAAATTCCACGCTTGTCCTGGTGCTGACGCTAGAAGAAGGGGGTGGGATGAATGGGAGTTGGGAGTGCGGGGCAAGCCGAGGCATAACGTTTCGACTTTCCTAACCGTACGTTCTCCGCTCACAACGTTCGTAATTCCCGCTGCGGCTAACCATGATCAGTAATGATTCAGACCTCACTCCGGATTCCTGACTTGGGTAGTGGTCTGAATCGTTGCCGGCGACGTCAGTCCGGTAGTGTCGTGGTGCCTGTTCTGAGCCAGGATGCGCCATCTGGAGAGAGATGCAATGGACGGCTCTGATGACATGATCGTATATTTCATATAATCTAGTATCGGGGCGGTGGCCGCGAAAGGTCGAATGAGTCAGGACCTTTCAACTCCCTATTCAGTGCTATTTCAAATGCAGATGCCTGCCTCACTTTGAATCTCCAAGAGCTCAGCCAGTCCAGTATGAGGTGCGACCATAAATCCGCCACCATCCAAAACGCTTTACCGAAAGACTTTTTCCAAGATAACAAAAAATCTAGATGATGGAACTCAGCTCAGATGTCAGACGGCGAGATCACAGCCAGAAGCTGAAATGGCCGACGTGGTGTCTAGAGCCGAATCCGAAGTTGCCGTTAGCGCAAGTCCCCAATATTCAGACCAATCGAGAATAAATCACCTCACTCCTCATCACTAGTCTCGTCCTCGCTATCCGCCTTCTTGCTCTTCGCTTTTCCCTTGCCCTTCTCTTTCATGCCCTTAGCCTTCGCCTTCTTCCTCTCAACCTGATCTCCAACCCTCTCCCTCTCCGACTTGCCCCGATCCTGTAGTTCAGCTTCCAATTTCTGGAACTCTTCGCTCTCAACATCCATACCCACCAACTTCTCCAATAACTTGATTTCGCGTGCCCAGATACTCTTATCCTCGATCTTCTTTCCCTTCCCATCCTTCGAATCAATAGGAGTCTCCAGGACCATAGGTAGCCCATGAAGACGCTCATCATTGACGATGTTGTGGAATGCGCGGAGACCGAGATAGCCAGTGCCGATTTGGGCGTGGAGATCGCGATATGAGGTGAAGGGCGATTTGCTATCGTTCATATGCAGTGCTTTCAGATACTTCAATCCAATGACCTCGTCAAATGTGCTCATAGTTTCTGCGTAAGCATCTGGGGTTCGGAGATCGTATCCTGCAGCAAAGATATGGCACGTGTCGAGGCAGACACCTACACGCTTCTTGTTGTTTACCAAGTTGATGACTTCAGCGAGGTCTTTGAAAGTCCCGCCGATGGTGTTGCCGAGTGAGGCCATGGTTTCCAAGACGGCGACTACGGAGCCAGTGGCGGGGTCTTTGTGCGCGGTATTGATGTGTTCGGCGATGAGACGGATGCCATCTTCGCGAGTCGTGGCATTGCAGTTGCCGGGATGAAAGTTATAGAGACGAATACCAAGCTTGTGACATCGAGTCAGATCGTCATGGAAGGAGTCGTAGGCTTGTTTCTTTCGTGATTCCTCTGGATGTGCAAGGTTGACAAGGTAGGAGCCGTGTGGTAGACAAGAATCAGCGGGATCGATGCCGTGTTTCTTGCAGCCGTCGATGAAGAGTGCTCCATGCTCGGGATCCATTGGGGGATTGTCCCATTTGCGCTGACTCTTCAGAAAAAGTGCGAATGCATTTGCGCTGACTTGTGTTAGCGGGGGGGGGCCTTAGGGAGGACGAATACGCACCCTATGGTAACGAGGTTGGGGATTGAGTTATGGACACCTAATTTTCGTCCCGTGAAGAGTCAGCCTATGATCTTGAATGTGGAGTATGCAGCATGACAACAATCTGGACGGGTGTAATTGTAGTCCTTACCTCCTGCGATGCTCACATGCGCACCAACGCGAAGTTTAGTATCCAGAGTCCTCTGCTCGAGGGCGGCAAGATTGGTCTGTTTCTTGCTCGTGGTGCGCTTGCGCTGCACTTTCTTGACTTTCGCGCCACCGTCATTACCTTCTTCAGCTTCGGCCATGACTTCATCAACTGAAGCTTCCTCTACCCTCGCCTTCTTTGTAGACAGTCCCTTGTGCTTGGGCGGCTCCTTAGCCTCAGATTCGGCGTCCTCTTCGTATTTGATTGCCTTCTTCACGCGCTTGGAATTCTTCAGGGTAGTCTCTACCTTGCGCTTCTGCCCTCGTCTATTGCCAGCAGTCTTAGCCACGAGCTCAACTTCGGCCTCAGCCTCCTGGGCTGGACTGTCATGGCTTGTTTGGGATCTGATATCCTCTGGAGGAGGGGAAAGAGAGGATAGCGACGATGATTCCCGAGAGGGAGCCATTGGGGTCGCGGGTATGAGACTATTCGAATGCGGTAGTGCAGGAGGGAAAGTTAGTGTGGTGTAGGTGCGACGGAGGTGGCGAGGGTTCGAGTGTAAATGAAGGAGGTCTGCTGTGAGATTGAGGGTGAGCGATTGCTTTGCAGTACGTGGTAGAGCCGTTACGTTTAGGGTAGTTGCGACGGCTCTCTTGCGCTTCCGGCCCGGGGTTCGTTCTTGGGCCTGGTGTCGCTATCAGTGATCGCCGTCGCCAATTCAATCGGATCAAAGAGCCCGAGAAGAGCGAGCACAATTGCGACCACCGGAGCGATTTGCACTGCTCTAAGGCGTTATGGTGATGAATCTGCCCAGCTAATGGACTTGATGAGGAGAGGCGACTGAAGAAGGTGCGCCGAGGGAACGAGGGGATAGTGCGTGACAAGGAGAGAGAAAGAGGAGTGAAGATATTATACCGTACCATGCAGTCCAATATATGGCGGTGAAGACAAGGCCACAATTGGGCGGAGATGAAGGCGAAGGCGAAGGTGAAGGTGAAGGTGAAGGTGAAGGTGAAGGTGAAGGTGAAGGTGAAGGTGAAGGTGAAGGTGAAGGTAAAGGTGAAACGCAAATGACTGGCTGGCTGGAAACGCGTCCCAAACTCCGAGCGCCGACGCCCGCTCACGTGCCTCTGTACCCGACCCCACCATCTTATCTTATCATCAAATCTAAAAACCAAATTTCCATGTCAGCGAAATCAGCCAAGACACCAAGAATTCGACCAACTCAATTCTGCTCGACACACCCTCTTCCAGCTCCTATCTTCTTCCTCTCCCTCTATCACAATGCCAAAAGCCAAACGGAAGAACCATGGCGGCGCTGAAAGCTCACCCTACGCCAAACCCGCTGCAAAAAGCGCGACAGCGAACTCGATATTCAAGATGAACACAGATCTCGGACAGCATATATTAAAGAATCCGGGTGTAGCAAGTGCCATCGTGCAGAAAGCGAATCTGAAGCAATCTGGTGCGTATATGTCATGATTTTATCAATGCCCAAACGCTAATTTCGGTCTACTTTTTCAGACCACGTCCTCGAAGTCGGTCCCGGAACGGGCAACCTCACAGTCCTCATACTCAAAGCCGCAAAATCCGTGACTGCGGTAGAAATGGATCCGCGCATGGCTGCCGAGCTCACGAAGCGTGTCCAAGGTACACCCGAAGGCCAAAGATTGAAGGTCCTACTCGGAGATGTCATCAAGACGGAACTGCCCTACTTTGATGTCTGTATCTCCAACACCCCCTATCAGATCTCCTCGCCCTTGGTCTTCAAGCTATTGAGCCTGCCACGGCCACCCCGGTGTTGCGTCCTCATGTTCCAGCGCGAATTCGCCATGCGTTTGTTCGCCAAACCCGGCGAAAAACTCTACTCGCGCCTCTCAGTCAACGCGCAGATGTGGGCAAAGATCAGCCACGTTATGAAAGTCGGACGAAACAATTTCAATCCCCCACCCCAGGTCGAGTCGAATGTCGTGCGAATCGAACCTAAGAACCCGCGGCCGCAAATAAGCTATGAGGAATGGGATGGGCTGCTGAGAGTATGTTTCGTGCGGAAGAACAGGACGCTGAGGGCGGCATTTCTGGGCACGAGTGCGGTCATAGATATGTTGGTTAGGAACTACAGGCTCTGGTGTGCCCAAAACGACATCCCGCTCCACGATGGACCAGCTGCTGGAGAAGGTGAAATCGAGAATATGGACACCGACACAGCCAGCGCCGAGGAAGAGGAAGAGTGGAATGGTATCATGGACGTTGACGAAGACGGAGATGAAGTCCCCAATTTCTTTGCAGAGGAGAAAAAGAAGGGCACTCTTGGCAAGAAATCAAGAGGTAAAGTGACAGACCTGGTTAAGGAGAAGATAAGAAAGGTGTTGGAAGATGAGACGAAACTGGCTGAGAAACGGGCAAGGATGTGTGATGAGGGCGACTTCTTGAAGCTGCTGTATGCGTTTAATCAGGAGGGCATTCACTTCAGTTAAGAGGCAACCAGTGGGCAAGGTCAAAGAGATGGATAGAATCTCGCATTCATTTTATGGAGTCCAGAGGTGGCTTATGGGATCTGTTGGCATCAGGGCATACCAAAAACGCGGCATTAGCGCAGGTGTTTATGGCAGTGGATGGGACATAGAGAAACATTTCACCACCCCATCTACGAAATCTGTGAAGTTCTGAGGTACTATCTGCTTGTATTTTCCCATGCCAGCTCAAGTCAAAGGGAAAATGGGGTAATACCTGTAATGTATTGTACAATACCACAAGTACAATACATGTCGACGCAGTGCTCACGCTTACAGTTACAGCTACTAGCACTGACGATATTGCGGATGCATCCTAGCCGCCGTGGAAGCCCCACATGCACTCGCGAGACGTCGATCCAAATAACTAATCTTAGATAATCTGCGTCATCTCGCTCCGGCAAGCTTGGTGCCAGGGAAAATGTGGTCTGGTCACTTCAGATCAGCAATTTACGCCTGCGGGACCCCGAACCTAGTTCTAGTCCGGTCGTTTTTGGGGTATCCTGGAAGCTACCTAAACGCTTAGGATAAGTGCTCCATAGCTTATTTACCTGCAGACCTCCGGCGTCAAATTCTGTCTTGAATCCCAATCCCCTTATGCGAATTTTAGCTATAACAAGATTGGTCATCTTGTGTAAAAGTCATTCATTCTAGAATGCCCCCCCATCTTCACATTACCATTTTCTCATTCCCTTTCCCGCCCAATCCAGAATCTCAACTCTAACTCACCCTCCACCTTACCCTTAAACACTGCAGATCCAATAGCATCAACTCCCATTCAGCAGAGTCTATCATCCACACCCTCAACCTAACCGCTAGCCTTGAAAAAGACTGCTACACCAAAACCTTCGCTGACCTCACTGTAACCAACAGCAACCACTCCGCCACACCGAAACATACTAACTTCTTACCAGCGCTGCCCGCCTCTCCTACTGGCACCGTGTCAATTCAACGGAGACCTGGCATTATTGCGCGGCGCACCGCTACGACTTGACTTATCTTACGATGACGGGAAGCCTGTGAAGCGTGCGGTGCTGGGGAAAGAGATTTTGAGGGCCAGAGGCCCCAGGTTGTGGTGCACAGGATGCAGTGGCGGAGAGCGGAAAGTTTGGGGGAATAAAACGTTGGTGGGGAGGTGATTGAGTTAAGGGAAGGGGTGGAGAGGTGCGTAGATGAGGTCAAGTTTACCTCGAAGTGTGGGAGTGGGGGTGTTGAATCTGGTTACTAGATTGCGTTTGCCTGGCGTGATTTCTGCCAATTTAATTGTATGTAGTCGGGAAATTTCCTAGATTGGCCTGAAGGACAGCCTCGCTCACATGTTGCAACAAATGTTGCAAGGATTGAGCATAGCCGCACTTGCCCTAAACCGAGCAGGGGTTGGCGGAGAAGTCACGACTATATATTACCCATCCGTATCAATACTTGTCCCTCGCATATCCTGTGCGTAATGAACTTCACGACAAGAGGGAATCCCACAAATGCGATAACGCTTGTAGATCGCCAATCACCTAAGCAATACTACAATTTCTCTCAACAATCCCGGATCGTGCATAACCAACCAATCCACTAATGTCCCTTCTAATCCCCCAACTCCCCATCCTCTCCGCCAACGAGCCCGACATTCTGGGCCTCCCATATCCCATCCGCGACCAAATCTACACTCTCCTCTTCACAGACGCTGAAATCGTCGTCCGCTGCAGAGACGCATGTTGTAACTTCCTAACTACAGTCCCTGCAATCAGTCGTCCTTCCATTTTCGCAATCGCCCAGACATCCAGATTGCTAAGGCAGGAAGCATTACCGAGACTGTTCCACCTAGCGATTTTCGATATCGGCCGGCTAAGGGGGCATGCCAAGAGCGGTGAGGATGGAGATAGAGCTAGGTTTGGGGCGGCCTTCAAGGATATGCGAAGGATGTGCGCGCCGACTTTTTTGCTGCCGAAACTAGGGCTAGACTTCGAGAAATTTGTCTGGTCGATACCACCCGAGATTGATAGGGGGGGTTTGAGGGAGTTGATGGTGGTGGAGACGATTTCGGCTTGTCATTGTGATCACGTGCCGCTGTCGGAGACGTTCAAGTGTGAGGTTCAGACATGTAAGTCTGATTTGCTCAGTGTTCCTGCCGTGGTTGGGGATAGGTGGGCACGAGGTAACTAACTGACGCCCCCGCAGCTGATGGAAAGTTCGTCCGAGAAATCATCAATAGTGTAAAAGAAATGCCTTTCTCTGTGTCTTTCAACATAGAGCTGAGAGAGCATTGTACTGCGGTAAGTACACAACTGAGTTAATTCCCCTCCCACACTCCCCCTCCATCCCCTAAAAAAGGCTAATTGTTCCGTAGTGGGCAAGCACAATCTTCTCCATAAGCCCAACCTTAGATTTCCGCATCACAGAGTGGAGCAATTACTACAGCCTGCACACTATGATCCTGCAATTTCTAGAAGATGTTGGGCTTGCAGATAAATTGATAGAAGTTGGAAAGAGAGTGGAAGATGATGAGCGCCAGGGGAGCGATATTGAACGAGGCGAGCAGGTAAGTGAGGAGGTAGATGTGAGCTCAATTTGAGAAGACTATCTGTAGCCTTGCAAGGAGGGGATTACTTATAAAAGAAGTTATGTATTGTGGACTGAGAGCCTGAGGAGCTACGTGATTTATATAGTATGGTGGGGCGCTAAGCCTAAGGTTGATTGGCCAGCCTATCGTAGAGACCTCCGGCTTACAGTATCTCGAAGGCCGATTGAGGGTTCAAGAATAGGGCAGAGCTCAAATTAGGTGATGAGAGACAGACTAGGTGAGTTGGGCGATAGTGTAAGGTCTGGTCTAAGGAGCTCGAGAGGAATCCAGGGCGACTGGAAAGAGTACAGAGAGGAGCTAATGAGTGACTAGTGCAACGCATGGGCGCAATATCACATGCGACAAAGACATCTATCGATACACCCTGCTTTGGGAAAGGAAATGAGGGTTGGGGGGATAAGTTAATTTGAAGAGCTAAGTTCGAGGTAGTGCGAGCTGGTTTCGAAGTTAGGCACCGTACTAGCGAGGGTTATGTGACTCTATTTCACACATGAGGGGGGGGAAACAGTAGGTTATGTCAAATCTGCTACCAAATACCTTTTGGCATATAATTCAAGGTATCTCTGAATCATATTTCATCTACCTCCCTCATCCCAGCTCGCCAAGTAACCTTGCAAGTCTCTACCACGCGGGCAGATAAAGAAAAATGTAAACTCATTAGCGGGTAGGTAAATTTCCAAAACGCGTTTCTCAACGCCATTCTGTGCACAGTTTTCAGTCCACACCCCTGTTCAAGCTCAGGATGGCTAGTATCAACCCTTTGGTCCTTCCTCACTCAACATCAACAACCCTCTTCTTCCCTCTATCCTTCTTCTTCACCACCGTCTCCGTCACACTCCTCACACTGTCCACGCTGCGTTCCATAGTCCCATACCCCGACGAAGGTCCCCCGATTCCAACACCGGTCTCAGTCGTGCTCTCGTCCGGCGTAATGAGTAAAGGTTCGTCTTCTTCTAACCCAGCCTCGTTCTCCACATCTCGATCCTTGTTAATGATATCGGTGTATCGATCGACACTCCGACCTCCTGCCCACTTCGGCAGTGTTATTTTGCTATTTCCGGGTGCGAAGTGGTCAAGGAAGGAGTGACCGGATCTCGGCAATCCATTGCTTGTCCGATGTTGTTCTGCCCCAAATCCACGACGACCACCGCCAAGCCTACGGATGCCGTCTCTCTCCCCTTGCTCCTCCCCAAATCCATCCATAACTCCACACTTACCACAACCCCTCATATCCCCTCTCTCTTCTATCTCCCTCATCCACTCTTCCTTCTTCCTCGCCATCAACTCCTTCCAAAACGCGACCGCATGCATCACACTAACCGCCAGATTCGCCAGATTCGCATATGCCTGAAACACGACACTAACATTGCCGCCATAATACCGGTTCCGCCACCCACTGTTAATGAAGAAAAAGGTGACCCAGAAGAGCCATTGGAGGGCGAGTGTGAGGAGGGTGTCAATGATGATGAGGAATTTCGAGGGCCATTTGTAGTGGGGCGGGGAGGTTGTGAGGGCGTTGTAAGGTGCGTTGGTTGCGTTTGGGTGCTGGTTTGAGCTTGGGGTTGGGTAGGATCTAGTGCGCTGTGCTGTTCTCGTTTGTCTCGCCCCCAAACCTAATGGTTCTGGTTCTGGTTCTGGTTCCGCTTCTGGTTCCGCCAATATCGCAGCTGGCCTCCCCGTCGCAGAACCCTCCGGCACAATCCCATCCCTTAGCGTAAAAACATACGACGCCTTCGCCGCCGCATATGTGACTAAATCATGCAGACAGAAAACAAACGAAATAAAAAGCAATATTAGAGAAACGATAAACGGGCCAGCGTCGTAATCATTCTCCAGGGTACCAACCGTGAAAAGATCGAGAACGAGACCGGCGATAGCAGTCCATATCGTAGCGACGCGGAGTTTGTACAGAGGGTGCGAACTGTATGGTAGACCGCTGTTGGTGTTGTACGCAGGACGCGAGCTATACGGAAGACCGCCGTTAGTGTTGGGCGTGGAGCTGGACATGGTGAAAAGGTTCGAGAGGTAGAGGAACATGCGGGATCAGATGCACTGTATTCCCAATCTCCAGGCAAGTTTTTGGGTGTAAGCAAGTTGGGAATGGAGCGAGTGGTATGGCACAAACAGCTACAGGAGGCCACTGCGCCTTGCTTTGTCTTGTGCATGCCTGCTGCCTGAGACGCCTCACAGCGAAGCTCGAATCCTTCCCCGCCAAGCCTCAATCTGGGCAATTCGAAGTCAGGCGCCCATCCAATCAAGTCCGGTATCCTGAGACACCTAGAACTTAAACGGAAATGATTGTGTTCAGAATCCAAGCTATCGCCCCGCACCGTGATGTTCGAAGGCAAGGTGTCCTTTCGAGGCGGACAGCGCTAAGTCAGATGTTGTGTTTGTTAGTCAATGAATGTGACAACGCATCAATGGTTCACGATCGAAGTTTGAAGAATATTGGGGGATGTGAATTTTTGGCGATGACTCGAAATTCAGCACGGCAGATATTCTTCGAAATGGGGGCTGTTTCGACTGCATGCTGGGACTGACGATAAGACATGATGAGGGTCTAATATATGTCAGAAACTGGCATCCTTTCAACACTCTCGCAAGTTCAAGTAAGATCTTTCATAAATTAAGCCCACTCGTGTTATGTTCGACGGTATATGATAGTATGTTATATCTCGGCCGTGAGCAATAAAAGTCGGCATTGCGTCTGGAAATAGTAAGGACGCTGGATTTGGATTGATGTGTTTTTGATATCATACCATATCTAGAATAATTTTGGTGCCCCATCCACTAGATGAGCGGGAATTTGCAATGAGTATGTTTTCATATTGCTTCCTCATACTGCCGTACCAATTGTCCTTGTTCTTGCAGGTATTCCTTGACCTGCCGTACAGTGTATTCTCCTCTGTGGAACTACGTATACTGTTAGCCTTTACCTATTCGATCTAGAAGTTTGCTCGACCTACCATACCAGCACCTAGTGCTGCATCCGTCGTTGTCCTTTCGAAAACCTCCCCGAAGTGACCAGGGTTCCCAGCCCCACTACTCGCAATGACCGGGATCTTGATTGCGGCTTTTACATCACTGATCAGCTCTAAATCAAATCCACTATTTGTGCCGTCCTTGTCAATGCAGTTAAGGAGAATTTCTCCGGCACCCATAGCCTCAACAGCTGTGATGAGCTGCCGGACATCGAAGTCTCGACCTTCCCTACCGCCTTTGATAGTGCATTGGTACCAGCAGTATTCTTCGCCGTTCGGGCCTGGGATTGAGGTTTTGATGCTGTGGTGGGATGTTGCAGAGGGAGACGAGACATAGATGCGTCGTGGATCGACACTGATGACCACGGCTTGGTTGCCGTAGGCTGCGGATATTGTTTCTATGGCAGTGTTACCTGATAGAAGCTTGCCTCTTGCATAGTATTCTTCAGCAGCAGTAACAGCGTCAGACCCAATGCTCACTTTATCAGCGCCGGACTTGAAGTACATTGTGGCAATTTCTAGGGCTGAAATCTTTGTTCCATCCGTGTCCACAGTATCACGGATGCCTCCACCTATTGTCAAAGGCACAAAGACGGTCTCGCTGGTTCGTCGGAGAATTTCGAGCATCGGCGTATCGGCTACGGGGCAGTTGCGGAAGGATGTGATATTCAGAAACGTGACTTCATCGGCTCCTTGCTCGTAGTATTTTTTTGCCATCTCCACTGGCTTCCCCAAATTCCTCACTGCACCGCCGCTGCTGAGACCGTCTTTTTCTCGAACGTCGTATTGGTCACCCTTAGTGACTACTAGGTCTCCATGGTCATTTGTCCGGACGTCGAGACACGCGATGACTCTTCTTGTCAAGCCCTCTTTCGCCGAGGCTGCGGATGCTTTCTCAGGAAGCTTTTCTGATATTCTTCCTTCCAAAAATGCCTTTATGACCCTCAATCCCGCTGCCCCGCTCTTTTCGGGATGAAATTGGGTAGCGAAAATATTATCCTTCGCTACTGCCCCGACAAACTCCTCATCCCCGTATCTCGCCGTCGCAACGCTCCAGCCATCCTTCTCCAGTTGTCCCTCTCGGTAGGGTGCCGCATACGAGTGAACGTAATAGTATTTGGAGCTCGGTCGCAGCCCATATAGGCTATCATTGGCGACCTCTCCCTTCAACGAGGTGTTCGCCGAATTCCAACCAATATGCGGCACACTCTTATCCGTGTCCTGGAATTTCCGCAATTGGGAAGGAATCAACCCCAGACCCTTGACATCTGGGTCCTCCTCCGAGCCCTCGAAGAGTGCCTGCAGCCCGACACATATCCCCATAAACGGCTTCCCGGCCGTAATGTGTGCTTGTATAGGCTCGACGTAGCCTGCCTGGTTGAGCTGCGACAGGCAGTGGCCAAAGTGGCCGACACCGGGGATGATGAGTTTCTAGGGTGCGGGCTGCATCAGCACAAGTCAATTGGTGGTTGCTTGCCTGGTGAAGGATGAAAGGTACCTCTGCAGAGGGAACGTCGGCGGGTGACTTGACCCATTCCACTGTGTAGCCAACCTTTTCGATGGCATTGACGAGTGATCGGACGTTGCCAGCGACATAGTCGAGAAGATGTACAGTCGGCATGATGAAAGGAACGATAGAAGGGAAGGGAGAAGGAGTGAAAGAGAATTGAAGAGTGAAGCGTCCTAATGTCGAGACTGAGTCAGGCCGTGAATTACTTTTTGTTTTGGTGCCCCGCGATCGGCGAAGTTTAGGCGCAGGGGCGCAGGGGGATGGGGGGAGGTGGGCGTGAGGGGCACTACTCGTAATCTAAACCCAAGACAGCAAGCGCGGCTTGGCATCAAAAAGCTCTGAGCTTTGCCCGACACAGCGTTCACCCTTACTACCAACCCGACGTCGCCCTCCTTTTATCGGCAACATGGTCCGGAAACTCAAGTTTCATGAGCAGAAGCTCCTTCGTAAAGTCGACTTTACTACTTACAAAGGCGATAATGACCACAGAGATGCTGCTGTGATACGGCGATATGCTATCCAAAAGGTATTGATGACGTCTGTCTCTTTGCCTTGGGTTCCCTTGAGCTAATCCTCACGCAGCCCGACGACTATCGGAAATACAACACCCTCTGTGGTTCGCTCCGCCAACTGGCCCACCGACTCGCCAACCTCGATCCATCAGACCCCTTCCGTCGCAAGCACGAAGACCTGCTCCTAGAGAAACTCTTCGACATGGGCATCCTAGGTACCGGTGGAGGAGGCAAGGGAAAGCTTAGCGACGTCGAGCACAAAGTCACGGTATCCGCATTCGCGAGGCGGAGATTACCTGTTGTTATGACGAGGTTAAGAATGGCGGATACCGTGCAAGCGGCCACCAAGTTCATTGAACAAGGACATGTCAGAGTGGGGACCGAAGTTGTGACGGATACGGCCTTTCTCGTGACGAGGAACATGGAGGACTTTGTCACCTGGGTCGACTCGTCCAAGATAAAGAGGAACATCATGAAATACCGTGACAAGCTGGACGACTTCGATCTGGCTATGATTTAGAAGGAAGTTTCGCCGACATTGCATGACACGGAGTCTGGGTAGCAGCATTTCCGGCGCAGGGGCTCAAATATCGAAACCGATGGTATCATGACAAACGATTTCAACCGCAATGCGCCGCCGATTGACACTTTCCCAAACTTCTCCATCTCTCACTCGTTCCCTCGCATTCTCACTGTTTTAGGTATTCACGAGCTAATAGGATCGAAGCGATTAAAGGTTTTGCGAGCAGTAGAGGCAGTGTCGAAGAGCTGGTATGCATTTAATTTCGCTGCCTATAGTGCTTTAGCTCGACAAATTGCCCCCTCGGCAGACCGTTTGCTGCTATGTTGTGGACGGTGTCGTCCGTCCGCTGTCTCCGGTGCATCTCATCACATACCTTCTATATCTACCGAGGCTGTGGAGAGCATCTGCAAATTGGATGCATTGAATCCTGACCGGTATCAAAGTTGACCGCCTGTGATTGTCGCCACTTCTCTAGCACCGCCACGAAAGAACAGCCACAGTCTTCGAATCAACACTGGAGAAAGTGGACGGGTGACTGATTTAGCGTTCAATACGAAAGTGGGATCGAATGCGAGCTACGATATGCAACAGAATACGAATCGGCAGGATTGATTGGTTTCGATTTAGCATACCGAGTATTTCCCGAATTGATATCATTCGCCTATGGTCGTGGCTGCATGTCCCCCATGCTCATTTCTTCAACTCCAGACATGCCACCACAGAGGGGCCTTGGAGGCTGAGCGCCTCCCCGCATCTTCGTGCCGGTGAGTGTGTTGACATGACAGTAGTATTAGCTTTCCAAGCCATAAATACAACTTGCAATCTGTTCGAGTATTGATGTCTCGACACCCCTAGACTTCAGATTTGTTTGCATTCGTGGTTTGATTTGCACAGCGAGTATTGTCAATATGTCTCACGTTCATCGTACGGGCCTTACCGAACTTCATTCCGGCATCGGGTTCAATGGCGAGCTTCCAAAAGCGAAGTACGCTATTCCTTACCCCCTGTGTCCACCTATATTAATTGTTTCAACAGCATTGTCTTTATTCACGGCCTCGGTGGTCATCCTCAGAATACCTGGAGTTGTAAATACGCATCTCCTAGCCAGGATGCTTCAAGTCGACGTTCCTCTGCAGACACGGGCTCCACTGGCCGAAAGGGTTCCATGTTCAATAAGTTTTTGCCCATCAAGCGAACGAAGACAGGCATGAACACAGGCCTGGGCGACCGCACTCTCTCCATTGCTCCCTCTACCTACACGATGGATACGACGTCAGAGTCCATCTCGCCCCGCGAGTCCAACATTGATCCCTTGAGTCACGAGCCAGAGCCAATAATTAGCCCGACGATGGGGCCAATGAATCATAAGAAAGTGTTTTGGCCGAGGGACCTACTACCAAAGGACTTTCCGAACACTCGAATCTTGACGTTTGGGTATGATGCCGATCTGGTCAGTTTGACAACGACAGGGGCGAGGGCGAAGTTAAACTTCACTCAACATGCACACGACCTGTTGGTTACGCTTAACAGGGAGTTGGATGATGAGGTTCGGGCATATTCCTATGAGCACACTAGAGCACACTGGAGTATACTGACGGTTTGCAGGTTCCCATCATTCTCTGTGCCCACAGTCTTGGAGGTGTTCTCGCCAAAAGAGTCTGTCACTGCTTCACTTCTAAGTTCTTCACTGACTGACGGCTCAGGCACTTTGGGAATCCAAAACCTCTCCAAACCCCCAACTTCAAAAACTAGCTAATCTGACGAAAGTCGTCATGTTCTTTGGCTCTCCTCATCGCGGATCTAGCACAGCTGGCTGGGGCGAAATAGGTACCAAAATTGCGTCCATGGTGAAGCTAGACTCTGCTCAGCATCTTGTGTCAAGCTTGAAGCTTGACTCGGAGATCTTAGATAATATTCATTCAGATTTTATGAAGCTGTTGATTGCTGGGACTTTCTACATTCATACGTTCCAGGAGGGAAGGCCTATCAACAATGTTATCGGGAAGGTAAGCACAAAGTCAACTACAGGGCAAAATTGAAAACTATGAACAGTTTGACTGACTTGAATAGATCGTCGAGGACTTTTCATCCAAGATTGATGATGCAACCCCGATGCAGATCCACGAAGTGATCGACGGCCATCACCGGAATATGATTCGCTTTCGTACCGCGCAAGATTCCGGGTACCGCAAGGTGATCAGCGCATTGAAACAATATATGAATATGCTTAGCAAGAAACACGACATTGAAAGGATGTGTAAGTCAAAATTAAGCTTCGGTGGCTGTTTTAGCGGTGACGTGACCACTAACCTTTTCACAGCCATCGCGAGCAGCTTCTCCGCAAAAGAGATGCCAACACGAACATATTTCAGCGTTCCCTACGAGCGCAACCCCAATTTTGTGGGCAGAGAGGAGTGCCTCGAGGCGATTGATAAGATCTTCTCGGGGCCAAAGTATACCCCTTTCGTTGCCCTACATGGCCTTGGTGGCATTGGGTACCAGCTTCTCCCCACCCTTGTACATGTTTCGAGTGCCTGACAAAAATTGACAGGAAAACACAGGTTGCAATCGAGCTGGCCTACCGATGGAAGCAATTCTTCCCCATGTTCTCCGTATTCTGGGTCCATGCCACCAGCATTGACCGCTTCAATGACGGCTTACAAGGCATCTTAGAAAAGCTTGAGATCCCACATTCTGCTGAAACCAACGTGGCAAATGTAGTCGAGGAATGGCTGCGCAATAGAGCTAATGGCCGCTGGCTCTTGATCGTAGACAACGTGGACAAGGAAGACGTCCTAGACGAAAACAAAGGCAAAGGAGCATTCAAAATGCTCTCGTGCATTCCAAAGACAGATCACGGCCACGTCCTCTTCACATCCCGCTACAAACGCGTCGCCATGAACCTCACCTCCGACCTGGTCCGCCTGGACCAAATGTCCAAACCCGAAGCTGTCGAACTCCTGAAACTCAACCTCCACGAATGCTACGATGAAACCCAATCCACCGACGCCGACAAACTCCTCGAAGAGCTCTCCTACATCCCGCTCGCTATCGCACAAGCCGCAGCCTACATCCGCGAAAACGAAAACACTATCGCCGACTACCTTGAGTTGTACCAAGAATCCGAGGAAAATCGCGTCGAATTACTAGAACAGAGCATTGCGGAGCTGGGTATTTCTGACCCGGAGACTCCAAAAACGGTTCTCACCACCTGTTGGATGTCGTTTAGTCGGCTGCAGGCTGATGGTGCCGCAGGTCCGCTCGCCACCGAACTCTTGTCCGTCATGAGTTTCCTGGATCGTCAGGAGATTCCGAGGGCGTTGTTGAGGGGGTTTAGGCCTAAGGCTGGGAGTTTGAAGTTGAATAATGCGTTGGGGATTTTGAAAGCGTATTCGCTAGTTACGGAGAATACGGAGACGAAGAATTTCGCTATGCACCGGCTTGTGCAGTTAAGTATGCGGAAGTGGCTAGAGACGAAGGACTTGGAGAAGAGGTATTCTGAGGAGGCCCTCACACTACTTGCGGATAGCTTTCCGGATGGCAGCTTCAAGACGTGGGAGAGCTGCAAGGCGTTAATTGTACATGCGGATACCGTGCTCGAGCTCACGGTGGATTCAGAGAACCGATCGGCTCGAGCGAAACTGCTGCAGAACTGCGCCAATTTCCAGAACGGCCGAGGACAATACGCAGCAGCCGAAATGAAGTTTGTGGAGGTTGTCAGGCTTAGGACTGAATTTGTTGGCGCGGACAACACGGACACATTGCGCGCTGTGGACCAGCTCTCTTGGACGCTGAGAAATCAGGCCAAGAACGACGAGGCGCTCGAGATAGCGAAGCAAACTCTAAGTAAAAAAGAGCAACTCTTTAGTAAAAAGAGCGCCGAAGCTCTCACAACATCCCACATCGTCGCCACTATTACTGGGGATAGAGGAAAGCACCAAGACGCGGCCAAACTCCACGAAGAGAACCTCGAAGCCCGCAAGGAGCTCCTCGGCGCCGAACACCTCGACACTCTCCGCAGCGCTGCCAGCCTCTCGCTCGAGCTCTGGGAACTGGGGAAATTCGTTGACGCAGAGAATCTCGCTAGGCAAACGCTCGCGTCGCGCACCCAGCTTCTGGGCGAGGAGCATCCGGATACGCTCGAAATCGCCGGCACTCTCGGTTTCATTCTTGAAATCCAAGGCAAGTATCAAGAAGCAAAAGAGCTGAAATACAATATGTTGCAAATCCGCCAGCGTATCTATGGAGAAGACCATCCAGATACCGCGGATTCCAACCACGACATGGGCTGGATACTGCACCAAATGGGCCTCTACGACGACGCAGAGCCATTCTACGAGCAAGCGCTCAAAGCAAAATTACGGCTACTAGGGGAGACTCATCCAAAGACCCTCACAACAATGTGCAACTATCCCGTCTTCTACTGCGACAAAGGCGAATATGATAAAGCCGAGGAGCGATCGAAACGGCTCATCACCGTGTTCAAACGAGTACAAGGGGACATGCATCCGCAAACTCTAGACGCGATGGGAGGTTTGGCGGTGATACTTCGCCACCAAGGGAAGTTGGAGGAAGCAGCCAAAATAGCTCGGACATCTATCGATGGGAGGAATATCGTTCTCGGCCCAGATCATCCGTGGACATTACCACCAGTGAGTCACTGGGGGTATGTGTTATCGCTCCAAGGGGAGCTGGATAAAGGCGAAGAAGTTATCCGCACCGCGCTAAGGAGCCTGGAAAAAGCAATGGGATCTGAACACGGCAATGTTCTGACATCCCTGGTCTTCCTGTCCAAAAATCTCCTCCGGCAATCTACCGGTCCTGAGGACCCGAAATTGGAAGAATCAGAGCAGTTGGCACAGCGCGCGCTGGATAGTAGGAAGAAATTACTGGGGGATAATCACCCATATACATATAAGACTATGCATCATCTAGCAAGAGTGTTAATGGCGAGAGGGAGATATGAAGACGCGGAGAAACTGGCGAGGCACGCATTGGGTGGGTTGTGTAGGACGTTGGGGGCAGAACATCCGGATGTGAGTCGTGCGGATGAGGAGTTGAGGGAGATGGAGGCAAAGGTTGAGGAGGTGGGGAGGAAGATGGGGGACAGGAAGGAGGGAGGGGATGGCGAGGAGGATGGAAAGGTTGAGGTTATTGATATCTAGGTAATGCTGAAGTGAAATGAGAGCTTTCAGAGAGGTAACTCGAATGATCTACTTAAGAGTATTTGGTACCAAATCTGACGCACCCAACTATCTGTGACTCATTCCCTCGTTGTAGTGCTCTAAGATAAAACATCAGAATCGAGTGAGCTATGCAGTTAGAGCATCAATTCAGTTTATGAAGGAAAAGAGCAGCTAGGGCCGTCTTCTGCGTGGGCTGGATGTATCTACCCTGGACTAGAAACCACATAATTTGTACCTTGTTAGCATGTGCTTCTGGCGAGGGGGAGCTCGTGTCGAAGACCATCGAAACTACCGGCGGCCTGAAAGTAGAGGCAAGAGCGCAAGCCTACCCAGCGTGCGATTTTCGCATATCCTGATACTTCCACGCTCCCTTCAAATACAACCCATCCAATTCCTCCGCTACAGTCCCACTGTCCCCTTTCAGCCTTAAATAACGCCGATTCGACATACTGGCATTTTGAATCCAGACATTCGACCCATTAGGAAAAACATAATTATATCCCCCAGTATTTCCATACTGAAACCAATCCCCCAACCCCAGGCACGCATATGCCACAGTCAGTGGATCCCATGAGAACCTCGTCATATTATATCCCACATACCACCCATACGCCGCTTTCACAGGATCATCTGTTGGGGCCTCTCTTGTTAATCTCGCGCCTGTAGACACCATCTCTCCAACCTCAGAACCGAGGAAAGTTAGAGGAATGGCCGTCGGCCATGTGTTAACGACATGGGCAGTGGAAACGGGATTATCGCCGAAGAAATTAAACTCGTGGCCGGAAGGATAGCCGCCGCCCATTATGACCAGTTCTTTGACCTTCCTGCTAACAAGATCGTATCCATCTAACCCCGAGTATTCATCGGCGGTCGAGTTCAACAGTCCAGATAGATTCTCTAAAAAGCCAATGGAAGCAATCGTCACGCTTCCATCGTTGGCCCCAGCAAGCGTCTTACGATACAGAGCTACAGGCTCCCAGGTCTTTTCTGGTTCGAACCATGCGAGATAGCCACCAGACCAATGGTATGCTACCTTTGAAGCATATTCACCCAATTCGTACGCCCATGTATCAAAGAAACTATCGTTTGTGTACGGCCGTCGCAGGCTTATTGGAGTATTGGGGTGGCCGTAGTGGTTTAGGATGGCGGAGACTGCGAGTGCGGAGTATGAGGAGCCATAATTTACATTGACGGCGAGGAGGGAGATGCTGGGCAGAGTAGAGGCAAGGAGGAGAGCGGCAGCGTCGCTGCAGTTTAGTTAATACATGAGTTGGCTCGTCTAGGGATCGATAGATATAAGTGAGGGATGAGTGGAGAAGGAGACGTGTTAGACGGCAGGCTTGTACTCTACATCACTAAAAATATCCGTATCAACAATCAGAAACTTCCTCCCCGCATCTACCAATGGTGTGGGAAATAAGAGGTATGTAAACGCATATTTGAGCATGCGTTGTGGAGACATGACGCCGTCAATGAGGTCGGAGAAGCTGCCCATTGTCAGACGGCGCATCAAGGAGGGCGATTTGGTGAGAGAGACAGTTCAATGGCTCTACGTAAAAGGCATTGAAGAACATTTCTAAAATTCTCCATGTTGTAGCAAATATTGGGGCGCGGGGAAACGTGATGGTGGTTTGTTAGCAGCGGAGATGTGCGATGACTGAATTGAAGGGTGAATTGCTGCTGATGGTTGATTGGCTAAGAGTAGCGGTTAGTCAGCAATATGTTGGTTGAGGAAGCGGGAAATAATTCGTTCTGTTCCATCTCCTGAAGTCGGCGAACACAGGAAGGAGGAGTATGTTCGTCATTTGGCACAATAGCATAAACTCAGCAGTAAGACTGGATGTAGCCCTGCTCCTGCTCTCTTCCGACCCTAAATGGCTGTGGGGCGAAGTGCATCCCACAGAGCCGCATTTGGCAACAAGCATACTTTTAAGCCAAAGTTGGCCCGTATTCGGATTTGACCCGTAGAGGGATCACTGGGTGAAACTGTAGTGCGCGAGAAATACTAGGAGACTTCTAGAAGCTGGGGTCAAAAGTTAAAGGTCGTGATTGGGTTGAGGGGGTCTGGGTGGTGGAGGAGATTTTGAGTCCCAGTGAGATTTATGTAAGGCTATTTATTGATGGGTGAAGAACTGTTGCTCTTAGAGCCTAGTCAAGGGAAATAGTTATAGCAGTCCAGAATCTTCCGTTTTGTTAAGCTTTCTAGTAGAGACACAAGTTGCGCCGTCCCACAAGGGCCACAATTTGTATTTATTTACAACGCACCATGCCTTCACCATCCTTATTCAACCTAACCTTTCTCCTTCTTCCTCTTCTTCATCTCACAAACCCCTGGCCAACCTCAGAAGCCAAAGACGTCATCGTGGTACCGTCTGATGAGGCTCCTTTGCGTACGTTGCATGTGACTCCAGTCCTCGAATTGTCGACTTGATGCAAGCCCATATAGCCGATGTCAAGCGTTTAGCTGCTGAAGTGTATAAACAAGCTATAGTACGTCCTGTGTCATGCCGTTTTAATTTACCGGAGGCCTGCCAGAGATCCATCCGGGCTAACAAGGATGGCATGGTATATAGAGAGGAAACAAATACTACAACGCCTTCTTTGGACAAACGCGAAATGCCTACTCAGAACCCAACGGCGCGATGATGAAAGGTGGATTGGTGTCTTACTCTATTCCATACACCAACACAGCCTCCCTCCCTTTTTCCACACCCTCCATACTCTGAAAGTACCTACGCCCATTGAAAGCCCCACCACCCAAAAAGGTTCCGAATCCTCTCCCACATTCAAATCAAACGCAACACACGCAACGCAAACGGTCACTACACAATCCGCTGCCACTGACAAAACCAGCCGGACGGACGCTGCAGCGGCTGGGGTGCCCCCATGATGACCGAGGTTAGCACCGGCGTGATTTGGGCATGTCGGTCGTTCTTCTGGGTAAAGAAGCCTTGCGGGAATTAGCCCGCCGCCACGGGGTCTCCGTGCGCTGGATGAGTATGTACCGACTGGAGGTTTGATTTTGCATGAGTTGACGCATGCGCTCTGGCAAAGTGAGTATAGGCATGTTACCTAAATTACACTCCGTTCCTTTCCATTCCTGTGTAGTCAGTGCTTGCAGAGGACTCCGCTAACAAGATGAAAAGCAATGGACATGACGTTGAAGAACGGTGATGTTATGTACGGTCATGAGAAGACGCTTCGGGGAGTGTAGGAGAGAGGGGCCTCGTGGTATACGAGGAGAAGAATGAATGCGGGTAATTATAGGATGTTTGCTGCTGTGGCATACTGGAGTGGAACCAGGAAAACTGCCTGGTCGGTTGATCTAAATCACATTGAGCTGTGAGTGTTGAGATAGGCTGTAGGTGCTTGCTAGGCTAGAGACATGAGGGGCTGGACGTAAGAATAAAGGATGAAATAGGCTGAGAAGTGACTATTGATGTCTACGGGTGATTTCCGAGAAATCTATTGAATAGGAGCCAGCACAAAGCGCTATATAGTGAATGTGGAAGCACAACTTACAATTCTAAGTTCATTCCATGTCAGTCATTCGCTCTCAGTATAGTTTCCTAAGAGAAGTGGTTTTCAGGAGAAGCTGTGGCCTCTGTTAAACGATATAGTTGACAAAATTCGGGTAGTAGAAGATCACGAGGTTCTCCAGAGTATCCAACGCAAGCACTGCCGAACTACCGAGTTCCGCCCCTCCTAGGCCACCTCGGTGGCTCCAGTACAGTTTGAGCTAGAGCGTCGTCTCTTCAATCTGGGGCTTCTAGGCAGAGGACTTGGCGCGACTGGGAGATTCGATAATGCTAATGAAGAAGAGAGTGTCGTGGGTCTTGCGATAGCGTTCAGCTTTACTCTCTTGGAACTAAAAAACGATTGCGACGAAGTTAATCCGCACCGAAGAGCTCAATTCTAATCTTGTAAGTTGACTGGATATCGGGAAATGTAGGTAAGGAGCGATGAATGGAATGTAGATGTAGCATGGGTTGCTCAAGGGCCATGTTTTGGTTCGATATAAGATAGTAGGATACAGACCTCAACCTCTGGTGGATTGCTTTAATATCTAGAACTAGCGGCAGGGAAGTGAGCCATCTTTATTTCATAATCACCGTGCTTCTATCGATAGATAGTTTTTGGCTGGATGCTCTTGAAATTTAATGAGACCTAAATTAGGCCTCGAGTTTGACACCCTTACTCGGCAATCAGAGGCGGGATTCATGAGAGCTCGAACCACAGGTAGGGGTTTGAGAAGTGCGATGAAGGTGGTAGCGCGAGAACACAGGTTTCAGGTGCCATTCGAACCCGTTTGTATATAAGGCCGCCTACGGAAGTCGTTTTCGTGTCACTAAAACCGGCTTTGAAGCTCGAGGGCCGTTATGCAGCCAGACAATCTTAAGGCGGTGAAGGAGGCAGTGAAGTAAGACATGAGATAACTTTGGTATGTGTATAGGGGTTTATTCCCAGTTTTCCATGCATATAAAGAAGCCCCATGACATAGCGGTTGTCGAATGGAATTGGTGCGATAGGTTGGCTAGGCGAACACGCACGCATGGGGACCAAACTGTGGGAACACTGAACTTAGCTGCTACATCCTGATTAGCTCGGGGGCAAAGCTCCACTGTGAAGGAAATAAGAGTTTGTCGAGCTAATTAGGTATCGCCTTGAGTGAAAAAGAGTCATTAGCAATATTTATACATGAAACTTTGCTCGAAGCTTGCGGAAGCAGTTGGGATGGTCTAGGTGGGTCTTGGCGTAGAAGGCATGGGGCTCACCTCTACGTGACCCGATGCCATGGGTGCTGTCAAAAGGCTCTCTCCACGGTACGGTAAGGCGAGCACTGCGGTTGGGGAAGGGGTTTATCGCCATTTTTACTTTCCAATGAAGACACGCGATACGTTCCTGGCTTCCCTAGAATTTCCAAAGTGAAGCCTAGGTCAAGAATGGGGGTTTGAGGAAATTCGAATACGAATTAGAGGGGGAAATGTGATGTTTGACTGGCGTTCATACCCGCTGTAGACTTGTCCGAGACATTCTAGAGTGACTGCTAACTCAAACCGGTGACCGAAGCAAGCCTGGCTTGGGTATTAAGCCTCAATTGATAACCTCGTGGATAGTAATTAGAGAACCTATCTTAAATTCTTCATTGTCCGCTAAATTAGTGAAAGGTAAGAGCTTAACGATTCTTCTACATGCATGGTTGTCTGATGGTTTAGTTGATATGACGGAATGGACACTGTGGCCGGCGTGGATGGTGTTGGGTCGACACTTGCACAACCGGGATATTTTTAGCAGCTCCCACAGTTGTGGGGCCCGCTTCCGAACCGTCTGAGCTTGTTTGATCTTCATGAAATTTGTGAAGAGTTCGTAAAATCTAAGGTAATCGCTGATTGTGGACTCGCCGATGGCGAGGAAGAAAGTTATGTGCAGTTGAAGAGTGCGTTGGCGCAATCGCAAAATGATAGCTCCCTGTTGTCGAGCAGCCCAGGGTGAAAATGAAATAAGCTTGATCTACAGAGCTACGTTGATCCCGTCAAGCTCACCATAAGGCTGGATGCATGACCAGTTGCGCCGCTTCCAATCAAGGTCGGAAGTGATATCATACCCCACGGGACACCTCTATCCTCTCTCCAGTAAGGGTGCATCATTAGGTGAGGCAAAATGTTAGCATTACATCAACTAGTTACTCCTTCCCGGCAAGGCCGAAGATGTGACCTATGGCAGCAACGGATACCGTGGGAAGCGCCACCGTGCGATCAACGGATAGGCAGAAGTTATGCGGCACAATTCCGTTTCCACTTCGAAATCGTTTGACGGTGTGCTTGAGTGGTGATAGGTAGACAGGCTCCGGCTTTGGATCGACATCCATGAAGCCCAAGGTAGCGTCATTGAGAGACGAGGCGATAAAACAATATCAGACAAGAGCTTCGAAACCATGCGAAAATAGATTCGACGTAAAGGGATTCTGGCGACGAGATGCATGTAAAACAGAGGAGCGGAATGGCCGTTGAACATGGGGTGTAAAGGCACCAGTTCCGGAAGTTTGAACGTTACAACTGCAAACGAGAAGCACATGCATTCCCACAGTAGTTTCGACCCGACAGCCAATGCGAAAGGAGAATGGCTTTGAGGCTGTGGGTACAGGGGAGGTTGACGGGAGATCAGTTGTGGTGAACCGAAAGGGGGGTTGAGCTGAACGTACGGAAAACTGCATCCAAAACGACCTAGATCATGGAATCGAATCGAGACACACAGGATCACTATGTCGAAATAGAAGCGTGGCGGAGTATATGCAAAGGCTGCTCGATTTGTACAGGGTGGTGAATGGAAAGCGGTTGAAAGCCGGTTACGTCAGCTGGCAGCCAGTCGCACGCTGAAACTTGCCTCAGGCATTGGGACAGCCCGACGCCACCAAGGACTAAAATCTCCTCGCTCCCGATGCTCGCCGCTCGGCATTCTATCCCCCACATCAGACTTGCAATCAGATGTCACTGCCCCTCTGCGTGGCACAAGCCTCCTCCCAAGAATAACACCATATACTAGGACATTCACTCCCTAGCGCATGTCTTTGGAAAGGCTGCGCTAGTTAGGTAAGCCGGTCTTGGAAAGGCTATTCAATCTATGCCTGATCCGGGGCCAGGCGGCGTTCGCAGGGGCCTGTTTCTGCCGACAAGTTGTCGTGGACCCTGGCCCCTAAATCTAAAACGGGCTGTATCTTGCGAACACGTGAGGAATACGAGACCCTGCTCACCCCTCGTCCCGGCTCTCAAGAAGCATGACATCCAAAGTTAGCCCCGTCGACCCAAGCTGTGTTGAAGCTTAGGAGTCGTCCCTTTACTACAACAGAAATGGCAATCTCTTCTCCGTCAGTGTTCAATCACGATACAAAAGCTGCGGGTCCTCGCCATTTTCGCTCCATATTGCTGCTTTTGTCAAATTAGTCCCCTTTGGTCACTTTGTTATCCGCTATCGCTTCCCCGCCTCGTCGCTTTCCCTTGGATCCCAAAAAGAAGTTCCCGTCATGGTTGGCGTTCCAAAGAGTACAGGATGCTTCATTTGTCGAAAAAGGAAGATCAAGGTATGGCTTGCAGAGTGTTCACGTGTATGGCTAGCTAAATTCAGACTGATTGAGCAAGTGTGACGAAACTTGGCCGAGTTGTATCAACTGTCAGAAAAACGGCAAGTGCTGTCCGGGCCCTCCCGCAAGACACACCTTCAAAGACTTGGGACCAAGGTTGAAAGATAGCACTGCTTCACCGGTTGGAGAAGTATTCTACAGAGGTACTTATCACAGCGTACACAGTCCGAGTGAGTATACTCGATTACCTAATCTTGGAGTTAACGAGGCAGCTCACAGAAGTACGCCTGTCCAATTTTATATGCTAACGAGCAGCAGATTCCTTAACAACCAATGAAGTACAACGTAGTAAGCGGTTAACACAGCTTAACGAGAAATGGTCCGACAACGGGGGTGTCTTTCAGAAGTTCCGAATATCTAACAAGGGCGCCGATCAACTTCAAAAGAGATCACCACGCTGGAGCCCCCATCTTAGCCCAGGTTCTAGCCCGCCGCGAACTGCCATCTCTAGACAGCCATCCCCTTCGCGGCATCAAGAGTTATCTCGTGCCTTGGTAGAAGCTTTCACGACCGGCAGCGTCGGCCACCGCATGTCTGCATTTGGACCATTCATCCGTGAAGTACCTGCCAGAATTGGACATAACGTAGCGTTAGATGCCGCAGTTGCATGCCTCGTAAACGCCCATTCGTCAATGGTCCACAAGAAGAAAGCCACTGAGATCGCGAACCCCGGCCTCTACCTTCGAGCAGTCCAGGCCTTACAAACATGCCTGGAGAGTCCGAAGGAAGGCATGTCGTCTAACACGCTCTGTGCATCTGTCCTGTTGGGTTTGGTAGAGGTAAGTGTTCAGTGCAATTAGAGTACTTGCAACACCCACTGACTTTGCTTGGCACAGGCGATGGCTGGCCCAAGAGTGGGAAACCGTTACTTAGCCCATGTTGGAGGTGCCGGACGTCTGATGGAACTCCAAGGCCCAGAGCAGTGCCAGGACCGATTCGCTAAAGAGATTCTTCGATTCAATAGGGGCGGGATAGTAAGTTTATTTTTTAGATCTCGGATTCTATGCCTTCACATGCGTTGAGATCAACTTACAATTCCCCTTTGTGTCACTCTTCGCACCTGCCACTCGGTAGCTGCCTAGAGGTGGAAAGAGCGGCCTGCTACTTAGGCCCACTAGCTTGATATCTTCTACTAATAAATAGGCTGACTCTTCTTAGATTATCACATCCATATACGAAAGGAAGCCCTGTTTCCTCACAAGGCCCGAATGGAGTGACATTGCATTTGACAATAACGGGCTCAGCTTCGAAGACCATCTATACACTGAAATTTTACGCCATATGGCTAACTTTCCAGCACTTCTCAGAGAGCTTAGAGACTTAGATCAACTACCAGTTCAACCTCTCGGCGATGTTGTCTTACCGGAGTTCGACTTACCTTTCAACTTTGACGACAATCTCTCGGATACTTGTCCTTCTCTCGACTTCCCATCGGCGAGTTTTGATACTACCGACTTCGAGTTTCCAAATGAACCTTACATCCCCAACAATTATTGCGCATACTCCACTTCTCGAGCGATTCTCCTCAACAAACTTCAAAACATGAAGCAGGCTCTTTGCTCCCTAGGAGAACCTCTCAACGCTAGACTCCGCGATGGTTCCGCGGCTGTGGAACTTCCTTCTATCGAGGATGGTAGCCCTATTCCGACCGCTTTCCACTTTAATGGTGGACGTGTCGCGGTAGCTTACAACTGCTTCTGGTCCCTTCTCATCCTGACGAACAAGGTCATCATGAAGCTTCTTCCTCTATACGACTCCAGATACTATGCATTAGAGGCGGAATGCCGCACTGTTGCGTTCGAGATTTGTAAGACGTGGGAGGATGCCTGGGCAAGTAAGCCAATCGGAGCATTTCACACCGGACTTAGCTTCGTCATGGCTTACGAATTTACTACACTGGATGTGCAGGCATGGATACTTAGGGGATTGAATGCACTTTTAGATCATCAGCTAGTGGATACGTTCCGTTGGTCGGATGAAGCGATTGCGATGATGAGTGGGAAGCTCTGTGGTGAAGGGCCCGATCTAGTCTTCACACATGGACGGACGACGGGGTAAATCTCGTTGTCCGAGGCGTTAGCCGTTAGATTGGGAGCTGTCATTCTTGTACACTTTTCGGTGACTGTCTTTTCTGCATAGCGGCATTGGTGGGTTCTTGATTACCTTTACGTCTTCAATTCTAACAACGGAGTCATAACTTACCTTAGACTGTTTGTAACTAGTGCAATGTTACAAGTAACTATATGAATGCCAAAGGCAAATCTTCGATTTTTCTACTTTCTAGACAGTAAGAACAATGCAAAAGGCAGATGCTAATCGCTATTTGGGTAAATACATAGCTAAATGCATTAACCTCCACATCTCAAGTCTGCACCTTACCTTTCTCATCCTGTATCTTCTAAACTCTCTTTGCCATCTCCTTCCAGTCGTTTAATTACCGTAAGCCAGCTAGCAAACGCTCACATGAGGCGTCTGCAGCCGCAAGTACTTCCTCATTCTTTCCAACTGATCCCCCAAGATCGCCATTCAATGCTCAAGCATAATATTTCATGAGTGCAGTAGATAATTATTCAAGACACTCTTTCCATAGCAAACAGTTTTGAGGTCATTGTCCGGGACGTTTAGGGCCCGGGAGCGGCCATCCTTCGCTTTAAAGTTCCCGCTGTATGGAACGTGGCCACGTTGATTGGATAGTGCGAAATATGCATCTGCATGGCTTCCGAAGGGTGCAAATTCGAACGCGCCTCCTCCCAGAGCTGGCCCAATTTGGCCCACTGGTTTAAGGAGTGGCCTACCCTCATCACTGAGCAACTACTTGCTACGGAGAACTCGTTCACTTCGCATTAGATAGGAGGCAGGCTACCAGCTAATTCGAGGCAACTGGGCTATTTTCTACTTCAGCCAATTCTAACTTGGCAATGTTACTTCCTATAGGATTTAGCCTTTTTTTTTGTTAAAATAATGTAGTTCACAGTGATGAGCTCAGCACCTGAATGTATATTGAGCAATGTACATTAATTATATACACTCTCTGCTTGCCTCCTCCACGAGCATGAGATCTATGAGGTGAGTTCGTTTAGATGGCCTTGATGAGATTATTGAAGATTCATACATGGATATTCTCTTATTTGAACATGAGGTTGAATAGGTGTGGGGAGGATCTAAGCTCTGGGCTGAGTGAATTGCCTACTTAGGCAGGAGTTGTGAGCAGGATCACTTCCCATTGAAAAGAAAGCCAATTATTAAACTGGCCCGTAGTACGTACGCATCATCCAGTGCGCTCGCAGAGTGTTTACGGAATGTACGCAATATTTCAACGCCGTTATGGTGAACATATTACTAATTCACAGTCTTTATACTTCTCGGGTACCTCCATCATCATTGCTCTTCCGTCTAGTCATCTCAATCCCCTCCTCCGCACTCTCAACCGGTCTCGCTGTCTCCCTCTGATCTAGTCTCCGAAACATAATATGAAACACCCCACCAGCCAACAGACTCGTCGCAGCCAGCCCAGCATACAACCACACCAAGTTCGGATCTTTGGCACTTGGCGCAATTAATATCCCGAGCGCACTTCCAAGGGCCGAAGTTAACAGGAATAGTGACATAATAAACGACTTCATATTCTCAGGTGCTTTTGCATAAGCGAGTTCAAGCCCCGTGATCGAAGCTAGGACTTCAGAGAGGGCGATGAGGATGTATGCGGGTGCTTGCCAGGCGACGTGTATCTCATTCGGTTTGTACTTGTCTTTAGATATCTTTCCAGCTTCACAGTGCGAGGGGGAGTCGAAACAGGGTGGCGCCGAGTAGATGCGGGATTGCAGAATAGCGGCATACACCATGGCGAGAGAAGCTATAAAGAAGCCTAAGGTGATGCGCGTAATGGGTGCGAATGCAAGGTGGAGAGTTGAGCGGAGGAACGGGTAGATGAGGCGGTCGAGGAGAGGAATGAGGATGATAATAGTGAGTGGGTCGATGTTTTGGAGGATGTCGTTAGGGATGCCGTGGAGTTCCATTTGGCCAGCTATTTTGGTTTTAGCTACAGGTCTATGGGTGGTTAATGGATGGGAAGAGGGAGGGATGATTTACCTTGCGAGACGAAATTGTTCATCATCTGCGAAAACACGACCCAGTAGATAGGGAAGAACGCGAAGACTTTGCACGCCATAAGTGCAATCTTCAGTTCATCAATGAATTTGTCATCCCAGGGAGCCTTGTATCTTCGCCTCCCTTGTTCTTGCTCTTGGAATGAGGGCTTCGCTTTGTCGAGGTCAAATCGGTTCCTCATAGCAATCCAAAGTGCCTTGAAGCAGTTACCAATGACTCCACCTTGCGGTGGTCGAATAACATATCTCTTTTTGCCGGATACCAGGATGAAGTAGCCAACGCAAAACATGAATAGAGGCAAGAGGTACGCGCTCCAGAATCCCACATGTAGTTCCAGATTCGTAGTTGCGATGGCTGATAGAGACCCAACGTTGATACACATGTAGAATATCATGTAAATTCTCTGGACAGTGAGTTCTGGGTCCACAATGACCCTCTTTCCACTGGAAAGGACCTTGACGAACGGTTTCGTCCTGCGGACTTGTTCAGCGATGAGGGGCGAGACGTTGGATTTGATACCGCCCGTTCCCAGACCAATGATGAACATGGATGCGATGAGACCAGGGAATGCTCCCCCATGCGCAATGGACACTGGGAGGGATGTAAGAAAGAGGATAAAAATCCCGACCATGTACACAATAGAGAAGTACTTGATGGTTATGTATTTCCCAAGATACTGATCTGCCACAATGGCGCCAATGATAGGCGTTAGGTAGCACCAGAATTGAAAAAAGTTGGAGAGAGCCGTTGCTCCAGCCTGCTTGAGGCCAATTGCTCCAGGGAGACCATTCGGATCGTGCCATTTGTTGGACATGTAGTTCTGAAATGGACCGGAAAGACCGTAATATGCGAATCTCTCGCATAGTTCGACAATTGCGACAAGGAAAGCACTCCATGGCAGTTGGTCAGGAATCCTTCGGAGGTTTGCTAGCTCATGTGGTGTAGGCTCGCCTCTACCTAGTGACGGTCGGTTTGCGACATCTTCGAATTTGAATTCTGGATCTATATTTGCCATATTTGACCTGATGAAAAAGTTAGTTGTTATGAAAGGTCTCGTGTTGCGTTCGCACTTCGAATCTTTAAACCGAGATGTCCATGGACCTAGAATCTCGCCTTCAGAGCCAACAATATCCAATCAACGCTCACAAGAATTCATCGACCACCAAACAGAAATCAATAGAAATAATCCTCAACTTACGGCCCTCCGTTCTCGGCCCCTTTACCATGGGCCGTCATTTCCACAGTATCATCCTCCGTTTGCGCGACAGAAGTATACACACCCCTTTCCTCCCTCTTTGCCGCTCGCCATGGTTTCGGCATGTTTCCGTTTTTACACGAAACTGATTTATCTTCTAAAGACTACCTCGGATGATCCGATGCCTCCAAATCCGTTATCATATTTCGCGGGGAGACAAACAATGCGCTAACAGTTGCAGATCCTGCCATGCAGCGCTACCTAGGTATGGACTATGAGGAGTAAAGAGAACAGGGAAAATGTTGACAACTAAAACCCGATGCCCACCCCGAGGATTAGAGGGAATTAAGATAGGCAGTGGAATTGTGATGTCGATGTCGTGGAGTTGAAGACACGATGCTAAATTGGAGGTGAGACGGATTCCGCTTCGGCTTGTCCGCATTGAGTGTTGAATAGCGCAGAGCATGTGGCGTTCACCAGCCACATATTGTGGCACACTTCCCTACAATACTTCTCAGAAAAGGTGTATTAGAGGCATCCTTACATTAAATTCACGGTCTCATGCATTTGGAAGTCACGATATCCGTTTATTTAGAGCGCTTGGGTGTCAAATCGAGCCTATCATTAATGTTTCATTTATCACGATACTGGAGACAGATCCCATGCCAATTTCCACAGTAATAGGAAAGTCAGAAGATATCCATTGATTACTTCTTCTCCTCAAAATCCAAAAAGCTCCTGATTTGCACAACCGGCGCATTCATAACTGGCAAACCTAGACTCACAACACTCGCCCTCTCCCTCGGCATATACGCCGGCAAGCACTCCGATTCCCTCTCACTCCCCGGTGCATAAACTTCCTTCTTCTCACGCCCATTGCTACCACTATTCTCCTCCGTAACCTTCAATCCCTCCCACAATCCTCCGGCTTTATTCCCCCGACTCCCTGCCATGCCACTCCTCAGCTCGGCTTGCCACATATTGAGCTCCGAGTCCATGCTCTGTCGCTTTTCCCGGCGCTGTCGAAGCCGACGCCTACAGTCTAGTATTCCCATACCAATGGCGAGGAGGGTGAGGATAGCGGTCACGGTAATGCCCAACACGATGCCAATTCTCGCGCTGTGCGAGATTCCGCTATTCTTGTCCGCCTCAACAGTCGTCAGGGGAACAACCGGTACTGCTGTGTTGCTAGTATCGACGACGGATGTTACAGTGCTGGTGATGGTGGCGTTATGCGGATGGTGAGGTGGATGTGGGATGAAGCTCGTTATCCAGGACATTGGTGGCCCTGTCATGTCGGAGCGATGAGGGTGGGGATACTGGACTGTCGTTGTTGCGGGGGGCGGCGATCCTGGCGGAGGATCTATGAAGGGCGTCATCATTGGTGGTGGCATGAAGTCTGAGAGGGAGGGGTAGTGAGGCCGGAAGTGCAACGATGATTGAAGGGAAGGGAAAGCGGAGGGGTCGGTGGAAAGCGGGGGGTCCATTGTAGAGAAGCCTTTTAGTGGAATGACCATATATATTAGAGTGGCCTCTCTTGCGTCCGTTCGATGCAAAGTCAATACCTAGTAGGTACTTGGGAATGAAGTGCACGTGACGAAAGTGCAAAGACCACAAGGGAGACGAGAGAAAAGGGGAAGAAAGAGATTTAAAAAGTTCACATGAGAATGAGAACTATATGTATAATGAGGCGCACGACGATATGTGGCTAAAAGGTGCGGTCACGGAACACTCTCGCCGATAGGTACTAACAATATGTATTCATGACCTACTAAATAGGTAATGAGGTAATTGGGTGCTGCCCGTTAAGATACCGAATGATAGTGTTGCCAGGATGTAAAACGCAGAGAGAATGTGGAAGGAGCTTAATTCCGGAGACAGTTCCCCTGGTCTCGCGATAAATACGCACGAGTCTTCGTTTCCTCGTGCATATCAAGCTATCGATTCTCTGCGTGTGCGTTTGAAAATATTGAAATGGGCCAGCAGGAGAGACCCGACATTGCATGAATGCAAGTGTCGATCGGTTCAACAGTCCATTCGCGATAGAGGCGGTTCTGGTCTTAGATCTAGAAGCACAGGGTTAGCACGCCACAACCGCAATCCAAGGAGCTATTACAGGCCTTGAAATTTTCGGAACATCATCTCCAGATCTACAACAAGGGAGTTACGAACTTACCCACTAACATTTCCCCGCAAAGAATTCATCCAGATGTCTCACAACTTCTCCGACCCCTGCCCCATTCGCCAAACAGCTTCGAATCCATCCGGGCAACTTAGCCTGAATTCGCTCCCCACTATATCGTCTATCTAGCATTAGGATTGCAGCATAATCGCCTCGATGTCGAATAGCTCTACCAACTGTTTGATTCACGGCTCGCATACAAGCGTTTTCGTAGAATTCCCGTGCCGCAACCTTGCCGCCCTGCCCAATGCCGGAAGCTCTGGTAGAAATATACTGCATCTTTGCTTTCCATTCTGCCGAATGCGGATTGGGGAATGGGAGCCCCACGACGATAACTCCGCGCCCTAGGGAATCGCTAAAGTTGATACCCTCGGAAAGAGTCCCACCTATGACAGCGAAGAGAAGAGCACCACGGCCATTACCGGAAGCAACTGCGCTGCAATATGCATCGAGGACCGAGTCCACAGCTGCTTCTTTAGATCCTTTAGAAGGTACTCCTGAGTTTGGGGCTTGTTGTTGGCTCCGCTGTTCAAGGTAGATCGGTTTGATCTTAAGCAGGGCATCCCAAAAGGAGGATCCAGAGGTGGGGGTAAAGCGTAAACGCTTCCATGCAGCAATGCAGCTATCGAGATAAGAGTAGCTTGGGAAAAAGGTTACAAGGCCATCGGGGACATGCTGTGCAAAGCTCAATATTGCATTTCCGAGGTGGATCATCTAGGCGTGTCAGCGGACAAATATTTCACTAAAATGCCATATTACGTACCATCCTCTCTAAGTTGCGCTTCTCGAACGTGAAGTCAAAATCGGCTCCACTCGAAGTCCTTATGACAGGAATAGCTAAGAGATTCGAGGGTGGTATTACATGTCCGCACGACAAGGTCATGATCTTTGAAGGGCCTAAGTAAGATAGCAAATGCTCCTCGTAATCACTCATCTACCTTATATTAGTAGCATGACACAAGTGGCCGACACGTTGAACTTACTGGAGACATTGTACCACCTGCGAGAACGACTGCCCGAGCTTCCTCAACAATGTCCTTGAAGTGAAAGGTGGGATCTAGCAACAGGTATTTCAAGGCTATCGAGTTCGCTTCTTCTTTGGAAAAGAAGAATCGCCCTTCGGCAGATGGATTCATCAGAGAAGCTAGGAAGCCTTGTACATGCGTTAAAACGGGAACAGTCTGCCGGGGAGTGTGCTTGATATGCGCATCTTGGCCGTTCTCTTGGGACTGTTCGGCAAAGACAGTATAACCATCGACTTTGCGAGCTAGCCGACTATCCTGGAGATACCGATTGAGTTTGAAAAGGTTGATCTGATCAACACCTTTACCTGACATGAGATCGCCTGCGTTGACGAGGCAATCTATAGCTTTGGGGTCGGCACTTTTCGACCGAAGATATGCGACGATTGAATCCAAGATTCGAATAGACTGAGCAACATAAACCCGGTTCTTTCCCTTTAATTTGTGGCGAAACTTCCGAAGGTATAATGTGAGCTGTGTGCGAGCTAACTGTACTTGCTCCAGGGTAACTGAGATGGAATAAATGCCTGTGATGGCATCCATTAAGTTATGCGCCTCGTCGATGATAACAACATGGTCCTTGAGAGAGAGATTTAAGGCTTCACGCGCAGATTTTTGTAGCAATAAGGGGTACGGCAAGGTTATGACCTACTTCCGTCAGTTCAATATACATGAGGGATCGAATTGAGGTGATTTACCTCACAGAATTTAGTAGCTGGCCGAGAAGCGTAGTATGGACATATACTCAGCTTCCTCCCTAGGACCCCGAGATCCTCGATATCTCTAATTCTAGCCAACGCATGGTCCCGAAATTCATTCACTAGAGTTTCGGTTTCTTTCGTGGGCAAGAAAGGGCACTTAGAGTCTGAAGATATCACTGGCTGTTGTAGCTCAAGACAGCGTTCGTTGATAGTAGTGGTGTTCCCGAGTTTGCTCACTTTTGGATTAATGCACAGATTCCTTCTCGAGCCTAGCGTCAAATATTTAATGTCCTCCACCAACTGAGCATCGTCCTTAATTTCATTTGGAGCATCCAGCCTAATTGCTGGCGGCATTCTCACCCGATTGAGCTCACTCGAGAATTGGGTTAGTTGGGAGTGAGTCCTGGAACAATAGAAGATCTTTATCTCGTCCACAGCGTCCTCTTCGCGCTCTTTCTTTGGGCCGACTGAATATCCGAACTGATCCATCAAAGCTTGCGTCTCAGCGGATAGGCCAAAATGATTGAAATTGGATGACGTGGATTTCCGACTCGCCTCTTCGTCGCTTTCATAGTCATCCAAGACGAAGCGTGTCTCATCAGCATCCTCCCGGCTCGCTTGATCCGACGAAACCTTCTGCCTCTTGTATAGTGGTTCTCCATTCTGGTATCTTTCTTTGACGCGTTTCTCCTTTTTCTTGATATTTGCGATACGAGTTTCCAATTCTTGGCGTCGGTGGATAGCGGCCTGTTTTTTCTGCTTTCGAGCATACTCGATCATCCAAGTAGGTTCGTCATTGCTTGCCGCATCTGTTGCACAGCCTTCTTCGAACTCTCGTCGTTTGTGATCGCGTAGCCATGTGAGTGAGCCACATATTAGACTCAATGATTTCCCCGTTCCGGTAGGCGACTCGAAAATGCCGACTTTTCCATCTTCCAGACAATCATAGACGGCGTTCATGAAGTCTTTTTGAATTTCATATGGTTCATAAGGGTGGTGGAAGTCTCGGCCCCGGTTCTCGTCATCCATACTGGTTGTGATTATTGGTTGGGAGCGGAGGAACCGCTAACGCGACTGCGCTTGCAAGTGAGAGACAGAGTGTCACGTGTGAGAGATACATTCTCGACCCTAGCTGCTTGTGTGCTAGTTAGTATACCTGCACAGCCACCCCCACTAGCCTCTTCTTTGTCACTTGAAACTCGAGCTCTAACGAAGACCACCGGGCAATCACTCTTCTCCCTAAATGCCAACTCCCCTCTCCTGTTGAGCTCAATTGAAGGATCCGTCTTATTTTGAACATGTCACTCATTTCTGGTATGTACGCAACCCGCTTCGCTATCACACAGACCGATTTGTTTCAACAGACGCTATTTGGGCTGCGTCGCCCAGTACAACTCGTGGCCAACCCACCCCTCTCTCCTCCGATCCAAAAGGTGAAAGAATAGCCTACGCCGTACGTGCCCAATATCTCCTATTAACGCCGAAGCTAACACGCGTCCTTGATCATTAGTCCAACAAATCCATTTTCCTCCGTTCGATCGATAACCCCGCTATCAGTAAACAATACACACAGCATACCACCCAGACTACCGTTGCTCGGTTTGCGCCCTCAGGGTTCTATGTTGCAAGTGGAGACGTGTCCGGAACCGTCCGAGTATGGGATTGCGTAGGCGAAGGTGCTACGAAAGGTATGTGTGTATGATCTGGATTTGACAGAGGCACATTATCTGCATCTGGCGGTGTGAGATTGGGAAAGCAAGGCTAAGGTAATTTATAGGCGAATATCACATTATCGCCGGCCGTATCAACGATCTTGCATGGGATGGCGATTCACAGCGTATAATTGCCGTTGGAGATGGCAAAGAACGTTTCGGCCACTGTATCACGGCCGATAGCGGCAACACTGTTGGCGAGATCTCTGGGCACTCGTCACAGATTAACTGTGTGTCTATTCGACAACAGCGCCCTCTCCGCGCTGCGACAGGTTCCGACGACACCAGTTTAGTGTTCTACCATGGCGCTCCGTTCAAATTTAATACCAGCCTTCGAGGTCAACACAACAGATTTGTCTTTGGCACCGCTTTTGCCCCAGACGGCTCTGTATTTGCCAGTGTTGGTGCGGACAAGAAGATCTGGCTATACGATGGACGGACTGGAGAACCTAAAGGCCAGATTGGGGAGGGTGTGCATACTGGCAGTATATTTGGCATCTCGTGGGCTAAGGACTCGAACAAATTTGTGACAGCATCCGCAGACCAAACAGTACGAATATGGGATCTAGAGGCGGGCAAAGCGATCCAAACATGGAGAATGGGGGAGGAGGGCACCCCAAGTATCCCAGACCAGCAAATGGGAGTCGTTTGGCCAACAGGGCGTAGTGATGGCCTCGTGATAAGTGTTGACCTTGAAGGGAATCTCAACTATCTTGTCGGTGGAAACCCAAAACCAACACGGGTGGTTCGTGGTCATCAAAAGAACGTCACGGCTGCTGGAAAATCTGGGTCGACCTTTTTAACGGGATCTTATGAAGGCCGAGTCCTTGCATGGAACATTGCAGAAGGCCTGGCAGACAAGGTTGAGAGTGACTCACACTCGAATTACGTGGCAGGCTTCGCGACCTCTCATTCAAAAGGTGAGGCAGAAGTCTTTAGCGTAGGCTGGGACGATACTCTGAGATCTATATCTGTTCCAAACAAGATCTTCACAGGGTCTCTCAGCTCCCTCAAGTTTCAGCCGAAGGGCATCGCGACCTCGTCGGGATTGGTTCTTGTACTGTCATCTGATTCGATCGCGCTCTATTCCGAAGGAACCAAAGCTGGGTCCTTTTCCGTCAAATATGGCCCCACCTGCATAGCCGCATCCGGGATAACTGTCGCAGTAGGCGGTGATGACAGACTAGTCCACATCTATTCGCTTTCTGGTACAGAATTAAAGGAGACAGGCACGGAGGTTCGTCGGGCAACATCTCCTATCTCTGCTCTATCATTCTCGGATTCTGGCGACAAGCTTGCCGTTGGTACAAGTAACGGTAAAATATACGCTTTCGAGGCGTCTGCGGACTGGAAACTCATCACGGACAGATGGAGCGCGCACACGGCACGCATCACGTGTTTGGCGTGGGATGAAAATGGCAGCTTCGCAGCAAGTGGCAGTCTGGACACCAATGTCATGGTCTGGAGCGTACAGGAGCCGGGAAAGCGTATCAAAGCACTCAACGCCCACAAGGATGGTGTCACGGGTGTGGCATGGGAGAAGGCCGGCAAGGTGCTCTCCACGGGTGGAGATGCGAGTGTGAAGGTGTGGAAGGTGGCAGGCTGAGGGCTGATGTTCTCCCGATGCGCCCTCAATCAGACCTTCCCTGAGTATCGGATAAGCGAGTTCGCAGGATCAAAAAATGAGGCAACTCGTAGAAGGGCCAAGTAGAAGTTGGAGGACATGGTCGGATAGAAGAGTGTGTGGGTCGCGCGTGACATGTGAAGGCCGGGTGTTCGTATCTTGGACAGATCTTACCATGAGCTTTGAAGGCCTCTTGATTGCCTTCTGCCTTATCGAATAAAATCGCGCATTGAGGCTATGGCGTTGTCAAGCGAGGGTCCCTCAGGACCAATGCGGCTTTTAGACTCCTACAAAAGCTGAACGGCCGCTTCACTCCTTACAGATCTCCATAACTTTTCTCCCCTCACAATTCTAATTCGCTTCAACCTTTCGTCAATCTCTTTCCCCTTCCAATCTAGTTTCATCATTCTCAAACAATGGCCGGAAACTATGGTCACTTCACCAACCACGGCTTCCCGAGCGGGCCGAACGATGAACTCAATGCACAATTGCTTGCATCTCTTGGGGTCGAATTCTCTGTCCAACAAGATATCATCCAGCAGAGTTCTGAGCCCGGCGACTCTGGAAGTCGTGACCAATCGTTCCCCTCGTCACCTTCACCCCGCGCTGCACTGCCTCAGCCTTATGCACACCAACTGCACCCCTCCTCCTTCCACCCCTCACACACCATCGTCCCACAGTCAAACGGCTCACCCGTGAGTCCTCTGCAATACGGCAATTTGGCCTCTGGCGCTCCAGAGACGACTCCGCCTTATGAGTCAGATACCAGTTTTGGAGGCGTGCCAATGTCAGCTTCTGATGGCCCATATGGGTTTGACCTCAATGCAAGCCCGTAAGTGCTCGTCTGCTCTTCAAACACTCAACCTACTACCCACATGCTGAGCAGTCTGCCTGCTATTGGAAAAATTCTGGATTAACCCCTTGACCCACGGATGGAAAACCTTTATTCCCAGAGTTTTGCTTTTTCTCAGGCCCTGCGTGGACCGAGGACAGCCCTGGACCTAATATCTTAGATGACTGAGCCTGACTATCCGGCCAATGAAATGCCAAAATTTAAAGGATCCGCCGCATTAGGAATGTCGAACCGTGGATCCCTGAGATACATTCCGAGTCATTTCCACCCGGCCTCGAAGCCTAGGATAATACCACGTGACTTTAAGCCTCCCCTTCCAAGGCTGTCTTTGTCCTAGTGCAGTCTTTGGCCTGAGCCTGGAGTAGGTTTACGTGGACTTCCCGAACTCGCCGTATCCGGCCTTCTCTTTTGATCTCGGTAGGCCTAATCTCTTCAACACTTTGTAGCTCTGACCGGTCAAGGAATGCGATTGTCTATTGGGAGGTTTGTCACTAGAGGGGAGTCAGCGACTACCCTCGAAGTAATCTGGCTCCATGGCTCATCCCTGTGATAGGAAATACTCTTCCTGTGATTATCGACAAACTACGGGCCCTGCACTGGAACCCATGGCCGTTATACAGCCGGGACGAACACAACATCTTACCAACTCAACAATGAGGACCCTCGTTCCTAGACCCCATCAAGCCGACTCTTCTAGTATCAGTACCGTGAGCGTTCCTAGCTACTATTCCATTCCCAGATAGGAGCCCTATGCACCAAATGGCAGCCACCTCCAAAGTCTCAGAATAAGGTATGGTATACCCTTCATGTACTCGTCATTTGATTGTTGTCTATACTTGGCCTTCATGGGTAGTTTTAGCGTTGATAGTCATTTCTCCCCCTGGTGGAATCCTCGAATAAAACTTTTTTTATCGACCCGAGGAACAATCGAACCAACTGTGGAGAACTATCGCCCTGGACCATTCAGCTTCTGTCTATGCCAATGTCTTGGCTTTGCCGTTAGTCCGGAATCACAGATTTATCAGTCACCAACTCTGTTACTTATTTACGGTTTTACTCTGCTGGTCCCATGTGTACCTTACCCAACATTCTCCATGTTTCCGCTGATGAAGTCTATGCACGGCTGGAATCGTGATGCGAAAGAACAGCCGCTGAATGTGACCTGAAATCGACGATATCCACAACCCTTGATGGAATAAGGCTCTTTCGACCTGATTCGTGGAACACCTACATCGGGAATTTGCTCCGCCGTTGCAACATGAACCAAAATCACTGGCTTCCAAGGTTGTATGGGTCGTAGTCCGAACAATTCTCCTGAGTCTTCCCTCTGCGGATGCTTGGTCTGCCATCGCCGAACGACTTCTCCACGCCCTTCATACAGCTCCAGAATGGAAATAAGCCTCTCACGACCCATTCTGGACTACCCCCAAAGGCCGACAGATGCCTTCGCCTCACGGACGAACCTTCAGTCTAATCTGTATGCGTCATACCCCTAACTCCATCCGGAGTCCATTTTGCAGAATAAATATCTTTGGTACACGATCACCATAACAACGTCTGACTTTGCGTCTCCCTAGACTGGGCTCATTCATGACTCCCTTGAACTATCCCTTTCCCGGCCTTTCGAATCACTTCCCCGACCCTCCTAAAATGCCTTCGTAAGTCTTCGAACCCCACTATTATTATGCCAATTCCTTTAACAATTCCTTTAGTCCGCGGGCTTCCGTGCCTGTAACACCAACCCTCCTTCCACCCGCTCCTCTTCATACATCTCCCAAAACCCGTGTGAGCTCGAGCCGGCGCAACAATACCCGACGAGGTCATAACCGTGAGCGAAACGGCATACAAGCTCACATCATGGAAGATGGCACTATCCAATGTGCTAAAGGAGAATGCCGTGGCCTTTCCTTTGGCCGTACGGCAGACTTCAGACGTCACCACAACCAGCAACATGCACGCAATCGAGCCGAGTACTGGTGCACATTTGACGATTGTTCGCGCAGCTATGTTCCTGGAGGTGGGAAAACCAGAAGCTTTGGCACCAGGAAAGACAAAAGAGACGAGCACCTCCGTAATGTTCATGGGGCTGACACTCGCTAAGACCCCCTTCAAAATTCTCCGTCGTCGAGTTCTTGAGACGACGGCATCTGCCAATAGGAGGCACATTTTATGGCTTGCCCCTCTACGCCCGATCAGGTCAGGGCGATACGTTGGAAGCTATCTTGGTAGGCGTTTTGTTATTTATCTGTCTTGTTTGGGATTTTCGGGTCTTTACGATCATCTGGTTCTGGTATATCTGAATGTATCTCTGAGGGTGTTTATGGAGTTCTTTCGGAGTTCTATATCAGCAAAACGGATGGATGATACCAGTTTGATTGGCGTTACCTGTGGAAATCGGCCTATTGTAACAAGGGCGCCATCCCTATTTCACGTCTCTTTGTACATGTATCTCTTAGTCATCTGGACTCTTACTGTATATTTCCTGCTTTTCCTTCTTGTATTGCATTCTTACTTTAATGTGTCTTTCATTTCTCTCTTTTGTATTTACAATCTAGGTTACGGCTTCTCTTCAACGGCCACGGGAATGATGATGGTGTTTTCTTCCCCTTGTTCTTTTCTTTCGCTCTGCTGTCGAAAGTTTGTATGAGTATATATTCCCCAGAATACACTTCATGATTTGTCTGATTGCATCTTTCATCCACCTCACCTGACTTCGGCTGATTTAATCGGAATGTGTGAATGTGGTGTCAAGGCCAGGGCCGAGAGACATCCAAGACCTATTTGTTTGGCGTCATTATCTGTCCTCTCAACCGTGTTTTCCCAACACACCATCGCGGGGGCGCGTCGAATATACAAATATCATAGTTCATTGCATTTTTAATTAGTCTCAGGTTCCTACGGCACATCACACGCTCACATCTAGTGTGGAGAACAACACCACCCAACACCCTTCGCCATAAGCCATTCGCTCCGCCAACACTCCGCCTAGATGAACTACCTTTTACCATTCTTCACTGTAATGTAGGCATGTAGGCATAGAAAGTTTCCTTCTAGATGTACTGCTTCCCCTGCTTGGTCGTGCCTCTCATCTTCTTGAGTCTAATGCATGGTTACAGCTGCCAAAGATAGGGATGCGGATACCGAGTCAGGGGGTGCGGACGGAATATTGCCACGTTTACGACTATATGCACCAAGAGACAGCCAAAAGGCATGCACAGGTTGAATCAGCGAGGATTCAGCTTGCATAGTGGATATTTATGAGCGAGATGGGATGCTCCCCGGATGCCGGGTCCCATCTAGATCTTTGATCTGGTCCACTTGCGGGTCCAACCCATCACAGTTTTCCTACGTTGTATGTTCCAAGTATTCTAAGCCTTACAGCCTACAGAGTGTATGTGTAGTGCTTCTGGCTAGTTTTCTTATTAAAGATTAACTTTTTAAGAAGCACTAAATTCTTAGCTGTAAACTGCCTTATATAATTATAACATCCTGCAGAGTTCTATAGGGAACATCTAAATCTACTAGAATAGAGATACTGTCTAAGTGCGGGTAAAAAGCTTTAGAAAGAGCCTGCTTAATTATATTGCTTTAGAGATCTATCGGACAGAAAAGGCTTGCATGCGTAGCGCGAGAAGAGGACTACAGATTGACACACGTTTTCTAGGAAGTAACGTACAACTCCCTCTACATGTTAGATCTACATAAAGAGTTTAAGAATGTAATAGGTAGTAAGCTACAGGTAGTTAACTTCTTTAAGCAGCACAAGACACGCGATCATGGTTTAAGCGTATTTCTTGCCAGAAAGTCTAGCCGCTATGCATAGATAGTGACGCAAGCCCTTTGGCTACTCGGACTGAAGACCCCAATTTAGACGAGTGCTAGTTATACTAGTTATAAAGAGAGATGCAAATATGACAAGCGCATCAAACGTCGAAAGCACCTGCGAAAGCACGAGATCCAAGCTGCGCGCGACATGCATTATGCGTTCAAGCTTCTCGAGATTGAGCGGCAAGAACGAAAAGGCAAGAACGGTTCAAGACGTTCTTATTTGTGAGTCGGAATAGTATATTAGTTCAGAACTCCTTCTCCGTCGTGTTCATGCAGCAATTCTTTGGTGATAATGCAACGACTTACCATAGTAAGTTTATATCTCAACTCTCTAGGGTCTAAGGGAGAGGACTAGAGTGCTAACGAGATAATAATTTCTTCTAACTCTGAACAAGCAGGCTTCGCCTGCTCCAATGTTCGCGTCTTATTCTTCGGCGCCGGTGTAACAAAATAGCTTTTCGCAATTCCCGTCATCTGCATAATCAACACATTCCGCCACCACAACCTCCTCCGCACCACATCCGCCCATAGAGTCCCTGTATCAATTCTATGACGGGGCCTCATTGGAGCTTAAAAGTAAGACATCCGATGAGGGGAATGGCTGACTAGGAAAGCTAAAAAAATTATTAAATAGTTTAGACGAGACACGGGAGCTGGCAACTAGAGTGGACGCTAATTATTTGGCTGAGGGAAACAGCTCATTGGAAGGGAGTGGAGATATGTGGATGGAAAGGGGTGCATTGGCTCGATATCCAACAGCATTCTTCCTTAAGATTGAGAGATTGAACAGTTCATATTTTGCGTGTCATGGAAAGCGATTATCTGTAATGTACAACTTGGGACACCTGTCTGTATCAAATGAACGGTCCAGAGTACTGGAACTTGACTAGCCTAGGCAGGGCGGCCAAGAATGCTTGTTAGTCTCTGAAATCGCCAGTACACACGTGCTAGCGCGTACCCTTGGATTGCTTCAGCTGCCTAGTCTAACTGCGTTGGGTCAAGGCGCTCACCGCCAGGTCCCAACGTCCATAAATTCATCTTTTCCCACCTAACTCTTACTTTTCTAACCCTAACTTCCGTCTCAGTTCTTCAATCTCTCCTCATTGACACTCACTCTGGTGTGTCCAGGACAATTGGGTCTCAGAAAAACAGAATGGAGATCGATTCAGTGCCCCGCATCACACTTCCCGGCTTCGGCCTTCCCGTCAACACATTAACACAATGGTCTCGTGAAGGCGAAAATACTCGCTTCCCACATGCAATCGCAGATTGGTTTTCTAGCGACGGGGTCTCGGTGCGGGAGCGACGGATGTTGGAATTCATGACGCAGATTACGGATAAGCCCGAGTGGACGCGCAAGGTTTTCGATGAAGCCATCATAGCGAAATGGAAGGAGGAGGCTATTCGCTGGGACGACAGTCTTCCTGAAAATGGGGATTGGTGGCTGAGTGAGACGATGTTTGAGTGTTGTATGCTGGAGTTGAGAGAGAAGGCCGAGGTGTATCAGAAAGAGGGGTTTGTCGCAGTTTTGGATGCAGAGGCTACGATTGTGAAGTCTGATATTGCTGTTTCGGGCGAGTTAAGAGATAGATTGAGAGGTGCGGTTAAGAAGCTGGAAAATGTGCCTGATAGGGTAAAGGACTGGCATCCGGGGTCTGATGAGAAGGTGCTGGATTTGGTACATCCGTCCCTGTTCCCAGTCGTTTATGGGTTTACGAGAGCGTTGCCGTTTGGGACTGTTCCGCTAGAGAGTTGTGCAGAGTATACTGGGAAAGGAGAAGTCATTGATAAGTTCGAGGCTACGGATCATGTCAGGAAGGTTTCTTGGGGTGATAAGGAGATCATTGATCAAGCATGGGGGAGTTACCAGTGGCTTCCTTCGAATATTACGTTTACGGACGATGGCACGGCGAAGATTGTCAGTTACATCAACAACCTGCACCCTAGAGAGCATACCGAGTTGTATAAGATATTGGAAGCATTCGTCGACGCCTCCATTCCACTCTGGAACGAATGTCTGTCCTGGTTCCACAACCGGATCCGCATTTCCATCGGCGGGACAAGCAACGAAGATTATAAATTTGCACCTGGGGTCAAATTTGACCGCGAGCCATATAAGCACGATGCAGAGGAAGGACATGAATCCGATTCTGAGGACGAAGAAGACGATGAAAGCTGGGCATGGGAACATGGCTGCATAGACCAATATCGCGACTGGCGAGACCAGAATCGAATCCTCGAACAACGCGAGCCAGCCTTCACACCGCACGACGAACACCAAACGCAACCAGGAGCAAAACGTATTGACCTCCGCAAGGACTTTACGGAGCGTGGATTGCAGGTAATTTTCAAGCTTGCGAACATCCATCTTACACCTGAGAAACCAGAGTATGAGGGTGGGTCGTGGCATGTGGAAGGGAGCTTGAACGAACATATTTGCGCCACGGCGATCTATTATTATGATTGTGAGAATGTGACGGATAGTCGGTTGGCGTTTAGACAGAGCTACGATGCTGAAGCCATGATTATGAGGCCTGCGCAGGTAAATATATTAGCTTTTTTTCCTTTTAGTTTTCATTCCAGTTCATATGTTTTCCTAGCCTCGTGCCTTCATTCCCACAATCTAGAACAACCTCTGACCTACCACCATGAAGTCCGAATACAGTTCTACAGAAGCCTATTTCGGGATTACTCAAAACGGCTCCTCAATCCTCAACCTCGGCTCCGTTCTCACGCCCCAAAATCGTCTCCTCGCTTTCCCCAACGTCCTCCAACACCAAGTCCAACCCTTCTCCCTCGTCGACAAAACCAAATCTGGCCACCGCAAAATCCTAGCCATGTTCCTCGTAGATCCGCATATTGAGGTTCTGTCAACAGCCAACGTGCCGCCGCAAAGAAAAGACTGGTGGGCGCAGGAGGTTAGGAAGATTGGGTTCTTTGCGAGATTGCCGAAGGAGATTTTTGATATGATTGTTGGGGAAGTAAGGGAGTTTCCGTTGGGGTGGAAAGAGGCAGTACAGGTGAGGGAGATGTTGATGGCCGAGAGGGGGAAGGTAGGGGATGTTCTTGAGAAGGGTATGGATGAGGTATGTTTGTTCTATGAGATTTTTATTCCTGTATTTTTACGGGGGCTCACAACCATGGGTTCGACATGGGTGTGGAAAGTTGTGGTGCGAGAATGATGCTAACGGATTTGCAGAATACCTTCTTCTTCTGCGAACATTGAATGTGTAAGACCCTAGACGATGGTCGCGGTATATCACGCTAAAGGCCATACAGTGCATAGGAAGGACCATTCACGCTTTATTTTATTTTTTTTCCTGTCTACCTACCTTCCTATAAAGTGTCCCACAATGCAAATATAATCAGAAACCTTAACTTCTGTATCCATAACTTTCCCTTTCTTTTCCATCTCTACAACTACTCATTTAGGAAAAATAAATACGGACACCACTGACCTCCCACATTCATAATATATAATCTACACACCATGTGTCACATAACCCACACCATAGCCGCCAATTGCAACCACATCTTCTCCGACATCGACCCTTGTTCTCAACCCAAGGGAATCGATCCACCGCAGTGCACAGACTCCGAATGCGTCATCCGCGAAGCCAGAATCCCCGGCAAGTGCAGCGCATGCCAAGCCGCGGATATTGAGCTTGACGAACAAGACCAACTAAGGGAATTACAGGAAAGGTGTCGACAGGAGTTTTTAGCACAAGCACAGACAGGGGTTAGGAGAAGCGACGCAGATACAGAGCTAGCACAAGCTCTGCAAGCCTCGCTATCTGAAGCTGAAGAAAGCAGAGCGCGAGTAGAGGGACAACACCTCATAGTCGCGCTTGCAGCGTCGAAGCTCGACACCCCTTCTGGATTCACGTCACCGCAAGATGAGGAAGACGCAATCCAACACCTCTTACAACAAACAAGTGAAGAACATGCGCATGCTCAGAGCGCTGCAGTGGCCCTAGGTGCACTCCCAGATGATGATTCGCTGATGAGGGAGGTGTTGATGAGGTCTATGATGGATTGGCACAGTTTGACGAGGGAGAATTCAGCTATGCCGGATCTGGACGCGGGCTTGAGTGTGGATTTGGAGCCTGGGGGGAAAGGGAAGGGACCAAGACAGAGGGACTGGTTGCCCGTAACCATGGCTCTACCTCCAACTCCAGCTCCAGCGGCATCTACACCTGCTGTTACGATTCCTGGTTCGGGGACTGGTAGGCAGCAGCAGCAACAGAAACCACAACAGAGTGCTGCAGGTACACTTATACCGGCGCTGAACAAGCCTCCTCCTGCTCAACCTTCTAACCGTAACCATATAACAGTAGCATCTTCCTCTTCCTCTTCCTCTCGCTTTCATCCAACGGCAAGCGCGCGAAGCCAACCCCAAAGTGAAGACACACATGTCGAGTTCTCAGCGATACGAGCACAACAACAAGTTGCGTACGAAGCCTCGCTGGTCGCAGATTTGGAGAGGGCGAGGAAGAAGCGTGAGCAAAATGAAGCCCAGGCGAGAGCCGAAACCGAAATGAAAGCGGAGGCTGAACGGAAGCCACAGGATGTCGGGGAAGGGCCTGAAGCGGATGTAAAAAGGTATGAGAAGGGCGAGAAAGTTGAAGATCCAGGGCAGCTGAAGGCTAAGCACCTTGCTTTTCTGAATCGGTTCAGTTCACAGATGTAGGACGATAGAACATTTGGTAGTAGTGGGGTGGAATGGAATGGAAAGGCAGGGGATCGAACGGCACGTATGAGAGAGAGATTGTCTACCTGTGATGGAGTGTGTCCAGAAATCTAGGAGCCAATTAGAAATAAAATTGTGTCTGACACTATTATAAACAAATCACTTATCCAGAAGCTAATTAGTTTTCAAGATACGCGGTCGAGTAGGAAAAATACCAGAATCCTGCGTGTATTCCTCCTCATCATGCTGAAATATTTACAAGAACACTCCGGGTGCAATGCAATACAATGCCGCTCGCTCGAAAGCGTCAATCGAAGAAAGAAATACTAGGAACTAAAACTAATCATGAGCTGGCATACATGGACGCGTAAGGTCATACTCAAGCCATCGCCTCATCATCCAAAAACCCTTAAACCATACTCAGCCTCATCCCCTTCTTTCATCATAGCAAAACAAAAACCGCAACCAAAACCGCCACAACAAGACTCCCCATCGCACTCCCCCTGACCTTCACACCTGCGCCATGTATCCCTAATACCTCATCCTGGATACCAAACGTCACATTCTGCATGATCGTCTTATTCAAACACTGTCCATTCGAAATATCCAATCCCCTTAGGTCATCCGGGACACGGAAGAACATATAACTCGTATTTTTCAGTCCCTTGAATTTACTCGTATCGTAGGGGAACTTGTCGCCTGGGTCGGTGGCGGATGTGTTGCGTAAGAAGATGCATTGGACTTGGTTGGGGAAGTCATGGGCGAGGGTGGGGTAGTCTTTCATCACATCCGAGTTGGAAGTGTCGGCGACCAGGACGAATTTGCGTTTTGGAAAGGTTTCGAAGACTTTTTTGAGGAGGAACATCCGGATTGAGAGCGTTGCAGAGACGTCGGAGAAATTTAGGGGGCGCTGTGTGGGGGGTTAGGAATTGGGTTGGGAGCTTAGGAAGGTGGGGAACTTACTGTGTCGAAGGAGCCGCCAGGATAGGTCTTGTAAATGAAGTCCATGTACAGACGCGTGGCTTGCTCGGGGGTCGTAGTTAGGTAATGGAAGTGGGTTCCATTAGGTAGAGTCATGGACCAATTCGCGTATATCTCTGGCATGTTCATCCACGGGGTGAACGGTCTAGCAAATGAATTCATCAGGCCCTCTTTCGGCTGATAGATCTTCGTTACGCGGAGGATATCATCGATATCGGAGATGAAAGTGATACCTTCCGGCGGAACTAGGAAGGCAGTTGCATTGCCGGTAAGCGTGCCGTTGGTGTAGACATTGAGACGCTGGACATCGTTCGTCTCGTTTCCGGCCAGCAATCCACCTCCTGAGACATTTTTGATCGGAACAAAGGCATCAAAATCACCTTGAGAAGTCGTCTCGAATGGGAACGTGATATTCTGGGACCCGCCAGGAGGCGTGATAGCACCTCCGCCCCCAGGCTCGCCACTTGCGCCTTGGCTTGGAGCAGGCTCTAAATGGAACGAGACGTTCTGCTCCCCTTGCTGCACGATAAATATGGACTGCGTGAGATTCCGAGCCTGGGCCTGTTGGTCTGTAGGGAGGTCTTTGATATCGACGTCGATCAAGAAAATGTTGGCCAGATCATCCAGCTTCGATTGCGAAATATTCGGCGTCTTAAACACGTTTCCGTGAAACCGAACATTCCAACCTTGATCTGTCCAATTAGCATATGGAGGGATATTGAGGACCTCGGTTGGCTTGGCGTCGAGATCGCTGTCTTTGATACCGAGCGAGGACTTGACTTGGTCGCCAGTGGGGAAGTTCTGGAAGTAGTTGGGGATGCCGGAGATGACATAGCTCGGTAAATCCGTCCCCAACACGCTCCCAAGAGAGTGCAGCACATTGTCTGCCCCACTGACAATGTCCGACACAAGGTTCCTCCGATCAAGCATGTAGCTGTGGCTTCCATCGAACCGGACTGCTGCGGGAGTGATGACTGGTGCTTGTATTTCTACCTTTGTAGGGGCAGCTGTAGGGTCAGGAATCGCAACAGCATAGGCCAGTGCCGCACCTCCGAGTAGCAGCATCTGCTGCCTCGAGATGCTGCCCATGATGTTGGTTGGTCTCCTGCGGAAAGGAATAGAATTGGCGAGGAAGGTTTGTCGCGTGTTTGGCGAGCGTAGGGTTTCAGAGAGGTCCACAGGTAACTAGACAGCCCAGGCCGAAGAACCGCAAGCTGGTGAGAGGAAACAGAGGAGCAGCACAAAGGAGGCGGGGAGAAAAGGGTACAAGAGCAATTAATTTGTTGTTCTTCCCAGTTTCAGGTCTCCGGATCGAGATTCTGCAGGAACCGCGCCGATATGATGTCACCTACGACGCCGTCTCGCCAACCGCTCTCGGTGTAACCCCGTTGGGAAGGTTTTAGCGCGGCCTGAATCGAGGGATTCCAAGACATCTTGCGAGGCAATGGAAGGAATGCTGTAAGCATTTAAATTGTAGACAACAATTTCTCCGTCCATACTATGTCTCCAGTTATTTTCCATGATATTTGATGTTATTGACGTCCTCAGGGTATTGTAGACCCGATCACGTTAGTTTTGACAAGGATCCAATCAGCGTCGTTGCATTACAAACAGGTTTACAAGCTTCCTATTGGATCGCCTCCAAATTTGCAACCTCAGCTTGTGCTTGCCACAAACGATCTAGAATTCAAGAGTGTGATAAATTCGTACACGGTGATACGCACTCTAATTCGATGACTGCTTATGTTTTTCTTTCCTGCCCCTCCTTCTTCATACTCCTACATTCATCCTCAGAAGAGGAGGAAGAGGACAAGCAGGACGAGGAAGAGACCAGCCGCATTTTGACTTAGCTTTCTACACCCTCTTCCTTTCCATATTCCTGACTTTAGGCTTTCTTATCTTCTCATGCTCCGCCTTGTCTTCGTACGTTTCCCAGGGTGTCTTTCATGTATGTACTCATCGAAGATCTCCATCGTTTTGGGCAACAACTTCGAACTGTAATCTTCCTGGCTCCACTTTGACATCGCTGTCCTTGCCGTACGCTGATGGGTCTGTATGATCGAATGCTGTGTGCTTAGTTCGCGATGCGTATTCGGCCATGGCATGTGCGGTGTGACAGGCGGTCCGGACTGGCGGCCGTTCCAACAGACGTCCGCTGGAACCCTGTTTTAGGGCTCGTGAGTGAAGGCCCTCATGCTTTTAGAGTTAATGCGGAAGTTTGGACGGAATGCATTGGCCCCGTTACTCCACTTAGTGGAGACCGTCCAGACGTCCAGTGTGGCTTCCTCTATGCTTATTCTGAACGCTTATAGGTTCGGGGTCGCCGAACTAGGATGTCGATGGGGTAGGCATTCTTCTCTCTCAGCGCTTCTTGGAATCTGTTCCAACACCCGGGGTTGAGTAGGAGTTGGATGGTTCTATTTTCCGTTAATTTAGACATAATGGACCAATCCGATGCAGATTCTGGATTGTTCATCAGTCGTGCTTGTAGGCTATCGAATTAGCTGAAGAGTAAGTCATGTTCATTTTCCAGGTTCAAGATGAGTCTCTCGAGATCGGCCATCTGAACCATCTTCTTTGGCGGAGGAATTTTGAGAGCAGGATTGGTAACAGAACTTCGAGTTTCGCCATCGGAGCACTTTTCGGCTCGACCCGGCGCTTGATGATGACCAAAACCAACATGGCCACCACTCCTATACCGTTGAAGCTATTGCGAGAGTCAATGTTCTCCTGCAACCCTCAGAATCTCTAGCAATGCTGACCCCTTACCTCTGCCACGTCCAAGTGCACGACGGATTCTCCTCTTCGAATCTTGTGAATTCTCTAGGTAAAGTGCTTCCAGACAACTCCCCACTCTTTGCTATTGTCAATAGTGGAGACACCGACCAACTGAAATGCCTTCTAATGCGGGGGGCAATCCACTCTGAGAGATAGAGACTCATGGGGAGCGCCATTATTGCACGGAAGGAATATCAATCCCATATAGGCACCCTATTCTTACCAACCACCACTATTATGCCACGTCTCAGCCAGCGATGTGCAAATTCCTTGTAGAGAACGGGGCAGATATGGACGAGCTGGCGTCGTTTCGGTTTTTTCTTTTTTAGAGAAAACCACAGGTATGAGGTCTATAATTATTATCATCAATTCGAAAAATACCATAAGAGTATTTGCCGATTGTTTTCATACTTAGCCGACCATTGACTAGGGACATTGTTGACATCGGACGGGATGAAGAAAATTAGCAGAGGATCATCGAATGTAGGCTCCTGCTACTGCAAGCTGGTGCAGACCCGACTCTGTGTGGTTATGGAAGTGCTAGCGCCTTTGTTGATATTATACAGTTTTGCACTGTTGTAAATTTATGCGGATGTAACTATACACCGGTTCCGGTTAATTGTAATAGGATTCAATAAAGGGTTCTTAGACTTTGGACGGCCAGTTATCAACTTGGAAGAAAGAGATGTGATAGGCGACACCGCTTTATTAGTATTAGCACGAAACCATGGAGACGGTTATGATGCCATGAAATTTAAGCTTCTCCTCGATAGCGCCGCCAACTTAATGCCCCAGAGTTACGAAAAGCAGACCTGCCTTCAAATCGCTATTCGAAATGTCCATTTCCCAAAAAAGCTTGTAAAAGATATGGAAGCCATCGTTCTGTTGATTCAATATGGGGTAGATATTTTTGCTACGGACGATCCCGGCCGTTCAATCTTCGACGATGCCTACGAATGTGATCATAATGATTACTTAGGGCTTGTAGTAGGCACCAAAGTGATCTCTGGACATTGTGCTATCACAATGCGGTTTCAAAAAGTACATTCAAAGCGCTGAGGAAAGGATGTGTCATTGTACATGGAAGTACACTTGGGAGCATTTTGAAAGACTTTGGAAAGGGCGCGAACATATTTGTCCTTATTTCTACTATACTCCAGTGATATACCCGGATTGTGACCGGGGGTGTCATGATGCTGGATAGTTTTATTTAAAAGAAGATGAGGATATCAATATTAAAGAGCTTTTCAAGCCTCGAATAGAGGGAGAGGACAAAGAGGACAAAGGAGATTTCTCTGCGTCTGAAACAGAGGAAGGTGAACAAGGAGACGAAGAAGAGGTATCGTCGTCCAGGGTAGGAGAACCTGACGAAGAGTATGGAAGAGAGATGCCTAAGTCAGAAAGTGAAGAAGTATGTCTCACCAACTCTGAACAGAACTTGTCTGACCATGCTGGTGGACATCCAGAAGGGTTGTTGGTTTCAATTGAGAAAGCGCGGAGACGTCTGGGATATGAGCCTCTTTGCAGCACTGATGAGGGGATTTGGAGGACGATAGAGTGGTTCTGAGCAAACTAAGGGTGGGAGTGTATGTAGGCACGACATGGCTGTGATAATAGCGCTAGATTAAACCGCAGAAGGGGGAAAGGATTTAGCAGCCGCTTTCAATCTAGAAGTGGTGTTCAAAGAACAGCTTCGTGAGTATTTGTGTCTTGGCTATGATGATCTATGATTAGATCCTCAAATGGCGCGCTTCGTGATGGAGCTGGAACGTCAGGGCATAGTGGGGAGAGCATATTGCAATCTTCGTCACGTTGATTGGCCAGAGTCCCCGAGGTTCAACCGAGAGCTTCTCATCATCAACCTCACTTCGACGCCACCACCAAACAACCCCATCCAAGCAAAATGGCCTCGAAATTGACGCCTTTCCTCTTCAGAGGCACTCCTCGAGCACTGCGTCAGCTTCAGAGGGCTCAATGGCGCCCATTCAGCGCCTTCACGGCCTCACGGAGCGATTCCCTCATGGTCGTACGTTTACCTACCCACTCCCGTGGTTCCGCAATTGTAGCGTTAATACTGTTCTAGCATCGCGATACACCCGTCAATAACCCGTCAATTCCATTCAAGTTCACGCCGCAGAACGAGGAGCTGATCAAAGAGATCCTCAGTCGTTACCCATCACAATACAAAAAAGCGGCGGTGATGCCACTGCTCGACCTCGGACAGCGACAGCATGGCTTCACAAGCATTAGCGTTATGAATGAGGTTGCTAAGATACTAGAAATGCCACCGATGCGAGTCTACGAAGTTGCGACGTTCTATACCATGTACAACCGGAACCCCGTTGGCAAGTTCCATGTCCAGGTCTGCACCACAGTATGTACCAACGGAAATCGCATCATGTGTTGGATGGATGGGCTAACCAAGTATAGACACCCTGCATGCTCCGCGACAGCGACGCTGTTTGGAAAGCCTGCAAAGACTACCTCGGCATCCAGAACGGCGAAACCACGAAGGATGGCATCTTCACCCTCCTGGAAGTCGAGTGCCTCGGTGCTTGCGCAAACGCTCCCATGGTTCAGATCAATGACGATTACTACGAGGACTTAACCTACGATACCACCGTGTCACTTCTTAAGGCGCTTCGGCACGCTGCCCAAGCGACTGGTGCGCAACCCGGAGAAGCAGGCAAGGGCGCTGTGACAGGCGACGACGGGAACGTCAAGAGCGGAAATGATATCAATGAGCAGGGGCAGGCCTATGAGGCAGGTGGTGTCAAGGTGCCCACTCCAGGTCCACTGAGTGGAAGGAAGAGCTGTGAGCCGGCTGCGGGATTGACCACGTTGACGGGCGAGCCGTGGGGCAACGAGATGCTGAGAAAGGATGGGGCTCTCTAAAGATGTATATATGCGTAGGTTTCATCCACTAACCCCTCTCAAGCTTTGGGTGTGAATGCTAAAATATGTAGGAATTTGTAGACAACACCCAATACCAATTTTAGCAAAATGATGTCAATCGTCTACTAGGTTTCTCCTGCGCGGCATTGTAGAGTATGCCACGGAAAGCGAGCAGGGTGCATCTGATCCGTGAAACCTCTTTCTGCAATTATGAGTGTCAAAGGGATATTGATTTCTGTCCGAAAAACAAGCCCACTAATGATCTACCGTAAGTGCTAAAGTTACCACCATACATAAGTAGCACATGCCCTTTTTCTTCTATTCCCGGGGTTCATATCTGTTCATCCCTGTCACGTTCTGAAGTTCTTGTCTGGCCCCTTTCTTCCTCTAATTTCACTCGAGGTAAATGTCCTGCCTTGGCTGGTTCCTCCACCTTCGGATCGTTCTGTACCCAAACCACAACGCTGCTAGCGAACACAAAAATATGTACACACTCAAACAAATCATCCACACCACATCCCGGATATACCCTTTCGTCCACCCCCTCCTTGCCGCACTCTCAAGATCATCCACACTCAACATACCGACTCCCTCCTCTGTCAACGTCTGCCACACATAATCTCGATAACTGATTGGCCAAGAAGGCAAATCCCAGTACCGTGCAAGGAGTCCGCTCTTCTTCGCTGTCCGAATTTGACTACGCAGTTTCGCCCTCTGTTTCTCACTAAACCCCGTTCGCACATTCCCGATGGACTGTTGGAACGACACAGACGCATAGTACGAATTCCCCGGATACCACATCTTCGACGAGCCGCCACTCTGGCCATCAGGAGCCCTCCAGAAGGTATTGTCATCCGGCAGTTGACCCAATGGTGCGTCGAGGAAAGTGTCGTGGTAACGGTAGTAGTATGAATGTCCACCTTCTCCGGTTACGGGGTCGATGGGAACGATCTCGGTATATAGATTGACAATCGTGTCGCCCTCCATGTTGCCGGAGCCGACAACTGTGAGTGCAGATGGCCAAATTTCTTGCCGTTCGACAAAGCCCGGAGCAGGGAATACGTTCTCGTATCGGGTGAGGTAGCGTTTTGTGGGGTGGCGGAAGCGCTCGAGCTTCTTTAGGACTGAGGGAGCTGTTAGTCCAGTTGGGTGAGGAGGGTGCAAGTGCAAGATGCCCATACCAGCCTTCCACGTCGCCGACGGCTCAGTCTTAACATCAATCATCAACACAAGCGTCATATTCGGCTGCGTCTGAAACACCCCCCGTGCGCGATCATACACCGTATTATTCTCCCACACCTCCCCTGGATTCCGATGCTCCAGTATCTCAAACAACGGGTCCAAATACATCTTCTCGAGCGTCATCTCCGGACGTAGCGACCCGCGATCATGGCCGACAAGCAGTGTCTCACCATCGTCCTGCAACCAGACATCTGCTTCCACTCCCGTGCAGCCTGTGGCAAGGGCGGAGAAAAGGGGGTATGGGCGCCAGTAGTCGTTGTGGGAGTGGCACATTATTGGGATCACGGAGCGGGAGAAGTCTTCGAGCCAGCGGGAGAGGCCATCAATGGGTTGGCCGTCGGTGAGGATGGGGTTGTTGGAGATGAAGTTGTGGGTGGTTGCTGAGTAGGAGGAGTGCGGGACGGCGATGAAGATTATGGTGTAGAGGAGGGAGCTGTGAGGTAGTCAGTATATCATTCCGTTTCGCTTTACGGATCTGGCTTGGGGAGAGAGGGCTGTTGACGAACATGACCGCTGAGGTTCCGATTATCACGACCGAAGACCAACTTAGCATGTCGCGTCTGAGGCCTGGTTTCGCTAATGAAGCGATGCTCCTTCGAACGCGGTTCCATCCGTCGCGGAGACGCTGTCGCTTCGATTTGCAGCATTGATTTTGGTTGTGCTGTGTTGGTTCAGTGCTAGCGTTGATATCATTGATATTGGTCTCGTTGATTCGTTCATCCTCCCTCATTAATTCTGCATTCGAGGTCCTGGAGTCCGATGATGATGTATCGGACATTCTTTTTCCCTTTCTAAGACGTCGAAATTTAGTCAAAAAACAGCAAATCTTGAAGCTTAATGCTTTGCAGCTGCGTCCATGCAGCACCTCAAGTTATTAACCATAACCCTGCTTCCCAAAAGCCTTGTAAGGCGGATTTTGCAAGTTCAGGCGATCCGCGACTAAGGCAATTTGAGCGATCATATGTTTGGAAATACTAGACGTAACATGGTGCGACTCGTCGCTGTCCTGCTGTGGGCTGTTATGTAGGGTGGGGGTGGTTGATGAGGTGGACGCCGTGGCTGAGCAAATCCTGAATCCTTCGGGCTGTGAACAGAGTCGTGTGGTGCGCATACACTTGGCAACATAAGGAGCCGGGTACAAAGATGGTAGATGTGGAGTTTGCAATATCCACACTGTGCTAATGGTGGAGTTGCGGAAAATCAAACACCGTTGAGCGACTCAGCTAGCTGCATAGATATATATAAACAAACTGAGGATGAAAATGGTAGTCGTCAATTAAGTGAGAAGGAAACTCGATTTGTCCGACTTTGTTGTGTAGATAGGGATTAAATTTAAACAAAATAATTAAGGCATGGTTCGACTCAACTCACAACTTAGGACCCATGTTCTCCACAATCGCTTTTTCGGTGAAACCACTCTTCGGCCTTCAAGGCAAGATCAGTGAACTGAAGGCGTTGAGCTATGGTGATTAATGACCCACTTTTGTGCTTGTCAAAATGCCTCATTAGGGTTGAGAAACTCGAAGTGGTTAGGAGAAGAGAGGGGTTATCACGGTCATTGGTCCTCATTCGCAAGCCCGCCGTTTGCTATACTATTTCTGGTGTTACTAGTGTTACTAGAATCTTGACCTTGCGGTACTTCTGTGGGCTGCATGCTGTGATTAACTAGACAGAAAGCTCTGATACGGATTTAGTAACTGGCGTCATGATGATGACCTCCTTGACTTCAGCAATGCGAACCTTTCTAGTCAGCGCTTTGTGCTGCGATATGGATATCAATTGCAGTCACCTCTGATCCCCTTTCTGAGAGCCGTTTTGGAATTTGTACCCGGAAGTCGGTGTGCACTTCAAGTACTAAGTGGTGAAGTCGGAGACACAAAGCAATTTCGTTTGCGGGTGCCTCTTGGGATAATCGGTGAGAGATCTCCTTTGTTCTTCTCTATTTTCGTGACTTCTTTATATAAGAACCTCCGACCTTTTATCCTCCCGCATTCTTCAACCAACTTCTAACACCTTTCGAACCACACAACTGTCAAATCAACCGCCAACCGACATGAAGTTCTCTGCTGCCATTGCTTTGGTCGTCATATCCATTGCTAGGACTGTTTCCGGAGAGGGCGGTAAGGCCTGTGAGGAGTGCCTCAGGCTGAGGGATGAGTGCCTGAAGGTGTGCCATCCTCCCAATGTCTCATTTTATTCATTCTCTCTCTAACTTGAGCGTAGGCAGGAGGCTTGAGCCTGAGGGACTGTGAGATCAAGTTGTGCGGCCAAGACGAAGTATGGTCCTTTGAATCATGTCCATGGAATATCTGCTCACTGGCTGTAGTGCGACGTCCACTGTCCCGGCTTCGGGCATTGCACGCTCCTGGGGCGCGAGGTAGGCTCAGAGCAGCGTTCTAGGAAATGCAGGGGCTGCGATAAAATGGTCGATCATTGTACCTTCGTTAGTGTTGCTGCAATTCCACAATTTTATGGGTCCTAATTAGCAGTTAGTATGACCACAAGTCTGCCGATGAGTGTAGGGCCAAGGTCTGCAAGGAGAGCGACGTAAGTTTCTTCTTTCCCGATGTCCCTTTGTTATCTAATCTCCACATACTGTCTTAGCATAGAAGACTCGGAACTGACTCCTCCAGTGTACGAACTGCGGCAGCAACTACAAGAATTGCTAAGCAGTCTATGACTACTCGCGACACAATTTCCTTTAAAGCCTGGTGGCGCTAGTGGCATGAAAAGACAAGCGAGGAAATCTTTTAGCAACTCCAGCACATCTATCTGGAAATTTGTAAATTTCTCGCTGGTTTCAGGGTCAGAGTGGTGGTCCGAAATTGATATTGGGATCTACTTAGTCCCCGCAGGACTCAAATAAAGGTGGCTAGATTATCTAGAGTATGACTCAAAGTAGTTCCAATGGGTAGTATTTACATCTCGACAAGAGATGAAGACATTCTTGGAGTCGGTTCAATTGGAATGCGCAGAGGACGGGTGTAGTCACATGATCTAGCGTTTCGTGGCGCACTTTAGGTCTAGCGGGCCTCGGCTTTTATTTACATAGGGACGGATTAACAGCCGCTTTGAACTTCATATACATTCACAACACCAACCTCCAAACTTCAACGCCATGGAGGACGGCTCGCTCCCGGTGTTCCGCGCGCCGAAACGTCGGAGGTTCTTGCGCAAAACAATCACCGAAGACACTAATGATGGTTTCGAAACCGCAACACCCGAGTCTGCTGCTATTCCGCCATCGCAAACATTCACTGAGGGCCACCATGACCCTGTCTTGAGCGTGGCTGAGATTGTCCGGGCCCGAAAGCGCCCTAGCCATCGGATAAAGAATGTCTACGTCTCAAGCACTCTTCAGAAGGCAGTGCATGCAGATTCAGCGGAGGCGCTGGTGAAGACGGACGGGCAGAGGCACAACTCATATACTGATCGTTTCGTTGCGCAAACCGGACATGTTGTGCACGATAAACAGATGTAAGTGGGCCCATCTGTTATTCCATGTCTTAGCGATCGAGAAGGACAGAGCCTAATCCGGTAGGACTGCATATATAGAAGCACGCATGGCTGAAAAGAATGCGCTTGAATATGGCTGGCCAACCCCTACGACCATCGCAAGCTCCTTAGCCCCGGTGTCGACCTCGAACACTATTGCGAACAATCCTTCATCGGCAACAAGTCCATCCGGCACTATCGCGGTTGCTACTGCAAAGGCAGAGGACAAAGGTAGCGCGAGTGGTCAACACGACGCTCGCCTAGCCGCTGGCATGGGCAAGCTACAAGAGGTCGACCTGGGGCCGGACGCGGTAACGACGAATGTCGAGCGCACGGAAGCGGCCCTGCGGTTTGCGCGTGGAGAAGCACCTCCTCCGCAACAAGAGACCACGAACCGAAAATCCCGACGCCGTAGACGTCAAGAGAAGGCAAGGAATCCAGAGGATGTGCGGAGAGACCAGTTGGTGGAGCAGGTTCTCCGAGAAGCAAAACGTAAAGCAGCACATTTCCCTTGCCTACCTTTATCCTCATGCGCAGACAAAACTAACACATGCCAGTGGACTACTATGATGAAGAAGCGACTGCGGAGGAGGCTTCAGGTGTCAACCAAGCTACCGACGAGGTCCTTGCAGAGAGATTCCGCCGAGAGTTCCTCGAATCCCTCGAGTCTCGGAATCCACGCAAGCCCGCTCCACCCCCGACACAGAAGGGCGCAAAGGAACAGCAGAAGCCTGGACGGAAGCTAGGAGGATCGAGGAGTGCAAGAGCGGCGATGAGGTCCCAAGAAGAGCAGGCTGCAAAGAATAAGAAGTAAGCGATATCCTGACGCGACTTATCGGCCCCTTATGTTTTGCGTTTCGTGTTTTATCCTCTAGGTTATTTTTTTTTTGGCTTTGGTTTGGGTGTGTTGTTCTGATTCTTATGAAGAATTTGATTAATCTAGCAAATGTGAATCTAGGACTAGGGATGTGCTGGCAGAGCATGATCCGGGCAATGTTATTGTTACGAATAAGCTGGGTAACCTGGGAGCGTGGTATATGAGGAAGTGAAGGGGGTTTGACCAAGTTATTGACCAGTTAGAATTCCTGGAAAAGGATTCCCATCTGATATTTGGTATTCGGTCTTGGGAGCAGATGCACTTCCACCTATGGACTGACCAGGCCTTTTGGATGGGAGTTGCTAGAATCTAGGATACGACACCTTGAAAATACTTAGGAAATCAGCAAGGCCGATCCTGAGGTTGTTCGTCCGTCATTTTCTCCACAGCTTTATGTCTTATGCTTCTCCTTACCCTCACTCTTTGCATACTTTTTCTAATATCCACATGTCCACGGCATCCCACACCTTGAGAATGAGCCCACAAATTACCCCATCCTCTTTCCCCAACCTTTCATCATTCCACATTCCACCCAACTCACTTCACGATCTCGCCAAGTCCACCTAGCGCGCCAAGCACGGCGGAGTCGCTCGTCCTTTCTTGTTCCACCTATTTCATGATCTGTGCAAGCTTGGCGTTCTCCGCCCCCTCATGTTGTTGGCTTGGATGCTTTCTCGGCTGACGTTTGTGGGTGTTGCAGTTGTGCGCCTCAGTATTTCTGGGGTTTAAGCCTGGCTTTGCTCTTTAACATCTTCGCCTACCCAGTGGTCAACTATATCACCATCTACATTAATATCTGTTATTACGCTCTCCATTTGTCTAAAAGAGCTCTCTAGCTTGCTCAACCTGCAGAGTAAACATATTTCCTTTCCAACTCGTCAGCCACAGGAAGACAGGATACAACCACATCACACCACGGCTCCACCCAACTACATCATGGCCACTAGAATGAAACACCCTAGCATACTCTTTCCTCGCTCCGGTGGAGGTGGAGGATCCGAGATTCCGTATATGCCACCGCCGTCTGTCGGCCATGAAATTGGTGTCATGTTTGGTGGGATTGGGACGATGTTGCTTGGTATGTGGATGAGCGCTCATGTCTAGGACTTACGTTTTAGCCTTTCTTTGATTGCCTCCTGATTTCCACTAGAGTTTTCTGCCTTGGAAACTGGGAGCTTCTCTCCTTCATATCCTACCCTATCCTATCCAAGAAGAGGTTAAAGCGTGCACTCTTCGCCCACCCCCTCCAACGCTCTCCTTTCCTATCCCATCTTCACCACCCGCTGTCCCCCTCCGCCAAGCCCTCCTATCTCCACCTGTCCTCTAAAACCTGCCCATCTGACCACCTATCTAGGCGTACCACTCTTCTATATCTGGTGGAGAGCTAAACTCGCGAAAGATATTAGGATAGAGGAGGATCGGATTGGGAGTTTGAGGGAGAAAGGGCTGTTTGATGACGAGAGGAGTAATAGTGTCATTCAAGAACGCTTGAAGAGAGAGAGCGTTGCAGAGGAGATGTAGGAGATTAAGGAGAGATTAGGTGGGGAAATGGGTCTGACTGAGGGTAGGAAGGGGATTTGGTAGGGAGTGCTGCCTGGGGTTTGTGGTATGGAACAGAGCAGGATGTTTGACAGCTGAACAGTGGCTAGAATGATACATCTTTTAAACTGTTCGTAACTATGTGCTTTTCTACTAACGGGACATATCATACATAAACGAGATCAACTGCAGACTCAACGCAAATGATCAGTTACCTTACTAACCCATAGGGAAAGATAAATAAAACACAAGTGTCATGCAAATTGCTCATCCAAAGACCTTCGAAACGCTGAGACAAACCAGTTCTCCACGTAAGTATTCAGCCCTGAATTCCATCACACCAACCACCCGCCTTCCCCATCCTCCACACTCATCCCTACTCCTTTTCGTCCTCACCTAAGCCCCCTGTCTTGCCTTCTCCGCACAAATCAACGCAATAATCCGACTCAACTCCGCACTCTGATTAAACTGCTCATGCTTGACGCTCTCTTCGACATCTTCACTAGCTGCAATATCCTGGCTCACCTTTAACATGCGATTCTGCAGCGCCAATAGCTTCGAAAGCGTGTTGTCGAGGAAAGGTGCGGAGAAGGTGATATTAGTGGGTGAGGGACCCGAATTTGGAATCCGCATTTCGAGTTTGCGAGGGGGCTTGCGGGTTTGTTTCTGGGGTGGGGGAGAGGGGTGGGACTGCGGTCTAGTTTGAAGGTGTTAGGGACTATGTATTTCTAATACTAGCATGGAGGTGAGGTCATTTACGACATACCGTTCTCGTTCGACGAAAGTAATATTCTCAGCCATCTCGGCAACTCGATTCGCAATCCGCGATGCCATAATCCCATACGGCGATGCCTGCGCCATTCCGTTCATTGCAGCACCGTTGACAGCACCGTTAGGCTTCGAGACGGGTTTCTTTGCTCGGGACGCGGGCGTTTTGGCCACGGTGCGGTGGACCGGCGCGGAGGCGACGGAGGCGGGCATGGCTTCGGATGTAAATGTGGGTGTTATTGGACCCAGACTTGAGGATTGAAGAGGATGGCTTGTGGTTTTGTTAGTTGGACCGTTTTTTGAGGCCTATGGAGAGAAGCACTCGCGTGTGAGGTTCGGCATATGTCGATTGGGGTGGGGTTGATGAGTATGGTGAATGGACTACTCTACATACGTTTTGTTTCACACACCAATGGCGATGCTGGCTTGAACGCGAAATTTGGGGTAATGGAGGGATTTATTATGAGGCTTGGGAAGAATCGAAATGCGTTCACTTGTTCGGGGGGTCTTGAAATGTGTGGCTCAGAAAGTTGGCCAGCAAGCGCCACAACCTACGTCATAGCCATCATCATTGCAAGGGTCAAGACGTGTGGATCGACAGACAGCTGCCAGCCATCGCTCATCATACACGTCGTTTGAACCGTAAAACATATGGCAGCCGTGATCAGTCCTCCTTTCCAACAGTGCATCCATGCTTTTAGTTCTTAATCATCGCTGAAGATGTCGTCTTCCGCATTCCAAAAGAAGAAAACGGACCTGGGCGCTGGCCTTAAAGTGTCGAAGCAGAATATCGAGAATCATCCTGCGGGGCCCCCGAGACATGGAGAGCTATCACAGGCGGAGCGGGCGTTTACGTTGGCTTCGACATTTTTGTCTGGGGTTTTGGCGTAAGGACTCATTTCTTAGGTCCATCCATCATCTATCTACGAAAGAAGGTTAGGAATTTTAGTGGTAACACAGAACAGCATAAGCGCATCACAGTTCATCGGCGCGCCGCTCAAATTCATCGACCCAGTCTTCTATGAGGGATATATGGCGTATACGAAAGAATGTTTTGCCATCCTGATCACGTGTTTGACGCAGTGGTGGGCTCCGACGGTGGTAAGAGTGAGCGGGGACTCGAGTATGTTGGGCCAGCTTATTAAGAAGAAGGATGGGAGTTTGGAGTGCAGATTTGCGGATCGTATGGTGCTGATGGCGAATCATCAAGTACGTATATATGTCCGCGTGGTTTCAATCCCCCATGACGCTGACTGCAGTAGCTATACACTGACTGGTTATATCTCTGGTGGATTGCCTATACAAACGGCATGCATGGCTTCATCTATATCATCCTAAAAGAATCTTTAAAGAATATCCCAATCATCGGATGGGGAGCACAATTTTACAACTTCATTTTCCTCTCCCGGAAATGGGAAGAAGACCAACGTACATTCAAGAAACATCTAGAGCAGCTAAACAAACCTAACGACCCAATGTGGCTCATTATTTTCCCAGAAGGAACGAATCTTTCAGAGTCGACGAGGGAGAAAAGTAAGAAGTGGGCGGAGAAGAACGGGCTGAAGGATATGAAACATCAACTTCTCCCCAGAAGTACTGGGCTGAGGTTTTGTCTGCAAGAGTTAAAGGAAACGACGAAGTGGCTATATGATTGCACTATTGCGTATGAGGGCGTGCCTCCCGGTCAGTTTGGTCAAGACATCTTCACGCTGCGATCTTCGTTCTTCGAAGGACGGCCTCCAAAGTCTGTCAACATGCATTGGCGTCGCTTCCATATCGATTCCATCCCCATCAACAACAGCAAAGCATTCGAAGTATGGCTGAGGAACCGATGGCGAGAGAAAGACTATATGCTTGAGTACTTCAACCGTAACAACCGCTTTCCCGCAGACAATTTCTGGAAAGATCACCTCGACATGGAAGACAGTAGCTCACAAAGCCAGAGTATTAGAAGTGTTCCCAGGCCCGCAATCACGATCGAAACGGAAGTTAAGTCTGGAAGTTGGAACGAGTTCGTTAAAATCTTCGCTCCTATTACTAGCGTTATGATGGCTTTAACCGTCGCATACGGCGCTTCACCAAACGATCTGATTCCAGGAGGAACCCAGTTTTTCGAACAACACATGAAGGCGATCCTCGGTGGTGGTGAACTGAAAGGTCTACCGAGCCCCGATGAACTCGAAAAGCTAATTGAAGGGGCTGCGAGAATGGGTGCGGAACAAACAACTAGTCCACGAGAGTTTGGAAAAGTGCAGAAATTGACGCAAGCGAATCTGGCCAAATTAGTCAAGGAAACGGCGATTAAGAATGGTATGGTGGTTCCGGGTGGCACGAGGAGAGCGAGTACTGCGCTGCCCGGTCCACCGCCCAGAGTCGCCGGTGTCCAGTCGAGGCCTGCGGTCCCAAAGACGAAAAGTGAGGTTAACTTGCCGATTGCGATGAAGAAGCCTACTTCTCCAATCACAACCGCAAAGAGCATTCCCAAACCCAAGCTGCCGCCCACGGGACCAATGGAGGCAGTGATGACGAAGTCCGGAGTCATGATTAAGGTCCCGAAACCTGAAGTCGAAGAAGCGAAGAAGACAGGATCTGTTGTGCTAAAGAATGGCATGGTTATTAAAGTGGGAAAGGGTGAGATCGAGGAGGCGCAGAAGAAGAAAGGGGCTACAATCATGACGGCTTCCGGTGTCCCGATTAAGATTACACGAAGTGGGGGCATTACTGTTGGGCAGAAGGCGGGTCCGACAGACACGGTGAAGAGATCTTCTCTGCCAGATGCGAGACCTTTACCGAAGGATACTCCAAAAGCGAACCCAATACCGCAGAAACCAAAGGTTGCTCAGAAGGGTCCGTTACACCGGACTGGTCCATCTCAGGGGGATTCAGAGAAAGCACTTATAGCAAACGGGATTGGAAAGAAGCTAGTCAGTACGGCGGGGAAGACTCAAGTACCGAGACCAATCATGAAGAAATCGGTTGCATGATACGGCTCAGGTTGGAAAACGCATTAATAGTCTTCAATTTTCCGTGTCGAGTTCAGCTCTAAAGGCGTTTAGGGGAAATCCTGGAAATATGGTTATTTGGGCTTACACTTGTATCCCACGGAGTGGGATATGAAGCAACCGTTTCTAAGTTTCTTTGGAGCGCCAAAATAAAGGACGTCGATACCTCGATAGCAACTCACTAGTGTTCTTCAACACAAAGGTAGAGCAGAGATGAAGATTATTGACTTTGTAGCAACACGTGCCACACACGAACACAATTCCGCCTTTAAAACCCTTCTAACGATCGACTTTTCTACTACCAAATCCGTCCCTGTAGATCCTTCGATTCAGCCCTCCCGCACGTGACATTGGGTTGCTGATCGACGTCATAGCGAGGAGCGAGGGGCAAACAAGCATCCCAGTCTCCATGCCGGAAATCAAGATCTCAAAACTCCACCAGCCACAACACCTCCAATTTCCAAACCAAACCCTTGCATGTTCATTCCCTCAACTTACTCGACTTTAGCAATTGCCATTATTCTATTGTCGTATATGCTTTATTCATCATACTACAACTGATTCCATTTTGTTTTGGTAGCCAGAATGACGTCGTTTATCACGAATATCCTCTGGAATAGCGTTGAAGGGTTTGTGGAAGCTGGGACGAGGACGGCTGGCGAATATGCAGGGGATGCATTGATTAAAGCTGGAGATTTGATTGAGGGATCGGGTAGAAATGTTGGGAGTAGTACGTCTGTCTTTCTCCCTATCCACTTCATGCGTTCTCCACTCCTCTCGCTCAACGAGTTTCTTTAAATTGGAATATGGATACGATTGAGCGCGGCGTCTGTGATGCTGCTCCACAACCAGCTCCGCTCAGAATTCTCCTCTTAGAGTACCATCAAGAAGGGTTGATATGCTCTATATCCATACTAACAAGTTACTTTCTCTACAGAACTCGAGCGTACGGCCTCAGGCTACGGCCAAAAAATTTCCGGCCAAAACTACAACCCTGGCTCCAAGGCACTGCCTTCCACTTCCGCCAAGAACCCCGCCGTCAAACGCTCGAATTCGAGTCCTGCGTCCACCAGAGCCGTGGGCCCGACTAGTAGAGTGCCAATTGGAGGCAACAAGTATCCCGGTGGGAAAGGCGTTCCTTCAATTAAAGGTACAGGGGTTGCGTCGAGGCAAATCACCAATGGCGTCTCGGGGACGAAAGGCGCGATAGGTGGAGCGCAGAGGACAATTGGTAGTGGAGCAGGCATAGGTAGTGCTCAAAAAGCCATCGGCGGCACAAAAAGCCCCCCAAAACCTTACCCAAACAACGTCCCTTACGGCACCTCCACTACACCCTCACCCTCCGCGCACAAGTCCAAAACAACATCGAGCCTCAGTTCCGCTAAAGGGATCGTTGAACACAATGGCGCGAACTTAACGAGGCCGTACCCGTCGAATGCGTCCGCGTATTCAAGTGAGAAGAAATCGGCGGTGAGGCCTGGGCGGCCTAAGGAGTTTAAGCTTCCCGGTGGAGGAGGGGCAGGAAATGCAGTGAAGGACGAGGGGAAGAAGGCGTACTCTGGGACGAGTACGTATCCTGGGGAGGGGAAGAAAACGCCGGTCAGGCCGCAGAAGTATAAGCCCATAGAGAGGATGAAGGGAACGACGGAAAAAGGGAAGATGACGCATATTTCTGTGTGAAGTAGGTTTTTGGTCGAGAGGCTTGAAAGGTGTCCTGATTGTAAAATGGTGGTATACATACATGTTTTTGCATCATTCGCTAGGAATCTTTTTGTTTACACAAAGACCTAGTGAGAATTTCATGAGAGGTGAGAAGGACTGCTCTTGTCACCGAGCAACAAATACTCTCTCGTTGCCTCTCCACCTCCAACATTTCATTGGCAGATTTCCCTTCCCAACCTCGTCGATGAGAAATCTCCCCTCGATTTAGTAGAACACTATTTCGGATATGACTTGCCTCGCTAAGCTACGTCTTCAAAACTTCGTCACCAAATTCCATCACTCAACTATCATATTTGTTTAAACCAAACGCCTCTCTTTTCAGTCTAACGATAAATTAGATGTACCGAACATGACACAAAACGAGCCAGGCACACCTTTAAATCGCAAATATATTGCTACTTTGAGCATTCGGTCCCCATTTTCTGAGCCGTAGATGGAAGGCTAACTTATAGTTAATTTTTGTCTCTAGGGGCTCAGCTCAGACGGAAATAAGGACAATTTGATATATTGTGATAAATATATGAAAAAAGAAAAAAAATGGCTTACCTCCTTGTTTGTGTTCAGTGTGAGAATCTGCCACAATTTCTTGGGGTGTGCCAGCACATTTCAATGCACAAGGGCTGTGACAATCACCCTGGTGCAAGAACCCTAGTGAAGGTCGGATACAGGGAGTATTACGTGTAAGATCGTCTCATCGTCTCTCACGCCTCTTCCAGTTAATTCTCTCAGAGGCTTTCAACTCCAGCCTCGGAACCTTGCAATGCGCTCAAGTCACGTGCCTGGAATAAGGTTCGACCTCACGAGGTGGTTGGATTGGCTCTAAGTCCACCGCTGTTAGCGAATGGTCCAAACCAAAATGCATGTCACTGCCAAGGGGAAGCTGGCAGCTATTTGCAAATTTTATTAGCCTCCGCCAACCGGGAACCCTGAGAGACACACCGGAGATAAAAGCAATAATTAGGAAGGTCTCCCCCTATCACTTTGGTTCGATTGCATGGTAATTTCAAGGAAAGGAGTGTTCTTGGGAACCTTAGAGTGCAGGAAGAGGCCAGTAGCATTAAGTGTCTGTCCTCTCATAGTTCATTGATTCAAGTACATGACTCCATCCTGTGAAACCTTTGAACCATGAACTCCATTATTTCAACATTTCGAATGAGTAGTCGAACAAGAACTGCCACCACGTTTATCTTGCTCCTGGGTATCAAATCCTGCGCTCCTGAGCGAAAAATCGTAGCATTGTAGTAGGTTTGACCGCCTAGTGACCGCCCTGTTGGAGCCTCTTCTTGGCCTGCATCTTCTTCCATACCAAGAAGATAATGGCGATGATGATAATAATGACAACGATGGCGATGACGATTCCGATGATCTTGCCAGCTCCCTTCTTGGCTTTGCCCTTACGAGCGACGAGCGAAACAAGGTGGGCAGCGGTACTGCTCGCATGTTTAGCTTGGATGTTGTCGGGTTGCAGGGAATGGACAACATACTTTGGGTCGCTCACGACGCGGCGGACGAGGTCTCCGTTAATGATAGCAGGCATTTTGAGTGATTGTTGCGATTACAATGGAGGGACTTGGGTGCTTGCGAAATGAGGTCTGGACAACTTCGTCTGGTAAGTTGGAAGAGGAAGGAGGGAAGGCCAGGCGGGTATTAGAGTAAAGGAATGAGTGGTGCGGTTTAAGGCGCTGAAACGTGGCGGTGCCTCGTCTACAGGTATTACTTTCACGGTATTGACGATTGGAGTGCGATGTCTGGTTTTGGATGAGAGTTGCCGTGTATCTGCAACTTTATACTGCACTACCGTGCCCCTTTTGACGCCAGGAATCTACTCACCGGTGAGCTGAACGTCGTGGATCAAAAAATAGAACAGCAGAGAGGTGAACTCTTTGCAGATACGAATGAAAGGGATTCGACGTTCACTTCAACCGCCCGCTTGTGGCACAATCCCCAGGTTTCATTGGAGGCACCCCAACAGCACAGGAACACGAGCTGAAACTGTCGTTATGCGACCCTTGCTTGGGGCGATTTTTTGCGGCTTTTATTGGCCCCATCGCTCGCACCGCCTCAGCTCCTCTCGTTTCAACCAAACCAGTGAAATTTGAGATAGCAGGGGAATTCAAGAATGTCCGATGGTGTGATTATCCCTGAAGCCACAGTCAGCCGGGCCAATATTTTTCCTTCGCTCCACAATCTGATTGGTTTCCACTATCAGCGCCAGTGTGTGCTAAAGTGCCTATCAAAGCTTGTGTGAATGGCAAGCTTTCTGGGCACCTTTCGACAGAGGCTTGAGACTCACCTGCTTCAATTTTAGTGCGAAAATGCAAATCGGGATTGGCTTGACACTTGACGTTGGAGCTTCCTGATTTCGACAAGGGATGTTGGAGGTGTAAGCCTTTTACGATCACACGTCGCCGCGGAGGCTTTGGCGTCGGATGGTTGCACTCCAATCCAAATAATACTCCGTAATTTCAACCCCTCCTCCCTTCAGCCCCGCATGCAGTGTCGTGTCTATCATGGAGGGCGTTAGCACAGATTGGGGCCAGAATCGCTACTTTTGATGGCCTCTTGTTCGAATGTGGATAGCTTGAAGTTCTACAATAAAACACGAATGGACCGGTCAAAAAGCGTTCTGACAACGGCCCAATTGGGCGCGAAGATCTACAAAAAAAATCAATAATGACCTCCAGGGTCTAGCTGTGCCTTGAACTCTTTCGGCTCCTCAGTCTGGCAGATACACCATCAATACTTCCTAGTTGCTTGATAGAGGCAATTGGGTACGAGTACACAGCCTTCGAGCATTAGAATCAATGTCATGCAAGTTATCTTCGGCTCACAATCGCGAACAGCGAAGCTCGTCTTCCTGACGCTTGTAAGACTCCTCCGTCGCAAGGTGCAGTAACTCCAGTTGTTCAGCTGTTCCAATACCGCCTGATGAATGCGTCTCCGAATTGTTATGAAAAGCTAACCTTAAAACTAAATCAGTTCCCAAGTACGGAGTACCGAGGACATTGCTCCGTTATCACGTTCTCAGTATAACAGAGATCGTGGAACTGCGAAAACAATGGGAACCGAAGGCTTCGATGAGCATGTGAAAATATTTCCCGTCTCCAGAATATTCTTCGAGGTCTTCGTGCCTCTCGCTCATGCGTCGAGGAATTTGCGGTAGCAAGCGAGGGCTTAAATCGCTCGGTTGAATGGAAATGATGTGATCCCTATGCCGGTGGAAGCTGCAAGCGATTCAACCAGCGCAGATTCCCCTTCGCCTAATAACACTTTGTCCATTGGAAGAGGGTGGTCTGACCTAGGTTGGTGCCAGTATACACCTTCCTCGTCTTGATGTTGAGATACCGATCCAGGACATTAGAGACAGCATCCTACTACGTCTGTCTCTTATTTTAACGCTTTCCAAATACAGGTAGAAAGTAGTAATCAGCACGAAGGCTTTCGACCGACACATGCTCCGTTTCTCACGCTGATACGCCCTAGGATACATTATATTTGCAATTTCATAGATTTCGGCAACTATTTCCAGTTGAAGGAGACTCTTCCCTCGACATTCGGTCCGTATGCGAACCACAGGTATTCCACGGAATATCTGCATTCCAGAAGTAACGTCAGTCACAGCAGAACAGTGCTGGAACTCCGGTACAGGTATCCAACTGGCCAAACCCTGTGCCTCAGAAAGCATAGGTATTCATCCCGATGAAAAGACGCCGCCGATGCTACAAAATATCGAGAGGAAAGAATGCGCGCTTTCTTACCAGGCAGAAGGCGTGCGCAACCAATCCAAGCTCCTCCATGCCGTACCTCAGCAAGTCATACTGCGTAAAATAGAGTCGAGCAAAGCAAGCAGAGAGCCGGGTCGGTGGACATGGATCCGGGGCATATTGGGATAGCCTTGAACAAGCAATCCGGTGGCATCGTTCTTACTCTAATCCCTCGGCGAGAGATGAGTAATGAGGTGTTGCGGAAATCTTAAGTTTTGCGAGGACTGCTCTGGGGGTGTGTCCTAAATACGAGGATTGGCATACTGCCTACCGTGACAGTGGGCGAGGAAGTGGGAGTCAGTTGTGTGATCGGGAATCATCGGAGCCGCATAGATATGGCCTGGTTTGTTGATTCTACCTCCGTGCCTTCTCTTCTTCCAGTAGTTGTATCATGTCAGTAGCCAACTCATTGGCAAGCTTCCATAGAATCCGGCACAGTTTTCAAAGACTCCTCCAACCACAGCCAAACCCGACAAATCAACACAGTTTTTCCCTCTTACTTCTTCAATCATCTGTGCTGGCCGTATCTGAACAATTTTGTCTGCTGTAAGGCTATTACCTCAACTGAGGCTCACTGAAAGGTATAGGTGTGTCCCGGGGAGTAATGAGGCTTGATGAGAACATGGACTCATCACGAGCTTGCGGCGACTTTGCCCAAGCCAAATACCACCGATTTGTGATATTGCCACCAAACACTTCGTCAAAGCCTAAGCTAACGACCATTAAAAAATCGCGTAGATCTGAAGGCACATTTTAGCCCACTGGTTCATATTTGGTAGTGAAAGCAAGATTCTTGGTTTTCTGGAACATACCTTCATGTCGACGCTCATTGCTGCTTGCTTCATCTTTTCCTTAGCATAAATTTTCTCTTTATATTCAAGCCAAAGGTTTTCCACACCCATACTCCATCCTCGTCGTAACCCAGCTCACCCAAAAGGGCTCCAAAAAACACCAGCACAACCAAAGGCACGCTGACGGCAAAGAAGACCCAGAAATCTCCTCCCCCGGGAATATAGCCATCACTCATGCTAAACAGCCCGCAAGTGAAAGCCAAGGGAATGAATATCATCGCGATCAAAGTGAGCGCCCGCATGTTCTTTGCTTCACGGACCGAGCGCTTGGCTTCAATTAGAGACCGTTCGGCTTCACGATTGGCTTGAGCGTTTCCCACGATTCCCGTCAGCCCAGTGAAGGCATTGTTTAGTTCATCCGCTCGTGTTTTAACAGCCTTCGCACGGTGGAGGATGAATTGAAAATCAAGATTCGTATTTCGCCAGTCTATCCCGACAGTGATTTTTGGTTCGTCGAACGGTACATTCAGGCTCAGGAACAGGGATTCCAAGTTCTCGACATATTCGTTGCAGCGGCGAGCCACCCCTTGAATTTCACTCCAGCGGCCTTGTGCCCAAGTGGTTGTGAAATCTTCAAGGCTTTCTTGACGGAGCAGGGGCCATTCTGATTGCGCAAGATATGAAGCAGTGAAACTCATAAGTTGCATGTAGTGCGATGCAATGATTTTCCGGAGAATAAAGAATGGAATGTCGTCTCCGTGTGGCAGGGCTTGGGCAGGGAAAAGCCGTGTATGGTTCAATAGATAGTAGCACAGGTCTCCGCGTAGCGAATCTCGAGGAGGGCCAGACAAGACATCAGAAAGCGAGTCTGATCGTGGAACGAAGTCAGGGTATCCACGTTGGAATGGGCGATCCCAATGCAGTACTATTTCTTGGGACTGGTACTCACTTTCATTTATTGTTGATTGAGGTTTCCAGACGTGAACACGGTTGAATGGGGGATCGCAAAGGATCAAGACTAACAAAGTTAGCTCCGCGCACCTATCGCAATGAATTCCGGACGTACTATCCCATCCACCGTTCTCGGTAGTCCGACGGTACACGGAACATCTGCGATCCACAATTGACGGGCTAACCCAGTACCCCTCCCATTTCGTCCGGTATAAATGTCTTCCCGTGTCCGCGCAAGACACACTATAGGAATCGATTTCAGGCCCAAAGTCCCGCAAATCGCAGTATTTGAGGGTGAAGTACTTCCCGCTATTGATCTGCGCTGGCAATGCTGGAGTGAGATTTGGTTCGTGGTCCCATCGTCGCCATTTTGATGATCGCTCGTAGCCAAGGAAGAAGTCCGGATCCATTTTGAAGTGGCCGCCCAGAAGAGCAACCATATCGCGATTGATGTTCTCAATGATCCACACATTCTTTGATCCAACGGGGCGATTTTGAAGTTGTGCCTTAAAAAGAGGAATGTGTTCAGATTTCTCCAAACAGAACGCCCGGCGGTAGGTGGTTTTCTCATCCACAGTCAGGAGCGTAGCGCTTACTTTCCTGCGACTGAGTGGGATGGAGGAATTTTCCGGGTCAGGCTGTGCGAGGGCTGGGTTCGAGTTACACAGCTTGGTGGCATAATCTTGGTACGGTCCGTTTACGCAGAGCCAGTAGTCATTTGGGGTCTCGCAAGTGTTGTGAACCACTTCATCCTCGGCAGGCTTTCCATAGACGCGGAATGTTGGGACAGACATTGGGTGCGACTTTCCAGGAGGATATTTGGCATTGAAGGGGGTACATCAAAGGGAAATATAAGGTATATGTTGCCTAGTTCTGTTCTACGGCTAGGGCCCCAGTGCTTCAGCCCCAGAGGCGGAGCAATTAAGGGTAGAAGGGAAATGTTCTCTGCTAAGTGCCTGGCCCTCGGGGCCCCGGCTAGTTATTTGCTATCGGGAAAGGCCTAATTGATGGACGAGAAGGGCAGTAATGGCTTGAGAGCTTGGAGAACGTAGTTTGTGGAAGAGTGGACATGTCAGGTGGCCTGGCTTTATTGTAGGCGAGGAAACGGGAGCTTGACCGCACAGACCACAACGCAGACATGGACATCCAATCAAAGCCTCTGGGATTTCCATATCATAAGATACTTTCTCATGCGCGTTTGAGCTCAACTTTACACCCTTCTGCACTCGACACCACAAGGGTTATGCTCTGTCTCTCCGCTCCCAATTTCACCTTTGCCTCCACTTCTGATACCCCAATCTGAGGAAACACCTGAATGATGCGGGCTATAGTATACGCAGTTTCCGCAATGGCGAAATCCTGTCCCAAACATATTCTCGGCCCACCGTTAAAAGGGAGGTAACCATAACCAACATCTTTCAACGCATCGCCTTCCCACCTCTCAGGGCGAAATTCTTCTGCATCGTCTCCATATATGTCCTTCCGTCTATGCATAGCGTATACGCAATATCCAACAGGCTCGCCGCGACGGACGAGGACAGGTGATTTTCCATCCTCCCCTCCACCCACCGGAAGTACAGTGGTTTTAAGCGCCGCTCGGCCATTTACAGGAACGGATGGGTATAAGCGAAGCACCTCCTTGATCACTATGTTAAGGTAGGTCATCTTCTTTAGGTCTTTTCGCGTGGGTTCGGCGGCATCAGGGCCGAGCCCAATCGTAGTTTCGATCTCGGATCGTAGCTTTTCGAGAACGTTCTGATGTCGAGCTAAGAGGCGGCTATGAACAATTAGGTTCTATCAAAGCTGTTGGCGGTTACTGTGTACTGACAATGACCAGGACAGGCAGCACGCTGTCGTATCTCTCCCTGCCAGCAGAATATTCATGCACTGATCTCTGAGGACCTTCGGATCTTGTGTTTCCTGAATCAGTGCATTCAGGAACACGTAATTTCTCCCATCCAACTCCTCGGGAGACTTCCGGCTTGAATCCTCGAGTGCTTCAGTCACAGCTTGGTCAACGAATCGGTGACACGTCTTGCATGCTTTATCGAACTCCTTCCGAGGCAGCACCCAGTAGAAGTCACCTAGTCGCCCTCGCATCGCAAGATGGTCCTGAGCCACGTTGAACGCATCCGCGAATTCAGACTCCTTGCTCGCGATATCAGCCGAGGTAAGGGTGGACAATGATCGGCCGAATAGAAGAAATGTCGTGGTGTCGAATGTCAACCGAAAAAAGAGCGGTTGCAGATCAACCTGGCCGGAAGATGGGATGTTAGCTATGAGATTTCGCACGCATTCCTTGATCTGCTCGAAGTTCTGGAAGCGATTCGACATGAACTGCGGCCGTAGCAAGTCTCGGGAATGCTTCCATTCGGCACCATCTTGCGTAAAAATCCCACTTCCCATCAAAGGGTAAAAGTGTCGTGGCCGAAGACCAAGGCTGTAGTTAGTGAAGTCCTTTGACAAAATGGCTTCGATATTCTCGGGGTCGACGGTATCAATACCGCGAGCACCTAGCAGATTCTGCTCGAAAGTCGTCCCGGATTCGTCGACGACCGTAAGCATGAATGCAAGGACACGCTCTTCTCGCACATAACGTAATGCATTGAAGAGTATATCAACACCCCAAGGCCATTTTGCACTCCAGGGATTGAGCGGCTTACAACCATGCCGAAGCCCGAATTGTTTGTCTTCCTGTCCGTCCATGTCAGCACTGAGGAGCTTTGAGCTTGGTTCTAGATGGTGATGATGATGAAGCTTTGTGCTTACCTGGTACTGCACACGTACTTTCCACAGCCTGACACACAGAAGGGTAAGAACTCCAAAAAGTATCGGGTACCTCCACTGGGCTAGCAACGACGTTTTCCCCTCCATATCAAACAGTTTAGGCAAAACCACTAAGAAAAGACAATGGAGAAAAGACGGTAGCAGGCCAAAGCGGGATTTCAGGAAAACCACTCAAGGTAAATACCACAAGGCTGAAGAAATCCCCACCGAGGGTGGTAAATGTCTTTGCTTCAGCATCCTTCCAGGCCGCGTTTGGGGGGCTAAAACATCAGCATTTGAGAGGGGATCGGGCAGGCTCTCGCAGGGCGCAGTGGGTTTCAATTGGGCAAGTCAATGCCAATCCTAGAACAGCTTGGGGACCAGGAACTAGAAGCACACACAGCGAGCCGCTCTCCCTTCCCTTTTTGCGCTAGCGTTGACCCCGCCCGAAGCTGTCCGATCCCAGGCCCCATGTCGCGTCAGAAGCTGTAAGGCAACGGGCGGCTTCTTATCTCTTCAACAGCAAGGAATACTTTGTAGCTCTCCTGGACTCAAACTCCAAATGTCGGGTATCGAACATGGCAGACCCATTTTCCATCGTAGCAAGCACAGCCAGCATCGCTGACATTTGCATCCGCCTCGTCCGGTACCTGAAGGATGTGAAGAAGGGAGCCGCAACTATTGAAGACGACATCACGTCCTTAGTTCAGGAAGTGGAGGCTCTCGACGCGATCAGCACTTCGATACAGCAAACTTTCAAGGAGCATCCAACTTCACCGACCGCGTATGGTCAGCGCGATAAGAGTGAGGATTTGTGGATGCATATCAAACGCACCCTCCAAGACTGCAAAGCACTGGCCAAAAAATTGGAGACGATTGTGCAAAATATATATGGAAAGAGCGGACCAACCGTATCAGGCTTTCGCGATGCTGTAGCTAAATCGCACAGGAGAAGAGGTAAAGAAGGGGATTTGAGACAATGCCGAGATCAGCTAGCGACGTTCCAAAATGTCCTTCAAATCCTACTTGCTTTCATCAACCTGTAAGTCCTACTTTGAACTCTTTTTTAGTCGTTCACCTGTCTCACTATTTCGCAGTCATAGCACAAAAGGGTCCCAGGAAGCAAACGCTCAGTCATTCGAGATACTTACTGAGGACCTCCGCAATGTCGACCAACGTCTAGGTTCTCAAATAGCGACACTACAAGATTCAATTGATTCTGCTTTTGATCAACCGCCGCCATATGCGGGGACAATAACAGCTCTGAGAGGACTACGCAATTCTATAGATTACGCCGCCGGTATGATAAAGTCTGTATCTTCAAACAAGCACTTCGACATACCGCAGCCAGTCAGTAGCATCTTTACAGGAAGGGATGATGATCTAGAAAGACTAAAGAATTTATTCATCAGTCCTCCTGGAAACTCCGGGAGACACCAACAAATCCGTTTCGTAATTCACGGCATCGGCGGCTCTGGCAAAACCCAATTCTGCTCCAAATTTGCGGAAGACAACCGCGAAAGTTTCTGGGGTGTCTTTTGGGTAGACGCAAGCACAACAGAGCGTATGAAACAAACCTATGCCCAGATATCCAAGGTTGCCGAAGTGGAACCAAATCCAAACGCTGCTATGCACTGGCTTTCTAACTTGGAGGAGCAATGGTTACTCATCATCGATAACGCTGACGACCCAAATATCCACCTAGAGACATATTTTCCCAAGGGTAATCGGGGACATATCCTAGTAACTACGCGCAATCCTGCACATAAAGTTCATGGAAATGTAGGGCCAGGCTTCTTTGAGTTTCAAGGCTTGAATTTCCAGGAGGCAAATGATCTTCTTTTAAAGGCCGCTCGGGTGCCCACACCATGGGATTCCACATCTGAAAACTCAGCCTCCGCCATTACAAAGTCTCTTGGGTTTCTTGTACTTGCTATTGTACACGCAGGTGCGGTGATTAGAGACGGACTATGTACCCTGAAAACATTTCTTAGCTTCTATGAGAGGAGTTGGACAAGGCTGCGGCGTGCAAGGATAGACAGTGGCCATGAAGTGGATGAGTCAACACATCATATGTATGTGTACACGACATGGGAGTTGTGCTACCAGCGCATAGAGTCCAAAGGAAAAGAAGGAAGCGAGTCCGCTCAGGATGCTATTCAGCTTTTATCCACGTTCTCATTCATGCACTGGGAGAACATCCGATATGATATCTTCAGAAGAGCAATTGACTGTCCCCGCATTGAGGCAGAACATCAGAAGAAGGAGGCAGAGAAGGAGAAGGTGAAGTTGGACATAGAGCCCGAGACATTTTCGCAAAAGATGGATCGCTTTAAAATGGCAGTGCTCATATTCCTACTCAAAAATCGCAGTCCCCTATTACTTCCTAACGTCATCCGAGATGCACGCCAACTAGGCAATATAGATGAGTACGACGATCGGATACGCTACGCGCTCAAAGAACTAGTCCAGATGTCACTTGTCACGTACAACGAGGCGAATGACAGCTACTCCATGCATCCAATCGTCCACAAATGGGCGCGTGAGCGGCCCGGAATGCGTCTCGCAGAACAAGCAATCTGGTCCGAAGCCGCTGCCACGATCCTCTCCTCCTCTCTCCTCCTTCCGCCCCTCCGAAACAGCCCAAGCGACGAAGATTACCACCGGGACGTCCTCCCACATGTAGACCACGTGCGGATATGTCGCAACTCTGTCAATGACCGCATAACACGAAAAATTCAATCCCATTGGACGTCCTGGTTTGCTCCACGCCCAAGTATGAGCCCAGAGCGTGGCCTTATGTATGCAAAATTCAGCCTTGTGTACGCACATAACGGATATTGGCCCCACGCTGAGGTCCTGCTGTCCGACGTGAAGAATTACTTGACCAAAATGCTCGGACCGGGCCACGAACGGACTCGTCGCGTTACTCTAGCGCTGGCCGGCACGTACTGGAACATGGGACGAGGAACCGCTGCCGAAAAATTGCAACGGTCAGTCCTTCATTTGTGCTTAACATCTCTAGGGCCGGAGCATGTGGATACGCTACGAGCGAAGGATGTGTTAGGTGAAACCATGTGGCAGGGAGGCCGATACAGCGAGGCAAAGGATTTGCATGAAGAAGCGTACCACGGACTTTCGAGACAATTGGGAAGCCACCACGTAGACGCGTTAAATGCTCTAGATAATCTCGCCCGCACCATCGGCAGATTTTGGGAACGGGAGCATCTAGAGCAGGCCCATACACTGCATTCTAAAGCGATTAAAGGGATGGAGAAAGCCCATGGTAGGGACCACCCGCGAACTCTGATCGCGAAAGAGAATCTTGTCCGCGTATTTATCTTTTTAGGCGGCGAGCTCCATCAGGCAGCAGATGCGCTTATTGCGGAGGTCATCGAGAAGCGGAGGGAAAAGCTGGGGAAGGAGCATCCGTACACACTGCTCGCAATGGCAAATGCGGCGATTGTGAAGAGATCGCTTGGGAAATTAGATGAAGCGGAAGAATTAATGATGGCCGGATTACCCATTGCAGAGCGCAACTTGGGCGAGGACCACATCGGTACACTTTTTGGCTATCATACTTTAGGATCCATACGTATCGAGCAAAGACGTTACCGAGAAGCGGAAGAGATCTTGGTCGATGTCACAGAGCGGCAGAAGCATATGCTTTCTCACAGGGGAGCACATCACCCTGATCGATTGGGTGCGATGATTGAACTAGCAAAGTGCTATCGCCTCCAGGGTAAGATTACGGAGAGTATTCGCATGTGTGATGAGACTCTAGCGGGATTCGAAGCCATTAGTACGAGAGAACATCCGCTAGCACGAGATATGAAGAAAGCAAGAAGGAGAATGATGGAGCATCAACATATGATTGCGAATGGAGAGATCGGCGACCCAGGGATTACCGAGCCGAGCTGTGGGTCTTATGGACAGTTCTCCCTCTTTTGAGATTTTGTAGTATTACTAATGATGAAAAACGCTGAAAGCATATGCTGGCAGTGCATCACCGTGTCCAAACGAGTTTCCTTCACTGGAGCTTTTGCACCACGTACCTAGGGTATCGCCGCCGAATAAGTGCCTTCATTCTTGGGTCCTAGATCCCGCAATCCCTGTGAGACCACCTCTTACTTCAATTGTAGGAAGAGATTTCAGGAGGCCAAATCTTATAAAGCCAGATATTTGCTTCTCTGTACACAAGGTGACACTGTTCTATGGCGGGGAGGATAATTTGCTGTCAGGGGTGTTGCGAGAGACGATTATTTCAAGAAAGTCACCTATCATCTAACATTGCGAACAAATAAGATGTATTCAGCGTTCTACTTGTTTGACATGATCTAGGTATCGGCCTAAAATACCCTCACTCTAACATAATTGGTGAATATTTTTGCATATTAGGCCACTCTTAGTGCTGAGCCAAACGATTAGTAACTATTTTCATATATTTAAAGAGAATTTAGTGTCCCATTTCACAAGCGGGAGCACATCCCTTGCTTTTTGGCACTTCTAAGTATTCTAGATATAACCAATCAGCAGTTCCTGAAGCTAATGAAACTAGTATGTTGGAGCACCACAACAAAGAAGACCTACACCGGGAACCTCATGTATATGTGACCACGTCCGTAATTAGGAGTTCTTGCGACCTAAAAACCTAGAATGAGAATGGAGGGACTATAAATGGTCATGCAGAGAAAGGTGACGCAGTTATACTTGCCCCTGATATAGGTACTCTAGAATTTCTTCGAAAAGACCTAATGCGAGAGGACTTCCTGCTTGTTGGTACCACTACTCTTGGCAAAATTTCCAGTTTTGAGGGCTATATGGCGTTTAAAGAGTCGAGATCTAGTGGAAGAGGACTTTGTATCTTGTTGAGACTGATCTAGATTTGTTTTAAGCTTCGGTGCCAATGTTTACCATCTGTGTGGATATTTTTTTTCGTTGTTAGATATTCTCTTAGAGTTACAGTCGCTAAATTTCTACTGTAACTGGCCTCCTAGGTGTCGAAGGATGCCCATTGGAAAGTAACATGCTATGTAGGTTTTCTGTCTGTTCTTCCTTGCTCTGCAAAAGCTTAGTACAACCCTTACAAAACATAGAAAAGGCTTCTACGGCGGGATGATATCCACTGTGGAACCTCCAAGTGAAAGTTTGACCTTTCGACGGTCTTGATACATAAAAAGACTTGGTAAGAGGGCACTAATTCTTGTTTTAAATTAAAGCCCAGGTCCAAATTTACAATGGTGAGGAATTTCGAAGTGCAACTTCGAGGATATCGAACCTTCCCAGCCTCGGAGAGTTAGAGTTGCCTAGATGAACTGGGCGTGTAAGTGTAGTTTCACCGAGGTACCCCGTTGTTGGAGACAGGGCTTCCAACGGGCCGTACTACGGTCCGTACAAAGTGAACCGTAACGGTCACGTGTTCAGTACGAACGTACCGAGTTCGTGAGCCGTACCGTACGTTTAATGATGCCCTAGGTACGGTACGTAGTACGGATCGTATTACCCTTTTGGGAAGTTTGTATACACAGTTATGTTACAGCTATCCAACCCCTCAGTACCCTAGGATTGGCACGGGGTATATAGGCTCCTAGGCCTCCGTACCTCTGCCTCCAACCCTAAGGTTTACTCTCGTTACCCCCTATCCTGCATTCCCTCTCTGTGACTTGTGTTTCCTGATCAATACCCCTCACACCACGCCCCCTCACACTACGCCTCTTGCCGCCTTACAGGCCTCATCTAGTCCTATCTGCTCTTGTTACTAGGGAGAACTAGTTATTTTATAGTTAATTAGACCTTAATCTTGCGTCTCTAGGGACCTATAGTCTTAGCTGTTTTGACTAGAGTACGGCGTACTTTAATCGAATCTTACTACTCGTACAGATCACGTGAGCCGTAACAGTTACGATACGTACACCTACCTCTCCTCCTCCCTATCGTACGAACGTACACAAAATCTCACCCGTACAGGCCTCAAAATCGCCCAATCGTACAGTACTACGCCTCGTTGGAAGCCCTGGTTGGAGACCACAGCAAGGTCTTTCACCACAGCATCAAAATCCCCATATCACATCTTTAGCTCTAAGTCCAAATGATTAATAATTTCCATATTATAGACCCTTCCAGTTGATTATGCCGAACGATATTCGGAACTCAGATTCGACCCAATGCTACTGTATGACTGAATTGTCAACTTGGCTGTTTTTAGAGCGATCTACACTAGGACTAACTTCCTACTTTGATTATATAATACTAGCTTACGATTTTGGGTGTATGGGCCCTTGGATACACTCCAATAGCAATCAAACTGAGTTCCTCGTGAACTTGGCGCTCCTCTATAGGCCTCACATCATCCTTGTAGCTTTTTGTTCAACTTTTCTCGGTACTTTTGTCCTCTTACCATTATCAGCACGATTCCAGGGATGCAGAGGATATCAAGAGCAGCGAGCCCAGTCATGCACCAGCCGTAACCCATCTTCTCGACTAGCTTCTCTATGATAACAGCACCAATTGCAGCTGCGATATTTCGTAGCAATCCTCCTAGTGCCACCAGACTTGCTGTTTGCGAAGGATCGCATTCAGTCTGGAATGAAGTACTTGTCACAAAGATAACAGCAGTGCCGATGGATGCTTTAGTTATTGTTAGCTTTTTCAAACCTAGACACGGTGATTGCAACTTACCTAGTGCGGCCCCAGACAACCCTGAAACGGGATGTATGTGGTACCTAGTGAACCAGCCATACATGAGCTTTCCGGTTGCAGCAATAATAAACCCGAATATTTGAATGGGGATTCTACGCTCTGGAGCAACCTTTCCATCCGGGCTATTCTTCACGGCTTTCGCCCGCATTAAGTCCGAAAGACGGCCTATTAAAATCGAGGCAACGAAGAGTGATATTCCAGGGCAGAGATATGCATATCCGACCTCAGCTGCAGAGAAGCCAAAGTTCTTCTGCCAGACGGTCGGAAACGTGATATATATGGCGTACAGTCCTGCGAATTGAAGTGCCCCATTTATGGAAACTATCATATGGGGAGGATATTTCAGCAACTGCAAAAACTTCTTCAATGTCGGGCGTGGTGGCTTGGGAAATTTCTTCCCATCAAGGTCTTCGATAGGCTTTTGTTGGAGCCGAGGAAATGAAACCCACGGCTGGTTTGCGAGCGTCTGGCCGTTACCTACCAAAGATCTCAAAGTCTCAGGTAAGCAGAAAATAATCAAGAGATATAACGGCCCACATGCCAAAGCTATATTTCTGTCGGTCATCCTTCAAAACCTGCGTTGTGGAACACTTACCAAGAAAGCCAAATATCCACCTCCATCTCGACTTATCCGCAAATTGACCACCAAGCAAAGGTCCGAGTATCGGTCCTAGCTGAGGCCCAAGAAGGAACCAGGCGAGTGCTGATGCTCGATTCTTTGGCTCGGTGATGTCACCTACAGTTCCAGCTCCCACTGAAAAGACGATACAGGAGCCAAAAGCCTGGAAGATTCGCAGTACAAAAAGAGCGCCGATGTTTGCAGGAACAGACGCAAGCAGAATGTTTGCAATGAGGAAACTCCCAAGACCAAATATGTAGACGGTTTTGCGACCTCCATAATCAGATGCTGCTGCACCAAAGAGAGGCTGAGAGCACTTTGTTAACTTGCATTCCATGGACATATTGTATTTCCTTAACTTACTGATATGGCAAAAATTGTCATGTAAACCGACACCGTCGCATTGATCACCGTCGCCGAAGTGTGAAAGATATCCTGGAAAAGAACAATGGAAGGAAGGTATACAGCTCCGCAAAGAGGACCAAAGAACCCTGCAGTTGTAACGACACCCAGAATAAACCTCCTTCGTGCCGGTGAAAAGGCTGAATATGGCGGAGGCGAAGGCGGAGGTGAATCATCTTGAGAGGCAACGATTACAGTTTCGATAGTAGCAATTTTAGGTTCAGTAGTGACGTTGTTCATATTGGAGAAAGAAACGAGGGATGGGGGGTATCTCCAGGTTAGAGAAGTTTGAGAAGCAGTCCCGAAGAGGTCATGTATGACGGGTGGAACCAGCGGTTCTCTGGATGTCCGGGTGTGGTTTGGTCCCGATACCGCACACACACAATGCCCTCTTGCCTGGGTGCTGAGATTATGCTCTCAACGCTAAACTAACTGCCGACTATTACTAGGACAATATGGCTGAGTCGCGTAGGATTGGGCTACGTTGACATCGACTGTGTCCAGCAAATATTGATCGTGGCGGCACTGCCAAGATCTCAGTTCATATCTCAGCCATAACTCTTTGCTCGGGTCCCAACATCCCAGCCATTTTTTAACCGGTTCACCGCTTCCCGCTTTCTCAACTCATGAAAGGGGCACCGTACGTAGGCTGACCCGTGTACATGCAGGATTCCCGCACGTGGCTGCCTGGATGACTTCCACCGACATTCCTGACCGAATGCTGATGTTCTTTCCCGTTGGTGGCGCCGTAGCGCTGGCCTCATCTTGCATCTTTGGCGGCTGTGGCCCGTTTCGCGGGCCGCTGTCCCCGCCCGTGGGCCGGACGTAAACTTTGACACGACTTCATGTCCTTCGAGTCCTTCGTGCAGACGTTCCTACAGGGAAGTTGACGACTCCAACTCATGAGTTCGTGTAGCCTTCCTCATCGGCATACGCGAATACGAGAGATTTCATTCTTTCACGAAAGAAAATGCTCACGTCTTCTCGTCAGTGATGATCTATTGCGAATACCGCAAGGGGCTATGCAAGAGAGGTAGAAGGGTCACATTGCTGAGTCGGTTAACGTTAAGTCCTCAAGGACTCTAGCATCTGAAACCAATTTACAATTTTTCTTCAACCTTCTCAGGTTGCAAACAAGAAATAATGCAATCTTAGGTCATCCTATTCCTTGACAACGGGCCGTGCATGTGAGCGCAACACTGACCGAGCTTCGAGAACGTGCAGTTCCTGCCTCAACACCATGGCACGAGGGCCTGCTCGTAGGTGTCCTGGTTTGATAGGCCTTATTCAAGTGCCCAAGAAATTACTCCATCCCACAGCTTCAAGCTCGAACCAACATTCACACAACTGTAATTATACGTTTCAGCAGCCCGCACGCATTGCATCAGATCCTCCATTCTGGATATTATATCAAGCTGCTAATCCATTTCCAACCATTTATATGATTTCCAATGGAGGTAGATTCATGAAAATTGCGGACTTGGGTCATTATCAGACATGGATCTCGCTAGGGACACAACATTCAATTCCATGCCTCTAATCACGACTTGCTTAGGCCTAATAAAGAGGCCTTGTTTGTTCTGCATATTTCGCCTTCTTCAGGGTAAGGCGACGGAATCCACTTTGCGGTCGGCCCAAGGTGCAACAGCGGGTGCGGGATTCGCGAGAATGCTGACCGGTGTTGCTGCGCACGTCCCATTACACATCGAACACGGTCTCTTTGTGCAGCGAGAAGCATCTCGTATTAGGCCCGTAAACCAGGTTCTGTCATCCTCGATTATAGTTCTCTCCAGTATACCCATCGCGCAGTCCAGCCAATCGCATTACTTGCCATTACGGACCTCAGCGATTTGCCTCGGTTTCAACAGATTCCTTTTTTTCTAGAAGGATTCGTAAACCTTGCGAGCGAATGTGGTTGGTGATGCATAGAATATCTTGCATGCAGCATGGGCCACTTCCACGACTGCTACATCATGCTTCCGCATACGAGTAGTCACCAACAGTCACTCTACGTGCCCTCGATCTATCCTTGTGGACGTCCTCTTTCCTGAGCATGCCGCTTCCATGCTTCGCATTTTAGAAATATGCATCTCCGAAGGCGCGTTCAGCGATCACTAGGCCCACTGAACAGTCAACACTTGGAGCACGAACTGCACCCCATCAGCTTACCAAGGCAAACTTTCTTCTCAGCCAATTCCTCAGTCCGACAAAAAGATTCTTTCCCAACCACTCACACCCTATAGGTTCTTGTGTGCTGAGAAGCCGCGGCCAAGTCAGCACTCTACGTGGCTCACCCATGTCCGTCCGTCCGCATAATAGCCCCCCGATTCAGACATCTCATCCCAGGAGATTATGGCGCAGACATTGATACCGGTAACACAACCCGCACGAGCCTCCTACTATACGATACCAGCCATTGAGCACATCATCCGCAACAGGGTTCAAACCACCATGGGTTCAAACCATGCGGTACCCTGCACTCGAATTTATCGTCCTTCAGGTTCTTTGCCTTGAACTTCTGCGCCGCAAAGATTCTCTACTGTGGTCTTTCAGGGTATGCGTAGTACACGGCACAGCCGTCGGACCTACCTTAATTGCCTAACTTATGAATACCTTGTCCAAGCGTTCCATTGTCTGATATGCCTAAAATTGGAGATCTCTGGTTTTACATGGACTTTGAGCTTAGGTCATTGTTGTAGGTTTCCCAGAGTGTTGGGTGCCATAGTGTTCACCATGTTTTCTCGGTTCACCTTCAGAAGCTTGCGTACACGTCGTATTAATATATTCAAGCGAGAGCGCAACCACGGAGTTGGGATTTCTTCCAATTTACTTCCATGCTCAAATCAATATAATCTCGTCCCAACGACAGTCCAAATAAGAAAGGAATATTCAACAATACAACGATTTCAGAAAGGCAGGGAAAGTCGAGAAGGAGTCCCTGCAAACTACACCGCCCTAATACCTCACCAATACTTCCCCTTTCGCTGGAGTAACGAGCTGCCCATTGTTTCGCTTTATCCAATCCATGATGCACTTAAATCCCTCCAGTTCCAGCGTCTGTAAGCCCAAGTTCCCTGTCATATGCGTGAATGAGATGCGAGGCATCTTGCCTTCTAATTAGGTCTTCAATTCCTGAAATTTGATCCGCAGATTTCTCGGGTAAAGGGGCCCAGCCTAAATGAAAGAGGTAGTTAGCCACAGATCCTTCAACAGGTGAGAATGGCCGCAGTGGTGTGGAAGAGGAACTGAGGAACAGTGCGTATGAGCGTAAGCAGCCACCATATGCTTTGTCTTCGAACGGTTCATAACACGAGTGAAAGAAAAACTGTACGGATGCGGGCAGGTATGAAGGAGTGTAAAAGAAAGGTGTTCATGCACTGAACACATGCGAGGGGCCTATTGTCCCGGTCGAGAGTTGTGGCTGAAAGAGAGTTGCGCCTCTCGAGCAAGGAATAGTGTTGGAAATAGTGGAGATCAATCGATAATCCGTACGAGAAATCTAGACTGCAGAGCAAGGAAAGATGCGATGCAACTCACTGGCGTCATGCGGCCATCCCAGCGTTCATCCACCGTCCATCTCATACCCCGAAGAATCTCCACCATTGTGACTCGTAGCTCCTGCATTGCAAATCTTTGGCCGAGACATGCTCTCCTTCCACCATGGAAGCTGATAAAGGCCCCTTTGGCCTTGGCTTTCCGGTACAGCTCCTTGATATTCTCTAGAGTTGAACCCCAGCGGCTTGGCTTAAAATCATCCGCATCCGGACCCCAGAATGAAGTGTCACGATTCGTGGCATAGCAATTGTATCCAACATAAACTCCTGCAGGGATGAAGATATTGTTGCCGAGAGTATTAGGGACACTAGTGCGGCGGTTGAGGAGCTGAGATATTGGTGGGTACAGACGGAGCGTTTCATAGATGACCGAAGTAAGGATGGGTAGGCCGTGAATGGCAATGTACGAGGCCTCGGACTCTTTCCCCTCGTTGTTGTTAAACACAATGTTGATTTCTTTGCGGACCTCCTCTTGCACCGCGGGATGCTCTCCTAGAAGATATAGTAGAGATATTAGAGCTAGTTGCGGGTTTTCATGCCCTGCGAGGAAGACGCTGACAAGGTTGTCTTGGAGTTGTTTTTCGGATAGAAGACCCATTCGATGCGCGCCCAACATCCTGCAGCCTAATTTGGCAGACTCATGGTCGCAAACATGGTTATGTCCCTTAGCGACATCGGTACGAAGTGTATTTCGAAATTTCCTGACAAGTTCGCGGCCCAACTGTCGACTTTTCCACTTATAATGGTCCAGAAAAGGAAAGTTCAGGAAGATGGGGTTGAAGATCGTCGGCTTGATTCTCATCTGAAGGCTATGCAATGAGGCATCTGGTCTTTGCAGCGTCTGGGCAGTTTAAGTCATCGTAGTCTAAGGAGAATATTGAGTGCGTGCATACCTCGAAACTTAACCCAAAGAGGGTCTCCGAGAGGTTCGCAAGCGCATATCGCTGAAGGAGTCCGTACACAACGAAGCCAGAAGGCGCCTTGCTTGCCTCTTCAAGTAGCATCGTCTTCAGCACCTTAGAATTACGGCAGATGAAAATTGGATCTTGTTCATGTTGCAGCGCAGGCTTGATAACGGAAGTGAAAAGCCTCCAATTCTCCCCATGAGAGCTGATGATGTTATCGCCAGTGTACTCCGCAACTATGCTCTGTGGAAGCTTGACCTGGTTCCCAGATTTGGCGTATATATCTTCGTACTTGAAGACTTCTGCCACGTATGAAGGTTTCTGCAGAAGAATGTTCCATCGTCCACCGAAAAAGATTTTTACAGCGCCATATTTCTGGAGCGGCTCCTTTAGGTACTTGCGATAAAGGTCTGCTTGGTCGACATCTTTGATGAGCGGCAGCAAGGTGAGGTAGAATGGCACGGTCGGAATATTCTTTGGGAAGTTTTGCGGTGGGGTGAAGAGGTAAATAGCGAAAGAAAAAAGGGCAAATAACACGCCTGCTACAACCAACGCAATTAACGAAGCGTAGGAAACCATAATTGGAAGCAAATTTTGTTATCTTCCTCTCTTAAATGTAAGCCTCTTGACAGAAAAGCGAGAGCTAGAGCTATACTTGCGCCGTTTCCCTTCATGCGCACTCGCAAAGAAGCCGACTGTAGACAACACGAAACAAAATCAGGTAAGAGCACGCTGCACTGTAATCTATGGATTATGGAGGATTTCCTAATTTGATCGCTCTGCTGCGGTATGCTTAGTATTTCAGTCGCCAAACGTGGTCCCTGGTAGTTGTTGGGATCGGTTACCTACTGTCAGGGGTCCACTGTTGGTGGTCACAGTGAATTGCCACGCGAAAGGTCAAACGGCCAAGACATGCAGGTTTGCACGACTGGAAGATTGAAAAAGCTTGTAAGCCCAACGTCGCCCAGACTCTAGCCCAGGATCGTTGAAATGCACAGACAAATTTCTCTCGGTGTTGCGAGCCAATGTGCAAGCCATGCGCAGCGTTGACTTGCCCGCCTGATACTTCTCTTAGCTGAGAAAAGTTGCTGTGCACGCCAAGATGCGCCCCAGTTCACAATTGACCACTTTGCAGGATCGAGATTCCTTAAGCGCACAGCTTGGTGTCTTGGGCCACGATTAATGGGATGTTAGAGCCAATAGAACCTCACAAACCGGGAGTTGGAGGCGAGACGAGAAGATGACGGCCTAGATTAGGAGAGGGAGGTGTACGACCGCCAGAATCCAGCATTGTACCCCAGTCCAAGCCATGCTGCGAAAGCTGAGGATGCCGTGCACGATATAACCGTTGTGAAAAATATTATGCTGCGATATGGGGGGTTTACTTAACAACGTGATCAGTTCGTCTGGTCCGGTTAGCATATTACATGAAGCTAGCTAGAGCCGGGTCACATTTTGTTTGCTTCATCCTCAAGTCGCGCCCGAGCCTTTCTTTTTGTCTTTCAAGAATCGGAGAATAGCCCCCTTTCATAATGCCGCCATTGAATAGGGGAACGTCGGCCTACCACTCCATCCACAGTTTGTATTGGAGAGATGAAAGCGGCACCCTGCTGTCTGCGGAAGGTAGCAACTCCCAAGCTTTCTCCAATCTCTGGCCAAAGCTCTGGGAAGAGATCTGCTCGAAGCAGAGTACATGGCGGCAGCTACAGCTTCCTTCGGGCAGGCAGATCAATACTCTTCCAATTCGCGCCGATATCCTGGAACTCAACGACATTCGGTCTAGCTTTCCCCCAGAGCGACAGACCGAAGGTCTGATAACCCAGGTTGCCGAGGTCAAACACCCTAATGGACTAGTCTTGGGGATGTTGACGTCGCGACCAAAGTCACTTGCTGGTGACGATTTCGGTACATGGGCAGAGCACTTCATCCTCTTGGAGACGCAATTCCAGCCTTTTAAACAACTCTCAATACACTCGACTCCCGAACATCGTAGGATATCTGAGCAGGTCGCCGATATCTTCGAGAAAAGGCTGAAAAATATCTCGAAGGATGACCAATGGGACTTCGGTGGCCGTGGACACTTCATGAATCGCGTTTATGGCTTCGTCGAAAGACATATGCCTATTCTTCTTTGCTTGCCGGCGTTTCCATGCAAGTCCCCGAATCCCAGCAAGGTCGGAGGCACCATTCCGGATCTTGCTGAACATATCGCTCTTGACGTGCTTCGAACCTTCGTCCAGGAGATCTGCAAGGTCTATCAGCCAGGTGCGACACTTTGGATTATTAGCGACGGCCATGTGTTCTCTGATTGTAGTAAGTGACGGTCCAACTATATTTGAAGCAGGCGCCTCGCTGATGAAAAGAAAGTTGGTGTCGATGATACGATGGTCGATACATATGACGCGAAATTAATTGAGATATATAAGGAGAAATATCCCGTGGAAGAAGGTCCAGTTCCATTTATCCAGTTCAAAGGCTTAAAGGATATTTTTATGTCGAACCAGGATGCGTTCAGCTCATTCCGAGAGTCATGGGTCGCCTCCATGGACATCCCACATCCTGTAAAGACCGAACTCACAAAGCCATCGGAACTGTGCAGAAAGCTCATGTTGGGGGTCTCGGGAGCAGATCGTAGATTCATCAGAGCCTGCATTGAAGAGCAAGAGCCACATGCTCTTCAACTATATCGCGGCCAAACGCGCTTCATGCTAGAAGACCTTGCCAAGGTCCCTTCAGTGGAGAAGTTAAGCACGAATCAGCGAAAGAAGGTAGCAGCGAAGGTTGCACAGGAGATGATTTCGGTGACTATCCAGGCTCTACCTTGAGTTCCTAGAGTGCTAACACCTCTTGTAGAGGAATCAGGCATATTCTAACCTGGTCGAGTTGTTGCTGCCGAACTATGTTCGACTATCTATTCATGCGTAAGTTTCGATTGATACGTGTTGTACGGGTTCCGGCTGACCTAAGTGTCTAGGCATCCTAACAAAGGACCGAAATTTGCCATTCGTCTGTTGCCCAAGAATCTTGTTCGACCGATCATCTCCTTAGAGAACCGACACGAGCCAGTTCCAGCATACAAGTTCCAGATTCCAACGCCATGGCATAATTCGATTATCAAGATCGAGGGCGATGAGCTCATGTACTTGGCAAGGGCAGACGTAGCAAAACTCGCTGTAAATGGCTCCAATTTCGAGGGTTCATGGGTCACCAGTCCGAATGGCGGCTACTTCGGCTTGAAGAGGAAGGGCACAAAGCAGGCAACTGAGAAAGACACGTCCATAGCCGTTGTCTCGCCCACCCAGGATGTCGAATCTCAAGTGGAGAAATCAAGCGACGGGAATACCTGGAAGATCCTCATCCCATTGCGACCACTGTTCAGCTTTACATTTTTCATGCGGAGAGTTTGGAGGTACATTGCCATGGGCTCGTAACCTTGTTTCCTTACCCCATAATTTTTCTTCCGTCCCTCATTGGATTTCTTTAAGAAGAGTTACTACCAGCGAGTGACATCCCGCAAAAGAGGGCAGTCCGGGCTTTGGCGTTCAGGTTGCGACCGATCTGGCGTCACTCAGCACTTGGATTAGCAGACAGATATAGTAAAACTTCGTTACTGTTTTGGCAGAAAGACGGACGTGAGCGCGTATTGGAGCGGTGTTGTTGGAGGCAGGCTGCTTTCCTTTGTTTCGTTCCACCCTCGGCCCTTCGGAAGGCATGACCAAAAGAAAGCTTAGGCCACCCGCCTCACCCTTCATTTCTGCGTTCTAACCACACAATTATACGCCCTAAGCCCTCCTATTCATTTAGAAACGTGCTCAAATCTTTGCAACTTCTACCGACTGGACCGTTTGTTCTTCCAAGAGACGGGAAACTGGTCGTTCCCCGCAAGTTATACTACCACAGTAGCGCATTCCGTCCCCTTGCCCTTGCCTAAAGTACTTTACAAGACTTCGCGCAATTTGGGAAACCGGGTAAACATTATTTTGAACCTCACATGACCTCTATTCTACGGTGTACATGGAGGTTAATCGGAGAAGGGTCGAAGTAGAAGAATGACGGTAATCATGGAGTCTAGTGCCACTTTTCACCTTCTCTTGTCTATTCTCCTTCTTCTACATTGCGTCGCAACCGTTCACTATGGGGGCCAAATTTATTCTCGGCGCATGTCTGTGGATATTCAGCCTCGTGTTCGCAGAATCTACTGCGTGTAAGTTGGGGTTGGAAGGACATGAAGCAGATCTTGGGCTCACTTTTCAAAGTCGCCAACGGCATCAAGCCCCAGTCATATGGTATTGTCCTCTTTCGAGCATTCGACACCTTGGATGTCTACGCGCCTATTGAGGTGCTCCAGATGGTTTCCAACATGCACAAGATCGATATTTTCCTAATTTCCGAGACCAACGACCCAGTTACCACAGCCCCAATGTCAGCTATGATGAACCCATACAACTCTTCTGTTTGGTACACGCTACCTACCGCACACACCTTTGAAACAGCACCTAAGGAATTTGACGTCCTGATTGTGCCTGGAGGTCCTGGCATCCGGTCACCGTATCTGAACTCGACGCTGAAGTATATCCGGGAGACAACCCCGAATGCTAAGCATGTCATCACAATCTGCACTGGCGCTGGTTTGGCCGCTCGAGCTGGAATTCTGAATGGGAAAAAGGTTGAGAACCGATCTCCTCTATGTTAGCAGTTGATACTGACGCATACTAACATGGACCGGACAGGCAACCACTAACAAGACATCTTGGCCAAATATCATCCCATTTGGTCCCAATACAACCTGGATTCCCCACGCGCGATGGGTCATCGACGAGTCCGGCACACCCCCGATCTGGAGCTCCTCGGGTGTAACAGCAGGACTGGACCTTATGCTTTCGTTCGTGGAGACATACTATGGAAAGGAGAATGCGACGTTTATCGCGAAACTGATGGAGTATGAGAGACATACGGATCCGAGCTGGGATCCTTTCGCTAGGAATGAGACGACTGCCACTGCGGGCTCAAGATGAACTGGTGGAATTACAGCGACTGATGTGCGGCTTACGTGTGGGAGTTTCGCGGATACTCACCGTGGATGGACTATGGTTCAGAGGGACAACTCTTTATGGAGAACCTGATATCCTATAAGAACTTAAGAGAAAGGTGATCGTAGCTCCAATGATTCAGCAAAAGCACCACATCGGTCGAGAAGCGTGAAAGAAGAGAAATAACATTGGTTGTAATACTCTTGTGTGCGATGGGCATGCTAGTAGTATAGCACGTTAGCGCATGCTACAATGAGCCGGGGGTATTGATTTTGTCAAGCCTTACCAAACCTCGGGAAAGTAGTGAGAGAACACAAATTTATATTCTAAATCTAACCCCTGTTATTCCCTTTACCGTTTAAACATGCAGGCTAATCGGTTCCATCAAGTGCGCGCCTTTTGCTTATGGGCTATGGATCCGTAGTTCTGTTCCGGCTTCGTCAAAGGCCCGTGCAACTTAGAACAGATGGTAGAAACGAATAGGAACATTCTTAGAACTTCGTGCATATGCCATCATCCCATCACATGAGATGTTTTAAGGATCCTTGATAGTTAGTTCGAACGATGGGGAAAGAGGATAGCCAAAGCACATAGACTGAGTGGGTGCCGCAACACGAAAAATTAGCAGGGAGGTACACTATCCAAGGTAGTACTGGGAAACAAGATAACAGAGCCAGAACGCTGTTATCTTTCAAACCCTGTCTTATTCGATCGTACGTCCCAGCATGCCAATAATGCTCCCAGCTCACCTGCATAGCTCACGGCTCACCAACATTACCACCGGTCGCATATCAAAGCTCGAATCCTTCCGCCTCGGCTTCCAAGAACACAAGCGATCGCTTACACCTGCACACACGAGCAACGAGCAATCTATCACACGTTTCCCTAATTAATATTCCCTTGCACGTGCATACCCAACACAAATCCAAGTAATCTACCTTCCAGGTCTTTTCCAATACAGCAGTTATCCTAACATCTCACCACCGACATCCCATGAACAGGCTTGCGTCGTGGGATTTGGGATTCTGTATTCGTATACGGAAGAACATGCTCACGGCGGCGCTGCCAAGAACTTGCGCAAATGCGCTCGTCGAGCCTGAACTGGGAAACGGGCCGGGCCCGACACCGCGCCAACCACACCACCACGCCTGCTTCCACTTCCACCGTGGTGTCGCACGGCGTGAAGGCCTGTCTGCCAGGAACCTTGTTCGGCGGTGGCTGCTGTGAGAAAGAGCTCGGCTGGGTTTGTGTCAGGCTGTTGGGTAGGACTGGGAGGGGTCCGGTCAGTCTGTTGGTTGAGGAGCTTTGGTGGGTACCTACCAGAGATGTGGGAGGGGGATATATGAGTGAGCGGGTTTCCGCCCTCAATGACCCTGGCTCCGTTTGCTTCCTGCTCTGTTTTCTGTGCTTAACGTCTCGAATCAATCCAAGTTGGTTTCCCTACTCCATTGAGCTTGCTCTTTTCACTTTGCTCCTCTGTGGCTCCTGCTGTAGAGCATCCATCAATTCATCTGAACATTGGAACGCACTCATCATTATTTACACTACCTCAGCTCTACTCCATAGGCTTCAATACTACTTTATATTCCCCCTTCACAGTACAAAACATTTTCCACAATGGATATGTCAATGTCAGGCATGTCCACGGGCTCGGCAACCCCAACCATGGCGATGGCCATGTCGACGACGGGCACTGGAATGGCAGCAATGGCATCTAGTACTGGCATGCATTCAATGAGTATGGGAGGGAGCTGCAAGATCTCTGTCAGTCTTCCAGACTACCTACCCCGGATCGAGTAGCTAACAACCTGCTCCGCAGATGTTGTGGAATTGGTACACTGTCGATTCGTGTATGTCCTCTTCAGCACTGCCCACGCCCTCTGAAACCGGAAGTGAACAATTCTTACACATGGTCCAGGCTTTATCGCAAAATCCTGGCACATAACCAGCAAAGGCATGTTCGCCGGCTCCTGCATCGGCGTAATCCTGCTCGTCGTCGTCCTCGAATTCCTCCGCCGGGCTGGAAAAGAATACGACCGCTTCATCGTCTCCCAACACACACGCTCACTCGCCTCTTCCAACGGTGCTGTCACAGCATCCACCTCATCCACCTCCTCGCACGACGGCGCCAAACCCAAGGCCCCAACGACGTCAGCCGCCGCCTCAGCCTGCCACCCAGCACCACAGGCAACATTCCGCCCGAATGTCTTACAGCAGGCGATCCGAGCGCTGTTGCATATGCTGCAGTTCGCCGTTGCGTATTTCATTATGTTGCTGGCTATGTACTATAACGGATATATCATCATTTGCATCTTCATTGGTGCGTACATCGGGTACTTTATCTTCGGGTGGGAGAGCTTTAAAGTTGGAGGTGGGGCAAGTGATCGGCTGCAGGAGGAGGTTACTGTGTGCTGTGGGTGACGGAGTGTCTAATGGAGTGGGTAGAAGGGATGGATACCGGGGTTAGAGGTGGAAGGGGGTTGACGGTTGTGGAGAGACAAGAGTAAGGCAATACACCGAGTTAATCGTAATCGAAAGTTTAGGTCGATGGCATATCCAACTAGAATTCTATTGGACGAGGAAGTTGGAATAAAAGTCCATTCGTCTTACTCCAGTTATTGCGACCATGTATGTGAGGACGGTGGCATTCCGCGCGTCGAATCTGCAAACGGGCTTGCGAGGAAAATTGAACAGCAGAGCGTTGTTATTGCATACTACAACACATAATAGGGACAGCTAAGCTTCTTTGCTAGAATTCAAGAGTTTGTCGAGGGGATGCTAATATCCGTCTTGAATCAGATGGTTGTGGGTTCTACTGCCAGTGCCACCCTCCACAGAGCAACATTTGCGGTAATCACAGGTTGAGTGTGGCAATCTGCACTCATGCTTCAAACTTTGCAAATAACTCATTTTAGATTATCATCGTCGTACTGAAGCAAGTGCTACCAACCTAGTACCCAATATATCCATCCCAACACCCAACCCTTCCTCAATCCCCACTTCCACGGCAATCTTCCCCCTTAATCCATCGCATTACTCCAACCTAAGCGATTGATTTCATTTTAGTACATCACACAGACAGAACCTGCCCCCATGCAGCCTCCCCGGACACTTTTTCTCATGATGTAACGTCCATCATTTATTTATGCTACCGTCCGTACCCATCAGTTATGCATATCACTAAGAGGGGACGATAGGAGGGAGATGACGGCTGATGAAACGTACAGGGCAGTTATCGCAAGAGCAGCCAGAGCCACAGTTGCAGGTTCCGGAAGTAGCACAGCCGCAGTTACCCATGATGTTTTGGTAGGTTGGTAGGTATGCAAAGGTAGGGTGGGATTTGAGTTTGAGTGTGAGTTTTTATTGTAGCGTGTCGATGTGATGATGTGACAAAGGAAGAAATAAAAAAGATTCTAACCGATGGTCAAAAGTGTTATATACCTCCATCTGCGCTCTTTGTGCGGTTCACGGGATCCATTGCCTCCCGCACGGCCCACCATTTTCCCAATCAACCCACCTAACCAGTCCCGATTGGATCAGCACAAACCAGGTTCGAAGCACAAATGCCTCCATTCACATCCAGACAAAGGGCACCGATCTGTGTTGCGGGGAATTTGCGGTGGAGCCACTGCCCACTGTTGGCCTTAGCCTACCTGGCGTCCCACCGAGCACCACAGATTCCAACATGATTCGTCTGAGAGAGCAGGTTGTAACCATGCGTGTTTTGTGCGAGCGAGGAAGTGCCATGGGGCATGGCAATCATGGTGGCAATCGTTTCCCGGCGGGTCTCGCCGTTAGTTGCCATGTGTACGCTAGAGTCGAGGCATGGCGATTGACCGAATCCGGGCCCTAAAGATGTAGTTTCACGTGAACGATCGATCGTGTTTCACGGGTCGGGATTGAGGACCTTCGACCTTCGCACAGATGACGCAAGAGGTGATACTCCAGTGTTTGGTCTCAGTGGATTCGATAATAGCCATCGAGGCTAGCCACTATAGGACCTGTCATGTGACGCTTCAATTCACTGTTATTTTCGTTCATAGGGCCCATGTCACTGAGACGTTAAGGAAGCGATTTGGTAACTGGTATAAGGAAGCAGCCACGTGGAGCCTCTCCCCGTGGGATTTCATTGCTTTTCTTGCTCGTACAACTTGAATGTTGTTTGTAGTTACAGCTGCTGTCTAATGTTGCTCGCTGCCTGATATAGTTATATATCGTGTGCTTAGAATCATACAGCCTAGCTAGCCCCCTTGCGCATATAGACCTTCAGATACACTCCTTGAAAAATCAACTAGGCTCTTCATGACTTGTGTGCCCCTAAAAGCTTCACAAGTGCCGTGCGGTCTAGAAAACTATAGCGGAAGATGTCCTTGCAAGGGAAGGCTGAAGCGAATGGATAAATATATACAGGAAAGAAGGGGTAATGATAAAATGACATTTCCAGCATCAAGAAGAACAGAAGTCAGAGTTGAAGAGAAGTGGGGAGCAGTTGGCTGGCCACAGCCAAGTCAAAGCCAAGGTGAAGTGAAGTGAAGTGAAGTGAAGTGAAGTGAAGCGAAGAGAAGTGAAGTGAAGAGAAGAGAAGCGAAGAGAAGCGAAGAGAAGAGCGCGACCGAGCCATGCCTTAAGCCAGCCGTTTTTGGCATGATGCCACTCACTCCAGCACAGTGGCGTCCCGGACTGCATTCGCACTTGTATGCTCCAGGGCCGATAGCAGCCTACTCTCCCTCTTGACGGCATTCGAGCACGCTCCACCACTGCAAGCTTGATACAAGCTAATCGCGGCTGCCCCGCCACAGACCTGGTCTTTATTGCCATTGCACTTCATCAAGCAATTGCCCACCGAACCTTTAACAGGCGCCCGGTCAGCAGCGACACTATTTCCACAATAGCATTCGCCGGAATACTCAAGTCCCGCGTACTGCGTATTCTTGCTCTTACAGAAATCAATGCAAGTCTCGACCGTCATGCTGTTGCTTGAAGTTTGGGCTTGTGAAAGCGTTCGCTTTCCGCTGTCGTCTTTGCCACAGCCGATGTACTTCCATTGCTTGCTCTTGGTTACATCGACGTAGCCCATGCTTTGGGGCGTCGCTACCGAGACCTTTGGAGCGAGGCAGTTTGATTGGGGAGAAGCGGGTGCAGGACCGAGAGTCACAGGGTTGCATCCAGGAAGGGTGGGAAGGACGCCAGAAACTTGCTCGTTGATCATCGAGGGCAGTTTGCAGGCTTGGGCTTCGCCTTGAGAGCGGAAGTCGCCGAAGGTTTGGGCCGGGCAGTTCGGTGTGCCGTCAACGCAGTTGTCAAGTGCCTTCTGGAGAACTGTAGTGTCCCAGCCGTTCACCTAAATGAGGGTGTAAGCGAGGGTGATCTGGAAGGAAATGGGGAATTGAGGAGACTTACAAAATCGCCATGGTAGCCATATCCGGTGGCGTCTCCATTGGCAAAGACGAACGGCTGCTTGTCACCATACCACATATTCTTAAATCCTTTAGTGTCGTAGTAAACCTCATAGAAGAGGGTCACCAAATGAACGGGGTGGCTTGATGGGCACCGACCACCATCATAGTTTCCATCTTTGGGGTACGCAACATGAGACTTGTGGTCCGAGGAGTCTGTGTTCTTTCCGTCCCAACACGATGGGAATGTGACTTGGACACGGATCTGGTCGCACTTCTGGGTTGGAAGACCCTTAGTATCTGGTCCAGAGCCCCCCACGCACTTATGGGATACAGCGCGGCCGGCAAAGTCATCAGTTGCGACTCGTTTGCTTGAGTCACCAGCAAGCATGCGGAAGCCGGGAGGGAAGGCCTTCAGCTTGTCGTTGTCAGGGCCGGAGCGCGTCCTAGAGTTGATGAGCATACGCACGCATTGTATATCACACTCAATGTGCGAGTCAAGTGCCATCACTTACAGGTAGTAGATGGCCATGCCGCCCATATTTCCCCCACTTGTATCCCCAATAATAGGGACACTCAAGAAGCTCCCATTCTGCACATGGAAATACAGTTTCGGCGACCAGTAGTTAGACAAGTCCTGCTTGATGTTGCAGGTAGAACACTTTGATGCACGGGCTTTGTTATAGTCCATAGAGAAGTTGAAGCCATTTCCACCGGAAATGGTGTGCACATGGCTTGCAGCGACCCCAGGGCTGACAACGGGATCAGCACGTTGATCAAAGAGACGGCTGTAGCATTGGACAACAAAGGTGCTGCTAGCTGGAACAGCAAGAGAGGCGACCAGGCCAAAGAGAAGTGACTTCATACTGCTAGAGTATGGAATTGTGGAGTTTTGCAATTGGAGACGATGCCGTGTGGTTGAAGGAGAGACTTGGAATCGTACTTGAAAAGAGTGACGGTGAAAAGACGCAACAAAGGAATGGCACAGGTTTCAAACCTGGAGAAACAAACAAAAGGTAAACTGAGACTGAAGCACAAGGCAAAGCGGTGGTGAAAGAGTGTGCTCACAGGGGACCCTTTGTTAAAATATTTCTTGGGCCACCAACTGTGCCTCCAACACCGAAGAACCACTCACATTACCGCAATTTCCCAAATCCTAAAAGAATGTTTCCCCTGCAGACAGCCCTCATGTAGGAGACGAAAAAGATTGCGGGTTCCTGCATGACAGGTGATGAAGTGTGTCAGCTAGCAGTCGTGCGAGAGGGGGACTTTTTCAACCGGCGACAAATGGCGGAGGGAGAAAAGAGCAGGTCGTTCACTCAAAGGTTCCCGGCGCGGTCGTTTCGAAACGTGTGGCGCCTGACACCCCGGCTCCGCGCATCGCTCGCAGCCAAAACGGTCAACACCATCTGCACGGGATATTAACCTCCTGCCAGATAAGCTTCAAATAGAGGCACAAGGCTGGCTCGCTTAGACCCACCACAAGCTTTCTCTGTCGAAATATCCGCTGTGGATGACATGTGCAGTCAGCTATCCAGATACATACAACCCTATCTTATCATCTCTCCTAAGCCCAAATCTTATTTATCAGCCCTGAAGTCCGAAGGAGGGGTGAGCACAAGCCGAGGGGCGACGAATTCTCCAGGCTCTTGGTGCAAAAGCCGCCGGTGTCACCGTGAAGAGCGCCGGCAATCTCCACTTTCCTCATCGTGCCTGAAGGAGTGAACGAGACTACGCATTCGGGAGATGTCGTGTGCAATCATTTAGACATGTGCACGATGTGAAACATCACCGTAACGCGCGGGTGGATGCTAGAAGGAAGTTTCAATCGCACTTCTTCTATCCGGGAGGAGATACGCGCCGAAAATGCAGCTCGTAACAATTTTCTCGCCTTGCATTTATTCTTCCGAATGTGCATGCAGCCTTATTCTAGTACAACGATACTGTGAAGGCAATAATTGAAGGACACTGACTCTAGTTTGTCCTTGGCTGGAAAGCGATGATTCTCATGCCACTCTGAATTTCTCTTCTAGTCGATCACTCTATCTTATCACATGAAATTGAAGGGAATAATGTAGATCAGAGAAATTCTCTAGTTGCAGCAACAGGAACCGAGTAATTACAACAGATTGAATTGCCCCTGCTTATTAGCTAGCTGCAAATATGACGTGTACAGTATTCCCTGTCCATGAGCAAGTGCGCCTCCTTATTGCAGCACAATTTAATCATAGCATCCTTCGCTAAGGCTCTCTAGGCACCGTTTCCATGTCTTTCCGTGGCTTCCATGATCATTTCTACCTGAACGTTCGCCTTCAACATGACTCTCAACCCCCATTCCACACGCAACCATCAACATGTCATAAACCATTAATCTTAAATGCTAGAGCCGTACTTACAGAAATAACTGAATAAGTAAATTTAGTCGAACGCAAGCAGATCATTAAGTTACAGGGCTTAGGGAAAATTGCGCCTAATCAAGGCGAAAGAGGAAGGATGGAGTCACGAGAAATGAATTGAAGGGGAAGGGCTATGTAAGTAGGATTTGCTAATTAGTTTACCTTCAAAACGAATTTGTTCATAGGGCGGGGCTCCAGAACGTATAGATAGCCAGGGACTGCGCAAAGGGGAAGAGTTTGGTCAAGAAACATAAGCTAGATTTGCTAAAGGAGTTAAATAAACCACTGTCTCCTCTTCCAGAAGAGCCAGGAGCACTGCTTCAGGCCATAGCGGAGGAAGTTAGCATTGTACACTGCTCTAGACGGCACGAGAGGCTGCTATGATGCTAAATTGGGGAGGAAAGTGTGCCAAGTTTGTGAGTGAGCTTTTGCAGCTAAGGTATTTAACGGGTAAAATGAACGCAAGGTACCAAAACTCCGAAGTGCCATGCAGAATTGTATCTTCTAAGCCCCCTCCTTATGTCATTTACCTGCGTACCCCCCTATGGTTGATTGGCCTGAACTCTCCACGGGACTTCTTGTGGCACATAGGGCTGGCAGTACCTGATAATAGATGTCAGTTACCCCGTGAGGTTCAATAGATAATAGAGCAAATGGGTCAGACATACATGCTTCCGTGGGCAGGAATTATGTGTGAGACCTGTATCGATCCACCTCCCCAAGAGACCGTACTATAGGACGAGTAGCGACTGACTACATCCCGCACGATGTCTGCAATATCTTGCGTGCCCACCAGGACGCGGCCATCCACGGTAATATCAGGAAAATTCTTTCTGTTGACATAGAAATGGCAGTTTCCATTTGAGACCAGGTCCTGCCACTCTGGAACACCCGCGCCACCGCCGTTGCTTAGTGCCCAGTGGCGATCCATACCATCGAGACCAGTCGCGAGGTCACTGCAGTCCTGTATCGCTGGGAAATCTGCATTGGCAGTTGAATCGAAAGTGCTGTCACCACATTGGTTTCCCATGAAGGCGTTGGGTTGAGCGCCTGGGTAGTTGACGCGGCGGGTGAGGCCCGATCTTGAGGTGAGGGAGTTGTGGAGGAGGAGAGTTATACTCTTCCCATCAGGCGTGGTTGAATCACGGCGGATCATATCGTTGGGGATATCAAGATTGCCGTTTGATGCTGATGTTGTCGGTAGGGAAAGTGCTGCAGGCAGGCCTGCTAGAAAGACCAAAGGTGTTAAGGGTCTCATAGTTTCGAGTCAACTAAGAAAAATTACCGTGAGGATCCAAGCCGGAAAGGTTTATAAAATGAGAGGGTGGACACAGAAACGACAGATAACTGTTGCGAAAGAAGAGTGCAGTCAAGCGTAACATGCAGCCGGCATCGTCACAATACTTATATATCTTTTTCTTCAACAAATCCATAGGGCTGGGGCTTCTTTTTTTGAGCAGGCTGTATGAAGGAGCATCTAAAATGAAAAGTATTTTGATCCCGAACTCGCGTAGATCGGATGAGTTGGTATAAGTGCACCCTCTCCTCAAATCTCTTCCGATCATTGGCCCAATTCTCGTATGTTTCCATACCCTTGTCAGCTTTTTAATCCTCCCGACCCCGTATTTCGGACATGGGGGCCTTTGTATGCTCGCAAGGCATATTCCTCGCACTTACCGCGACCTAAAGCTTGAATCGAAGACCTAAGCAGATTTATAGCCCCAGAACTCCATCAAAATTAATGCGATTCCAGCTATGCATGCGACATGGGAAATACATTCCAAGTTGAAAACAGATCTCTCGAAAAGCTCATTGTTATCTGCCTACACCTCATCATGAAATCTGAAGACTAGAGACAGCACACAAGTCTATCTCAGTTGTCTCGTCATTGGCTCATTTCTTGTTACTATGAAACGTAAACGTAGCGGCTAGCTCAGCCCTGCAATTTCCATGTTGATCTGATGCAAAATTTCCGAGATCCTTCAAACCACCAGAATTTATCTGCCGGGTGATTTCCTTTCTCAGTGTCGGTTGAGTTGCGTTCTCTGCCTCCGCAAGGTTGAACTTATCGTCCAATGTATCCTTGAACCTGTGGCTGGACTGCACATTTGCTACTGCGTATGCTTCACACTTCTAGTGCACTGGTATTTTTCACCTCACGGTCGTGGCGGAGCAGAATAATCAAATGCAGGCAAATGATCGATAGTATCTCTACCACAAATATTTCCGAGGCTTGGTGAGGGACAGGAAGGTACCACATCTCGGTGAAGAGCAAGGGGAGTACAATGTGTGGAAGCCGAAGGATTGAAGGAATATTTAACGATAGATCGGATCCACTAGCGATATCGTTATTTTGGGGTTGCTCAGCCGCCAAAAGTTGGCGAGGCTGAACGCCTGATCTGTTCCAATTCGCTAACTAACCTTTAGTATCATGATGCTCCGCTATTCTATGTTCACGATCCCCGACGATAAGTACGGACCAAAGAATGTCCTTAATCGTAGTATTCCTTGCTCAGCCCCTATGCGCGTGGTTGGCATATAGAGTCTTCTTCTAGTTCGCAACGATGTTTTCTGCTTTGTTTGATGGAAGACAATATGTGAGCTACTCCAGGGCCAAAATACTCCATGAGTCTTTCAAGACGGCTCGAGCTGTCTCCAGGCTGGAACTTGTGCATGGTGTTTTGGTAAGACTGTCTTCTCATATTCTCCAGATCTTCCATCAAGGTCCAATCCCCTTTGTCTTTTCCATTGCTGTGAAGAACTAATCCCGGTCTCAAAAGTCGCATTAACAACCCACTCTACGCGATCACGACCTCTCTTTAATCCACTTGTCACTGCTCCGCTGTGGTGACACTGATTCTCTTGCACCCGAGTTCTACGTGTGCGACTGTTCCAAGTATTGTTCCAAGTGGCATGCACAGGTCGTAATCGACGGGTTGAACGGACTAGGCTCATTTCCTCCGAATCATCTGTCGGGAGGCACACCGGGGGGGATTGCTTGATCAAGTATTGGCACGGAGAGCGAAACGGTCTCAAATATAGATCTCGAGAGTCGACAAAGTCCTTCTCTTTACAGAGGACCTGGCTGAGTGAGTGAGCCACTTTGCCGCCAAGCCTACCCACAAGTTGGTTAACTTCCTCGCAGTATGGATCCGCACCGTATTGCAAAAACAAAGACATAATCTCTCCATATGTTTTGCACTTCTGTTTCCAAAAATTACCGCACCGAAGTCCATCCGACATTGCGTTTAGTAGATGTTGCCATAGAGTTTGGCCGTCCATGTGCGTATTTGGGTTCAAGCCATGTTTTAACATGATTTGGAAATCGAGGAGTAAGTCTGTCACTGCGACAAATGTTCGAATATGGTCGAAGGTGGCGTGGACCCAGCTAGTTCGGCCCGGGCCTAGGAAAATGAAAATGTCGTTGATATTGGCGCCATGGCGGAGGAATAACTCCAGTAATTGTTGTCCTTTTTGATTATGAGAAAATACGAATGAGGTAATTCCCCTCAAGAGGTAACTAAAGAGGCTCAAATCGCGGATGCGAATATATGGTTTTATTCCGAGCCTAAAACATGTTTCAAACATCTGGGCAGTGTCTCCGAGACTGTTGTCCCCGATAGTCTTTGCTAATGACTCAACAAAATCGGGCCAGGCGGTAGTGTCATGTTGTACAGAGGCACCATTCTGAAATAGGAGTTCGAGTACTCGATGCCATTCGCCCCCCAAATGATATACTTCGGACGTGAGAGTAGTTTGGCGTAGGAAAACTTCCCATATGGGCACATCGAATGGCCCTTTAAGATTCGGAAAAATAGCGTTTGGATTGGCGCCGCTTTCGAGAATTAGGCGAATTATCTCGGGTGAGATTATCCCCCCACCTAGCTCGTTGTTGTTGAAGCCACAAGTGTGCAAGTTGCATAATACCTCTAGTGCAACGTCAAAGTCGCCCAAACGTCCCGGCATTCTTTTGTCGCAACGACACGTGAGAGCATGGAAGAGCAGAGAATCAAGATCCTCCTTATAGCCCTTTTCGACGAGCCTGTACCTGATGTAGTCCACTCGTCCAATATGAATAGCATTCTTCAGCATCGATCCAATAGGTGGGCGAATTAATTCAGAGTCCGAGTAGAAAGAATGCCTTCCATAGATAAGGTCGATGTGATCAAGTACAGAATACTCAAATCCTCTATCTGAAGACTCTCTAGCAACTTTGTTGGCAAATTTGACTGCTCTCCCAAAGGTTACTCGCGCAGAAGTCCTCGAAGCAAATTTAGCCTCCGCAAGTAGCACTCTTTTGATAGATTGGTTTGGGTCAAAGCCACTACGTACTTGAGCCCATAGCAATGATTGCATCTTAGGAGTCTGGAGGAAATCTCGTACCGTACGGTGTAAAAAGTCCACCTCGGTGGGGTAGTGGAGTACATCTCCAAAACCGCCCGGTGGCTCCAAGAGTCCCTTGTAGCGACCATTTAGACGGGTCCAAGTTTTTGAAATGTGAGTTTGAAGCTGTCCTTCATCAAATGGAGTGAAGTCAAGCTCTAGGCCAGCTTCCGGATCGTCTTCTTCGAGGAATGAATAGTGAATAGTGTTAAGAGGTTCCTGGGCTCTGAGCAGGGCTTCCAACGGGCCGTACTACGGTCCGTACAAAGTGAACCGTAACGGTCACGTGTTCAGTACGAACGTACCGAGTTCGTGAGCCGTACCGTACGATTAATGATGCCCTAGGTACGGTACGTAGTACGGATGTCTCAAAAATGCCTATTACAGACCATTTTCTATTCCAGAGTTATCTATCCACGCCTCTTGCCGCCTTACAGGCCTCATCTAGTCCTATCTGCTCTTGTTACTAGGGAGAACTAGTTATTTTATAGTTAATTAGACCTTAATCTTGCGTCTCTAGAGACCCATAGTCTTAGCTGTTTCGACTAGAGTACGGCGTACTTTAATCGAATCGTACTACTCGTACAGATCACGTGAGCCGTAACAGTTACGATACGTACACCTACCTCTCCTCCCCCCTGTCGTACGAACGTACACAAAATCTCACCCGTACAGGCCTCAAAATCGCCCAATCGTACAGTACTACGCCTCGTTGGAAGCCCTGGCTCTGAGGGCAACCAAAAGGATAGTCGCCATTCGGGTTTTATAGACGGAGTGCACGGAGTTGATAATATGCTCAAAGAAAAGTTCAAGGTCTGTGGGCAAGGATGCCAATCTCTCCTCGAGGACAGCTACAGTATCTGCGTTCATCATACCGTCCCGAAGAGAATGTACAACCAAGCGGACCCAAAGGAATACACCCTTCGCTCTTGCTATAATCTTGGTGACAAGACTTTGGTAATCAACGTCTGTAAGTGGAAGACCCACTCTTCTGGTTTGGTCTAGTAGTCGTTCCTCAGCAAACAACTGGATATCCGCCGCCGTCAAGGTGTGAAGGTAAAGTTTTCGTGCATCCGATGATCCGAATGCCGACTCAAAACAATTCCAAGGGCGGCTAGATAGACAGAGTTTGATATTGGGAGACGAAGCGAGGTCTTCCAAGATATAAATGAAATCCTCGTGGTCTCCGTTATACTCGTCAAGACCGTCTATCTGAAAGAAGAAGTTCATGTTAACATACTCCTTCTTCCTCAACTTTGAAAAGCACTCCCGAAGATCTTTTTCTTCCCAGGAATCAGCTGGTGCGGTCGAATATTTATGGCATGCCCACCGGGTTTCACAGATGGTTGGGATAAGCTCAGGACATGCCGTTAGGACACTGTAAAGAAGAGATTGAAGTAGACCTTGCAACGACTTTTGCATCTCCGTACCAGGGCCCCAGAAGTAGAAGCTTCCCTTCACCAAAGGAGTTGTACACGTCCACTCCTCCAGTGCGCGACTCATACCATCATGATCCTCAAGGAACCTCATCAAAGTTGATTTTCCAGAACCAGGTTTTCCGGTTATCCAAAAAATTCCGTTCTCATGTCGCAGCCAATCCAGGAAATTGATTTTTTTGCGCGGATCATACTCAGGCAGCTCTGTAGGTCTCGAAACCCATTCGTATGTCTGCTTATAGGCCTCGGCAATAGCGGAATGCCGGACCCGCATGTTTTCAAAGCGTAGACTATCGAGAATCATGTGACTCCTACGAATCTCATGGACCGTAGATGAAAGAATCTCGAATTGACATCTAAGGTCCTCTAGTGAAGCATCATCTTGACCGGCCACTATTGATACTTGGATTGAATCTAATTTCTTGGCCAAGTCCTCAATACTTTTGCTTATGTCGGAATTTTGTGCGTTCCTCTCTTTTGATCGAATATCCAGCGTTTCAGAGAGGAGGTTTTGCTGAACACTAGGCCCTTAGATCAGCCACGAAAAGCTTTAAAATGCATTTTTAGACTTTCGAAGCTTACATACCTAACTTTAGACACCATGTAAAACATGATCTGGCTACGCAATTGGTCCAGCCTCCTCTGCAAATCCAGAATGCGGTCTTCCTTCCATACGCTCTTCAAGGCCGTATGGACACTCCGCCATTTTCGGGAGGCCTTAGAGTCTTGTCGAGGTCCTCCGGGAATGTTTAGAGGGCCTCCTGGACCTTTCTGACTTCGGACCTTTTTCAGAGCGGAGAGGATTTCAGAGGCTACCGACTGGCAATGCCTTGCTAATATGACCAGCTCGGGGTCAGTGGAAGCTCCACCAGTTCCGCCTTGCGCTCCTTGTTGATTCGCAAGTGCCCTGCCGATGTTGGAGCTGAATTTACTGAGCTGTTCTGCGGTATTTTGGAGTTCATCGATTTCAGAAGTCGACCCCGAGGCTGAACAATAAATCTCCTGGCATTTTGAAAACAAGGAACAGCTGAAGTGGACAAGTTGGACGATGTTCCCTGTCAGGCTGATAGCCACGAGAGCTTCCAGCACCATCACGCAGGCTTCTGCTGGTTGAGGCCATAGGACGTAAATCGCTACGTGATAGAGTCGAAGCGGACGCGGGACACAATATCTGGGGTGTTGAGCTTAGCCTCATTGCTGGCAGCTTGCCGGAGTTCCTTACCTCAGTAAGGTCTTGTTGATTGGATGCCTTGGCATACAAGGCGAATGAGCCCGGCCAATGATGCACTGACACCCTGTCGACTCTCACCGGAACATCAAGCCACCAAATGCACTATAAGGCGTACTTAGGGAAAAATATGAATAGGAAAGCAATTTGAAAGCGGGAGTGATAATAGGGTGGAAGAAACCCTAGGTAACGAACTACTCAGCGTCCTGTCAGACAGGAGGGACTGGATTTCACTAATAGCTGCGAAATTGATAGTAACTAACCTCCCTAGCAGGAGCCTCCTATTTGGGAGCCAGCCTCGCCAAGGTTGGAATAGCAAGCAATCTCATCACCTGTGCATTAACTCACTGCGGAGTACAATTCCCCCACAATGTCCCCTCAAAGGCGCCCCTCCCAAACCACCCAGTCAACGGGCTCTCAGCCTCTGCACTCTCCTCCCTACTACCCCACCCGTCTTCCCTATTATCCCACCTCCCTATCCTCTCAAACATCTCCGTCAGCCCCTGTTCCCCACCATACCATCTCTGCAGCCAAACCTGTATTGCCATCCCCTCAACACTCGCCCTCCCCTTCAACCACCACAGCTCCCCAGTCTCCAGTCTCTTGAACCACCACGCAAGAAGCAGCAAAGCCCGGGGATCCTTCGTTTCAAGAAGTGTACGGAACTCCGGCGACATATGGCCCATGAAGTACAGGAAATTGAGGATATTGTCATGGGTTGGGTTCATGTCTTGAAGACGGCTGAGAATCAGCGCGGGGAGATGGTACGGGTTGTTTTGGACGGTGGAGGATGGGGTGATATTGAAGAGCCGTCTTGTTTCTTTTGGAAGGAGGGACAGATCATTTTCTTCGACCCATCCCGGTACATGTAGGTGTTCATGCTCCTGGACGAGTATCTTGAACATAGAGTCGGGTCGTAGTGGGTCAGTGAGATGCCATATTGCCTTTTTTCCGTCACTGAGTTTGAGCCAGTCGAGGTCATGCGGATCCGGGGATTTGAGAGGCCATGATTGCTCCATGTCAGTATTCTCGACATAGGAGAAGACAAGTGCTCCGGTGAGGGCTGCCGTTGCCCATAAGGCATCGCGAGAGGAGGGCTCGATAGGGCGAGAGAGGATACGTTGAAAGAGAACGTTTCCTGTGTTCCAGTGTTTGAGGGACATAGTTTTGAAACGCATACTCATGATTGCATCGCTGGAGAGGTGTGCGTCGTGCATTAGGGTTAGACTAAGAACTATATGCATAAGGAAAGGATGCTAAAGAGGATTAGTCTAATGATGTCCGAGGAAGGTGCCGGGGATGACAAAGCGGAACAGGGGGAGAGGACGCAATGAGGGTTACTTACCGCGAAAGCAAGCTGTATCATACAATCCCGATACGCCCCTGCCGTCCTACGTGTCCCAATCGTCATGACAGTCCTATCCTGGAATCTCTTCAGAATCTCTAAATCTCTGTCGTCGAAGACCCAGAACTGCTTGCCATTGCCAAATGGAGCAGCTGTATCATTTGATAAGCAATCGTAGACTATGGAAGCTATGGTCTGGTTGACCGATACAGGCTCGATCTGTGGGCCTTGTTTCAGATTAGCTGTCTGCGGCTTATGCGAGAGGTCCACCTGGAAAGACCCTTGTGCCGACAGGTCAAGTGAAGACTGCTTTTTGTCGAAGTTGCACGATACGCCGTAAGATACGCATTTATTACACTGTGGACGTGTTTCGTCGCACTGTAATCAATTAGAATATGCCGTATTCTTACCTGCGAAGCTCAGAGAGCTGATTGGGAAAGAAGCTAACCTTCACTCGTCTTAACTTGCAATTCCCACATCCTTTTCGAGACTTGCTGTGCACTTTGCGTTTCCTCTCCGAGCCTTCTTGGAATCTTGAGATGGTCATGGCGAAAGTGCTCTACCTCGTGTCATATTCCCAAAACTATCTGACGAAATGGTTGATGAGCGCTGTATGATGGTTTATCAGACGAAACCTCGTTGGCTCAACTCTGATCCTGCAGCACTGGCTCTAACTTGGATTCGTATTGCGATGTAGGAGGACTGAGCGTTTGGCGGCATTCTGACTTTATGTACGATCGCCCGGACCTTACAAACCACCCATTCGCCGACGAGTCGGAGGAATTCAACGACGGTGGAAACAAATGAGGGGAGAAAGAAGGTGAGATTCCTGACGTCGTTCATCGCGCTAAGGATCCACGCTAACCTCGTGTCGTTCCTGAGGCGGAGATATCTGGCAGAAAGAAAACGACGCTTTATTAGTGGTTGGCACCAGTGATTGATGCTCTGTGGATTTCCACCGCAGAGATTCCAGTTTCAACACCACTCAGGCTCATTATGCCCCGACCCGAATTTGACCGTGTACAATAGTGAAACAGCCTTTTAAGTCCTGGAGTGCTTGAACGGAGATTATGGCGTAAATCCGGTGGTTTCGACATTTGCATGTAAAATGATGTGTGAGTCGAAGGTGGAACCTGATGGAGAGGATGCAGCTCAAGGTATAAGATGAAGGTGACCTCGATTGAATGTCGAGCTTGGTTAAGAAATATCATTTTCAGTTCCTCCTCTGTCTTTCATCAATCCCATTTCCCGCCATGTCTTCCATCACTCTTCCTCCGAAGATGAAAGCCCTCGTCCAGGAAGTCAAAGGCGATCCATTGATCCTCAAGTCTGTCCCCACTCCGCAAGCAACCCACGGCGCAGTCGTAGTCCAAGTCCTTGCCTCTCTCGCTCATCCCAACCTCCCTAAAATCCTCTCCAAGGAAGGATTAATCTTCACGTACCCGATTCCCTTCACCCCGGGTGACCGTTCTGTCGGCCGCGTCGCCGCCACAGGCCCCGACACAACATCGCTCCCAGTCGGTCAACTCGTCATGGTCGAGCCCTGGTTCCGCGCGAGAGATAATTCAGATGTCCAGATTCTGTTTGGGGCCTTTGATGGCTCGACACCTGCGGCGAAGACGTGGATGGCGGATAATTGGCGGTATGCAGCTTATGCGGAGTATGTAAAGACGCCGTTGGAGAATACGTGGGCACTGAATGAGAATCGCCTTTGCAAAGAGTTGGGGTATAGCATCCCCGAACTGCTGCAGTTGACAGTTGATGTGGTAGCTTATGGAGGCTTGAGGGGCATTGACATTAAAGCTGGAGAGCGTCTCATCGTGGCACCCGCCACTGGCATGTTCTCAGGAGCGACAGTCGGAGTGGCCGTCGCCATGGGAGTTAGTGTCATTGCCGTTGGACGGAATATCGAAGTACTCAAGAAACTGAAGGAAACATGCCCCGAGCAGATCGAAATCGTCGTCCTGACCGGAGACTTGGAAAACGACAAAGCTGCTATGATGAGGTTTGGTCCCGTCGATGCGCTTCTGGAGATGAGCCCCGCAGAAGCGGGAGGAAGTAATTATGTTAGAGCTGCCTTCGGAGCGCTGAGGCAGTACGGACGAGCTTCGATTATGGGTTATGGGACTGGTCTGATGGCCGACATTGAGATTCCGTATATGGAAGTCGTATTCAAGAACTTGAGGATTCAAGGCCAGTGTATGTACGAGAGGGAGCATGTCAGGGGCTTGGTCAAGTTGGCTGAGTCAGGAGCGTTGAAGTTGGGAAATAAGAGGGGGGATGGGGTAAAAGGAACATTCAAGCTTGAGGAGGTAGACGAACTGTTTAAAGGGAAGGTCGGTGTTGGCAGTTTCTATGCGCTGACTCCATGGAAGGAGTGAGATGGAGAAGAAGGCGCAACTCTAAACGTTTAAGCCCAAAATAGGTGGATCAATTTGAGCACAAAGCGCATCACGAAGAGCAAGAAATGAAAGTCATAACTTTTGATTGTCATCAACGACAAACACTTCATTCATCCCACTCACACCTCCTCATGCACAACAATCCATCATCCAAATACTTCTACACAGGTAAAGAATCGAAGTTATACAAAAAACAATATGCACGCGTCATAGGCGTCTAGCACAGATCCCTATAGGTTGACCTGATGTATCCGATCCTGCCTGATATTTCCCTAGGCCCAAAAGTATATAAAAAATCTTCTTCAAAGCGCCAACAAATGCAAACGTCCACAGCTTATCCTGCTCATGATTGGGAAATTTACGCGCTGGCGTAGACCTCGCCGGTGGCTGAAAGGCCATTACCGGAGTTGAGCTGGTTCTCGCCAGTGCCGACCATGAAGTAGGCATATCCCTTGACAGCGTCGGCATTATCCATATATGCCATGACCTTCTTGAGGAAATCGGCAGCCTGTGCGGATGAGGCAGTACCAGGGTTGAGACCGAACTCGGTAACCCAGATGGGCTTGCCAAAGCTCTTGGATGCCTCCTCGCAGTGGGAGATGAAGCGGTCAACAACCTTGTCATCGTACTGGTCGTAGAAATGGATATTGGCTGCATGCCAGGTGGCGCCAGGGCAGGCAGTCTTGAAGCGGCTGAGCCAGTCCAGACCCATTGGAGCGGGGCCGTTGGTGACGGAAGGACCGAGGATGGTAACCTCGGGATGAGCGCTTACAATGGGCTCCATGTAGTTGGTCCAGTTGGAGCAAGCCTGTGTAAGAGTAAGGTTGGCCTGAGCCGGATGATCGGGCTCGTTGAAACCCATGACGACATTGGTACCAGCCTTGACAGCGGTGTCAACATCCTGAAGCCACTTCTCGGGGGTAGCATCGGCAGGCTTGTGCATCATCGGGACGAATTTGATACCCTCTGGCAGAGAACCACCATATTGAGTAGACGCCCAGTTGTACGCAAAGCCGAACTTGCTACCTCCGAAAGCACTGCAGAGAGCGGGCTCATTGTAAGCGAGACCACGCTTAGAGCCAGAGTAGGTGGGAGCAGATGATGGCTTTGGAGCAGAGGACGAGGCTGGGGCACTTGAGACCGGTGCGGAGTACACAGTCGTGGTGGGGACAGGAGCAGAGCTGATGGGAGCGGCAGAGCTCACAGGGGCAACGGAGCTAATGGCTGGAGGAGTTGATGCGGGCTTTTCGGGGAAGCTGAAGCTCACCACAGGAGCGGAGGATGATGGTGCGACAACAGACGACAATGGCACATATACTGGAGCAGACGATGCTGGAACGCTTGAGGCGGGCTCAGCGATGCTTGAAGGGGGGGTGTATGCTGAAGAGGGAGCACCACCTCCGATGGTAACCGTGACCTTGTTTGTCGCTGTGACATAAACTGTAGCAGGTCCGCAAACAGCCGCTCCCGTGCTCACATCGGCGGCACCAACAGAGCTAGGAGCCTCACCGCCGCCCGACTTGGGGTGGGTTGCGTAGATGGTAGAGTATTCAGTCATGGTTGAATACAAAGTCTCGAGGATAGTAGTTGTCTTGGAGCCGGGAGCACCGGTACCAGTTGCAAGAGGAAGCGCAGTGCTATTCGCGTTACCTCCCCAGCCACCAGTGGGGTAGGGCGCGCCAGTTCCGGGAGCGCCAGTTCCATATCCACCGGACGGTTTGTGGTGGAACTTGCTGTGACCATAGTGGGGAATGGCAGCGGCCGTGGAAACGAGGGTCAAGAGACCAAGTTTGACGGATGGAGACATAATGCTAGTTGGTATGAATGTTGAGTGACTTTTCGTGTTGGATATGAACAGGGAATGCGATTGCAGCTTCGAGCGCAGGAGTCAGAGTGAATCGAGGCCGACCAGGGCTATTGCTGTGAATGGAACGAGGGTGACGTCTATGTAGACAATGAATGAAACGAGCGAATGCTCAAAGAGAGTGAACGCAACAGCACCGTGGTGAAGTGTGAGTGAGAGGGTAGGGGAAAGGAAGAGGGTGTCCCGGGGGCGGATTCAGCTCATATAGGAGGGCGGGGCGTTGAGGAGCCCAGCAAGCGGGCTGACTGGGCCTGGACAAGGGCTCGACCCAGTCTGTCAGCGGCAGCGAGCCCAGCGATAAACTTTTCTTAGAGTGGCCGTCGCACCAGTCAGCCACAGCACTGTGCGTCGATGCCATTCAGGGGCAAGCGCCAGGCACAGCGTGGGAACATTCACCCCGTTGGGTGGAAACGAGCGGTGGTAGCCACTCATGGGTGCTGAAACGACTGGGGAGTCATCGGCACCCAACCAGAAGAGTCGTGACTTGTTGAGAGGATCGGCGCGAGAAAAGCTTGTCTCAGGGCAGACTACCCGTGGCGTCGTTCAATTTGACGCCGCCGTTTCGAAACTCAGGAACTCGCAGCCTCCGCCTGTCTAGCCAGGGGCAGCACCAGAAGAGCAGGAGAGTGGCAGAGAACTCGTCGTTTTCGTCCACGACAAAATAACTTCGGATAGATGGTCCTGCATGCACACGGGAAGGGCTCCCTCTCGCCTCTGCAATTCATCCGACAACGTTGCAGCTCGGTCTGCCCGCCACATTGCCTCTATTGCCTCTTCTGCTCTGGTGGAGCTGTCGGCCTTGAGCGGGCATTCGACAACTCACGGACGGAGCATCTGCCAGCGAATAGTCTGTGAGGCGGGTCCCTCCTGGTCGTCGTGTAGACTTGGCCGAGATGCCCAGCGACTGCGTTGCGAGATCCTTCGTCACCTTCATCTCCGCCCTGCGGGTCACTGACGAGGCGCCAAATCTCCGCAATATGAGGATTCGAGAAGCCAGCGAGCAGGAAATCACGGTTTGCGCGCTGTATGTCGCTATTGTGACTTTTTGAGATTGAATTTTGTTTACATGCGTATGTGTGAAATGAGGAGCTGTTGATTTCGTGTGCAAAAAGGAACTCCTACCGACCTGACCCCCAAGGGGCGCATCGCTCAGCTTCAGCTTACGACACCGGCAACGAATCAATATTTCTGTCTCTGACTGCACTTTGTGCCGAGCTGTGCCGCATAAATAAATATCTTCTCATCAACGACGTCACACAGCATCGCAGAATATATGAAACCGTATGCACGCCTCACTCAGCTCTGTCGTGGAAGTCGTCTTCGCTCAGATCAATGGTTCCGCTCAGGTATGAACATGGAGGTGTTATTTCCAACCACCGCGAACCAGAGCTAGAATTAGAGCCAGTTCCAGGGAGAATGCTTGGACTGTGCCTCGTACCAGGTGTTCGACACACCAACAACCAGGCTCAAACGTACGGCATTTGTCCTCTTAATCTCTGCTGTTCATTCACCGGGTCATCAAGAGCGATGTTAGAATTAATGCTATGGGATGGGATTCCTGTTATAGTAATATTCCTCCGCCCAATACGAAAGCTCGTGATGTCAAACACCGCCACATCTTGGACGACGGAATGGATTTCAATGCTGCCACGTGCATTCGACGACTCCGGCGGTGGGCTCTGGGGTATGATTCCTGTTACGATCGAGAGCCTTGGTGAAGTTTTTGAGGCTTTTGGGTCTTCTAGGAACTTCATGCATCGGACACACACCGCGGGTCGGATATCTTCATTTCATCTCCTTTGCGTCTTCCTTCCCGAAGCCGTAAGTAAAAAAAAAATGAGTAATATTATTTCCAAGGTTCTATCTCAACACGGCCCTTTAGTCGGTCGACCTTCCAGAAATCCTCCTGCTACCCACCTAAAATCTCCACCCAAACTTTCTGCTTCAAAAATTCATTTCTTGTCTAGATCATCTAGAACTCAAAAGACATGCAAGACTCGCATCGCACAAGAGCAATCCCTCTAGCCAGCCATCAAGCAGAAGGTCGGAATCTCTCCACCATCCATCTTCGCCGAAACACGTGGATCCAGCCAGGCACAAGCGCTATCGATAAGTCGCACTATCTCCTATCACAAGTTGCTGCATAAGCGCGCACAAAATTTCATTTCGGTACGCACAAGAGTGGATAGGATAGGTCGCTAATGCATGCAACCTCCCTTCTCCATTCAAAAAAGGTAATGATGAGATGCAACATCGACCCGCAGGCCAATGCAACAAATTTGGTAGCTCTATTTTCCTTTGAGTGTGTGCGTGGACGCTCGAGAGACGGCCTCGTCTATCCGTGTCCTGGGGACCCCCGCAGGATAGGTTCTCGTCCTTTGATTATCTCCCGAGAGCTTGATACGCTATATGGAGGCATACATTGTGAAGAATCGCGATCATCATTCCCTCTCTGCAATCACAACTCTAGAATTAACCTTGTACCATGCTCTAATAAGTTCAGATCAACAAGTCGCCACGAGCTATGAAGAACCAGACACATGGAATCAGAAAACCACCATACGTAACTCAACCGAATCGTTCGAATCTGGAGATGCATTAAGCTCTCCTTCCTCGACACCCCCTCCTCACCTACACGAGAAGGCCTTGTTGTCTATGATCTCCAGGCAATGAACCAGTGGGTTAGCCTTCCCTGTTTCGCCAAACGTATTAAAGCATCTCCAAAACCACGGGTCCAGATCGCCTTTGATCTCGGTTTCAAACACTCGACAATATGAGGTGCCTGTGCGAAACGACGAATTCCGTACCAACAGTAAATCTCCTAGATCTTCCAAATCCACACTCGAGTCAAGCCGAATGTCGTGACGGCACAGTAGCCAGCCCTTCGGTCCACGACATCACATCAGATGCGGGATAATAAGGGGACTTCACATGCTCCAATCAGATCTCATATTCGCTTCAAAACCATCAATTGTCTCGCCTCGGCGATATCCAGCTCATTAGCCTCAATCGTCGCCGCTAAAAGCTAATCAGAAGAGTTACCGTTGTGTTGGCATGCCACGTCGCATTATAATGCACTTAGCTGTAGAAAGTAGTGGGATGGTAGGTGGCTCCTTATTTTCCTACACAGAACCGCTTCCCAACTCCCTCCGAGACCTACCCACTCAAAAGCAACGCAATCGCAAAAAGGTGATTCTTGAGCACAAAGTTCAAAGACATATCCCATCATGCCTGCACATCATCTACCCAGCAACCTTGGCCAGTGAAACTGGTCATCTTCCAAGTTTCCCGCAAGTCATGCATCTATCTATCTTTTAGACTAAAATTGAAATCCCTTCCACATATTACGCCGTAAACCACAATTCCTTCCAGCCAGACAGAACCAGTCCACTTCCCCATCAAATGCACGGCGAACCGCTATGATCAGAAACGCCAATTAAAACCAAACCTAGTCAACCCCTCCGATTTCCACTTCCACACTATCCACGTTTAGCTCTCAAAACCCTCGCTCACCCACTCACCAACTCACCCACTCACATAGGCATATCTCCAGGCATTCAGGCATAGTTGTGCTGTTGTGGGGAATAAAAAATTTCACTCCCCACTCACCTCCCTAGGCTAAATACCGATAAGAATCGATCTTCACCCCTTCAACCCGTTCAAGATATTCGCGCTCAATGAGCGATTCAATCTTCTTCTTAATCATATTGACCTCCGGCTTAAACTGTCCAACAAGTTGATTTAGTGTCTCGATGATAAGGGCCTGGTGTGAGAGTTCTTTTCGTTGTCTGTAGATAATATGGTGGTTAGTATGACCATGGTGTATGGTGTATATTCCTCTCCCTAGAGTCAAGTAGGACGGGGGATTGGAGGGGATGGGAGTGCTCGGGGAAGTGGGAAGTGGGAAGTTGGGCTGGGGGATCTAACATACTTCATAATCCTCACAACAGCCGCCTCTATACAAAACCCCCTCGAATCATCGTTTTTCTTCTCCGTCTCCCTCCTCTCCCGGTCACTCTCAACTTTATTCCCACTCGACACAACCCCCACTTTAATCTTAACGAATCTCCCTATAAATCCTTCATTGAAGAAGAATCGATCAGTAGATTTGACGTCCTTGGACATAGGATCCTTGATCAGGATACGTGTCTTGGGCGCCACGGCCAGGGATTGCAGGTTGCGGATAAGATCCGTCTTGGGGATGTTTGTCTGCGCCTGGATTTCTTCAAAAGTGAGGTGCTGGTCTGCTGGGAGGTCGTTGAACAGCAACAAGATCACCATGCCGTAAGTCGAGACGTTGAGATCATGCCGGCGTTCCTTGAATGATCCATCCTTCTGCGGGACCTTTGGGAAAACCGCCTTGATGTCTGCAGAGCCCATGTTTCCAAGCCAGGTGAGTTGCCGGCCTGAATGCTTTTCGTTGTAGTATTTTTCGAATCCGCGCTTGATGCGCTCGATTGCAGTTGGGTAGATGCACCTCGGCCTTGAACCTTCGGCGTCATCGCCAGAGCCCATGGTCTCCAGCGGCCAAGTCATGCTGGTCAGCACGTTGATGGCTAGTTCAATGCGCTTCGGATCCTTATCGCCAAGGCCTTCCACGTGCTTCTTGAACCCGGAAGTGAGTTCCTCTGATATCGTCATGTCCTTGAACATGGATTCCAGTTTTAGAGTGAAGTTGTTTCCGAGCTCAATCTTCATCTTGGAAATCATCGCTTTCTCGACGTCGTTGCTGATGGATTTGTTCATGAGGAGGCGCCGACAGAGATGTTTCTTGTAGTATCTCTCGAACAGGTCCTTATCCTGGACGTAGCGCAATAGGATGATGGCCTTTTCCAAAACCGCGTCAACTTCCATCTCAGTCTTGCCTTTGATACCCTTCTTCATGTTCTCATCAATGAAGAGGGAGATGTACTCGGACGACCGTGGGAAGGCCGGGGAGTTAATGAAATCCGCAAAACTTCGCGTGAGGGCTGTCTGCAGAGGTTGATCCTGTTGGAATGAAACCTCCCAAATCTTGTCGAATTTATCCTTGAGTTGGAGGACGTCTTCTACCCATCTGATGGCGGCAACGGTCTGTTGATTCAGGCTCTTCTCCGGCATTTGGGCTTTGACTTTGTCCCCCGCCTCGAGTGGCATTGGTGCAGACACTGGAGCCTGCGATGCCGCTATCGCTGCATTGTTGATGTCGGTGCCCAACTCCACAATCCGCTTTTGGATGGCACGCATGAGCTCGGCCTTTTTATCATCGACCCGGGAGTTCAAGTCATAGATGAGGTTTAGCTCGTCTAGTCGGTCGTTGTCAATCATGAATCGCACACCACTCTCCATCTCCACAAGCTCGTGTATCCGGTTCTTGATCAACTCATCCTCGACGACCTGTTGTATTTTCGGTTGGGTAACATCTAACAGAGTGGACCGACACCGCTCCTCCTCTTCATAGAGACGTCGTCTCGTGTGCCTGCAATACGCGCCGGCGTCGGAATCGCGGAGCAAGAAGTCGGCCTCTTGCCTATAGAATTCGCGGCTGGTTTCTAGATACGCGGCCTCAAACGAGGTATTGTACAGACGCTGGTCCTCTGCCTCATCCTCATCTTGGTATAGGCTGTCAAGCATGTGCACGCAGGACTTGATGAGGTGTTTGTCGATGACGTCGCCGTCACGCTCCATCTGTATCTGGTCGAGGATAACATGGTTGAGAAGACGCAGGACCTCTTTACCATCGACGTCCGAAGTGGGGGCGTGGAGGATGTCGTCGCGGAAGAGAACCATGGCGGCCGTGTATATTGAGGGTCGGCGATGATCATGACAGTAGACGCGATCCATGTACATGAGCACATCAGCCAACATGCTCATACATATCTGGTGGTCTCCCCACGCCTGCTTCAAGCCCTTGAAGAACTTCTCGCCGGCCACGCGCCTCTCGTTGGCTGTGGTGCCTCCTAGACTCTGCGTGCCGGCTGAGAGGTTAGGGGAGAAGAGGGCCTGGATGGCGCTGCGGACCTCGCTGCTCAACCACTCGTGCTCGAAATCGCAGACACGCTTATACAGCTCCTCACCCTTCTTCTTGAGGACGACTTTGTACGCATGGCGGTACAGTTCCTCGTAGGAGAGCCTGGAGGCGTTCTTAGTGTGTATTTCGCGGAAGGCGGAGGCGATAGTGCTCCACGTGTTTTCGAAGTCGATTTCGTCGCCGTGGAGGCCCTGGCGAAAAGAGATGGGATTAGTCTGGCGGGGGTTGAGAGGAAATTGTGCAGGGCAGGGTGGGAGAGAGCTAATGCTGGGGGGAGGACAGAATGAAAGAATAGCATACCCTCCTGGGCGGCCGTATGCGCTGTCTACCCCGACCTGCAATCATGGCTGGCGAAGCCTGAGAGCGTGACGGTAGGGATGGGTATAGTGGTAGTTGAAGGGGTGTAGAGCGGGAGGGAGGAGACGCTGCGGAGTGTCGGCTGGAGCAGGGACGCTGGTGGACGGGTTAATATCAAAAGACGCACGCAAGAGGCGACGCCATAGAGAGGTTCATAAGGGAGCGAATGTTCAGCCGGCGAAAGGGTGTGGTGGTGAGGGTGAGGCGGTCGGCCAAGTCGAGGCGGGGGGCCGGGGGGGGGGGGGGGGGGGGGGTGTGTGCAGGCCTGCAGGCTGCCGCATTCAGAGGTGACGACGCGGGCCGAACTGCACCAAACCCGTGAACTTTTCATCCGAACGTCTCCAAGCGCCCCCAAACAACACCTGCCAACGCCTGCTCTAGATACCTTGATTCCAGCTATTCAGCTATCAGTTGGCGATTGCATCTATCGATAGTTTCAAACCATGCGCCCTTCGCCGCCGGCCTTGCGCTGCCTCTTGCGTGCATCGACTCCCCGACCGCTTCGAGCTCCCCCGACTGGCCTCATTCTCTTCTCGAAGCGGCACCTACACACGCCGCTGCGAACGTCTCTCCCACTCCGCTCTCAAGCACTCGTGTTCCGCAACCGGCCCCTGCTTGCATCGGTACGCCATGAATCCACGGCCTCGAATTCCACGCCCCAATCCGGCGACTCTACTGCTCCCCCCCCTTCGAGGCTTGATCGCGATCAAGTCCCCGCCTACGAGATGACCTTCACCTGCAAGAAATGCAGCACGCGGTCTTCGCATAGGGTGTCGAAACAGGGCTATCACCATGGTACTGTCCTTATCACGTGCCCGGGGTGCAAGAGTCGGCATTTGATGAGTGACCATCTCAAGGTGCCCTCACCACTTCCCCTCCTACCTGTCGCTGTACTGACACCGGCTAGATTTTCTCCGACAAGCCTGTTACCGTTGAAGACCTCATGCGAGAAAAAGGCCAGCTTGTCAAGCGAGGCTCTTTAAGCACTGAGGGCGACGTCGAGTTCTGGGACGATGGATCTAGCACTCCCCGCTCTGCCAATTTCGTCCCGAACTCCACAACCAAGACAGACCCTGGGGCAGAGGAATGCCGACTGACTGAGTCTCCGGCTTCGCACAAATCCACCCGAGATTAAGCCAAGATTAAGCCAACAAAATCTATCCTCGGGCGCATGTCGGTATATCGGACCCGTCGTCATGCCCAACGCGAAGGATTGTATCACGTAAGCGGAAGAGACGCTCCAGGAGACCCGCCCCTTCCTCATCTGTCGTCGACGATTCTCCTCAATATTGCGCTGGGATCTGCGTCCAAGCCCGTGGCCGAATTTCTGGGCTCTCAAATTCTGAAAACCACTAGACTAAACTCGCGCCGACTTCAATTCTGACCACAATCCATACCCGCACATCATCCGGTCACCCAACCCCCTAAAATGGCATCAACAACCCTCCTCGGCCTTTCTCTAACCCTCACACCCCCTCTCCTCACCCTCCTCCGCCTCTCTCCACTCCTCTCTTCAACCGCCAGCCTTACACACGCCTACATGGAACTCGTTACAACCTCCTCCTTCCTCGCCGCCGCGCCCACGACTAGTGCTCTCACCACCACCATCACAAAAAACCCCGCAACTCCTACTTCTACCCTATCCGCTGCTTCCGGCGCCGCTCTTGAGTCTGCAAAAGACCTCGCGATACCGGCTTGGTTCACTAATTTCTTCAATCGCGCCCTGTGGAGCGTTATTGGTTTCAATACTATTACGACTTGTACTGCGGCTGCGAACTTATTCCTCTTCCCACTGTCCCAGACCTCAGCCCCAGACACACTCTTCGCACCGAAGAATCTATACGCTGCAGGCCTGGTCTTCGCAATTGGGCATTACGTCGGCGTTCCGCTTGTTGCGCCGAGTGTAGAGGCTTTGATGAAGATGTGTGTTGAGCAGGAGAAGGGTGGAAAGGAGGTCATGGAGGCGAAGAAGGAAAAAGGAAAAGCGAGAGAGTTGTTGGCCCAGTGGGTGGGAGTGCATAAAGTTAGGATGGGGACAGTGGATCTTTGGGCTTGGTGTTGTTTTACTATTGGCGCTGTGGGCGCTTTGAGTTAGGTACTTTGAATTATTGCGTGTGGGTGTGTGGTAGACCGGATGAAGTGGGCGTAGCAGGTGTGTGGAAACGCTGACTGGTACTGCCTTTTATGGACTCATGGTACTGCCTATTATGGAATCACGGTACTGTCTATTATGGAATCGACATGAACCTAATGGGTTTAATTTGAATGTGTCTCTGGCTAGAATTGAAAAGAGTATTGCTTCCGTGCAGATTTCTGCCAGGAATTCACCCGTTTAATCGTTATCCTCAACTCTAAAACGCCAACATGCCATGTGTTCATGCCTCCAGCTGCTGTTTTCCATGCGAGCAGAGAACAGGAAAGAGACGAATATGCAGGGTATCCATTTATATCTACCATCGATACAACTCTACATCCCTACCTAAATATAACGCCAAAATATAACTTTTCCATCCCCAAACAACGAACCGCTCCAAGCCAGCCCAATCCTGTCACTTGATCACCACCCTCGCCGAGCTCCCCTCGCCTCGGCCCCCTTCTCCTTCCTCTTCCTGCGCTTAACCTCGTGCCTCCTTCTCTTCTCCCTCTCCCTGACCTCCGGCCTGATCACAGCATCTACCTTCCTTTTCTTCCCCCTTTCCTCCCTCCTCTCCCTAATACCCCTCTGCACATCCTGCATAACCTCTAAAAACCCGCCCTCCATCTTCGTCTGCAAACCCCCCATAATCTCTTTCGCTTTGTCAATGAGCGCTTTATACCCCTCGTTAAACGCCGGGTCGCTGGCGCGCGGGTGCGTTGTCGTTGCCGCAGTGAGGACGTGGAGGGTTGTTAGGAGGTGTGGGAGAGACGTTGAGATGGCGGGGATGGGGAGTTTAGTGGTGAGGGTGTGGAGGAGGGTTAGTACGGCGGATTTGGGAAACAGAGAAGAAAGTTTTAAGAGTTTGGTTTCACGCCGAATGAGGCTGCTTAGGCGGATGATGAGGCGATGGAGCGCTGTTTGGGGGGTGGCTGGTTTTGGTTTTGGTTTGTATGTCGATGTCGATGTTAGCTGTGGTGGCGAGGGTGCAGGTGAGGGCGGAGGAGAAAATCCAGCCCATTCTTCCTCAGGGCCGGAATCCGCATCTCCATTCACTTCATCCTGTTGTTCTTCCTCCCCACCAATCTGCTCTTCAACTCCGTCTTCATCATCATCCTCATCATCATCATCATCATCATCAGTCTTTTGCCATTTCCACATAGCCCCATTGGCAGCTAGGCACCGTGCTAGGAACGCTAGATTCCTCACGGTTTGCACGCAAAACTCGTCCGTAACACCAGCAATAAAAAGGTTCTTCACAAGCGCACTAGTAAGCCGAACCATATCCTCCTCAGTCAACTGTAAGCCCCGGGATCCTTCTAGGGGAAGACTATTCAACCCCTCATCGCCATTCGTACTTGCTAGGTCCGCGAAGAACGTCCCCATCAGTTTCGCAGAAATAAGCTTAACCCAAGCATGCGGGTACGAAACACACGCCTTAATCTCCGTCCAAAGCTGGTGCTTGTCAGAGGAGAGCATTGCATCTGGGTTTGATTTGCAGAGCTTTGAGAACACAGTCAGAGAATAGTAGATGAGTTCCCAATCATCCTCGCCCCTTCTCATAAGACACTCTTCGATGGTCGACTCCAGTCTTTCTAGCACAAATGTTCGCTCTTTCGGCTTGCTCTCCTGAACCTCAAAGTACAGGCCCCAACATTGGATGGCGAGCCGTTTTAAACCAGCATCTTCATCTTGCTCCAGCCAGCCTCGAAGGTCCGATAGAAAGCCCTTTTTTCTCTCCTCGTCTGCACGCTCAAAAAGCTTCTTCACGAGCGCTCCTGCCATGGTACGGCAATCGCTGGAATCGTCGTTGGCCATGGAATGAATTAACGGAATAAACATGACCCCAAGCACATCTTGCAGGATGTTATCTCCGACCTTCGTAAGTATCAAGTTCAAGGCTTCCATGACAGACTGTCGGCCCTCCACGTGGTCGTATCTCAAATTCCTGATAAGAAACTCCAGTTGTTTGGTAAACCGGTTCTTGGCTTGCGGGTAGTCCATCAGAAACTGGAAGTAACTGCTCCTTGCAATATCCCGTGCAGATCTCGTGTGGTTCGTCACCATCATTTCTGCCACTTTATGCATCACTTCATACACTTCGGGAATGATAATCTTGCGGTTCATAACAGCCTTGAGGAACCCGAAAGTGACACCTTGGCGGTCTGGTTCGTCAAGATCTGGAAGCAGGCGCTTTAGTAAATGTGCCAGGTCTCGCTCTTTTAGTGTCGTATTGGGCCTTTCACGGATGACTGCAGATATCATCTTCAGTGAGGCTTGTGCAAGCTCCGTGTTCGTCGAAGGTGCATTCCTAATTGCCCGAACAGCTTCTGTAATATAGACCGGACAATCTCTGTCCAATGCGGGTAAGGATACCCTGATGATGGTTGTGAGGAGACGTACTGCCGATGTCTGAACCTCCTCTTGGCTTTGAACTAGTGCGTCGCCTATCATAGGAAGAAACCCAGAAATATTCTGCGGTGTCTGTAATTCATCATGTTTCCGAAGAACGTTGCGAAGGACATCCATGGCAAATCGAGTAATCTTGTAGATATAGGATGAAGTGGACCCTCTGGCACCAGACTTTGCTGCGCCCCTCATGTTCACCAGGTACCTCTTGTTCTTTGGGTCTTCCTGTTTAGCTTCCGGATTTGCGCTAGTTTTATAGATTTCTTGGATCAGCTCGTAGCAGAAAACTAGAATATCTCGATCCTTCAGTGTCGGATTTTGCGGGATGCCCATCCCTATGCGTCGCAGCAACTCATCAATTTTCTGTACCATTTTGGCATTGAGCCTCTCAAGCAAGAGTGACTTGATCGGCCAAATGAGTTCCACAAGGTGGGTTGGCGTTGCAGATCGTGCAATGATGTCCATAGAATCGTAGCTTTTGCTGCTCTTCACCTCTTTCGCCTTGCTGATATAATCTTCGGCGTCCTTTTCTTGTCCTGTGATTCCAAAAATATCGTCCATAATGACATCAACAATGTCGGGCAGGCAGTAGTCCAGATCGCCCGGTCTCAGTTGGTCCGCCATCTTGACTAAGATATGGTGTAGCGTGAAGGAAAGGACGTGGAGTTGATAGCCTCGTTGAAGCGCTGTACGTAGCGATTTCAGAATAAAGCCCAAGTATGACTTGCCAGCCAATGTGGCAATCTCAGCTAGTGTGCTCCTCGACATATCTCTGCCATCTTGTGAGCGGGATTTTAGAATGTAACAAATGTCCAAAAGAACGGGGGGAAGTCGTGCTTCGATCTCGGGGGGCGGAAGAACTAATAGAACCTTTGTAATTGCGATTGCAATGGGGGCTCGAAGGCTAACAGTGGAATCATCCTTCTTGTGGAGGAAATCGGTTAACGGAGGAAGGAGATGATCTACGAGATCACTAGTGAGCTTCTCCTGCCGCGGAAGCGTCTTCGCCAGAGCAGTAAAGACAGTGTCGACTTCCATCACATCTTCCGCGCCAATTTCCGTCTCGGGAGCATTCCCACTCTCGGCTAAGTCGCTAGCCATGTACCCTTTCAGACGTCCGGCCTGACTCAAACTATCCATCATACCCCCGAGAAGTTTAATAATGGTCTTCTGCATGTCTTCTTTAGTAAGCATACAGTCGATATATCTCTTCAAAAGAGATCTGAACTGCGGCCATTCGAGCCACTGAGCTAGGGCACCGATTGTCTTGATGGCCTCGCCAGCGAGATTGTTCGCGCTCTCATCCTCAGCTTTGTTGAAAATAAAATGTTCCAGTAAGGGAATTAAAACGTGGCTGATATTCTTGCTTTGGAGCCGAGGAGCATTCGATGCAAGTCTGCGCAGTGCGCGGAGACGGCGATGGCCTTGGATGTGTAGTACATTGCTGAAGAATGACGATTCTTCCTCGGCGGAGAGCAGGATGTGCAAATCAGCGACTGGTGGCCAATCCGAGTGCATTTCCACAAGGCGAGCGAGAACAGCTAGGAACTCTATCCTGACCAGCTCCGAGGACTCTCTCATCCCATTCTGTATTCCAGGAAGGATTGCAGATGATAAGAGAGTTTTGAATGCTTGGTCATGAACGGTCGCTTCGATAAACCGACGAAGAGAGAGAGACGCATTCACTCGGATGCTCAACTCTTCATTGTCCTTAATGTAGTACAGCATGTTGTAGACCAGAGGTTGCCACTGGCTTGGTGTGAATGATTTGTTTTGCTCACGATTTACCAAGGCGAAAGCGCCCGACCGGCGATCAAAGTCAGGCTCATCTAACTTCGAGCTAGAGAACGAGTTCAGATCCTCGCATAGGTTAGCGACCATATGGAGATCCTCACGATGCTTGGAGAGATCCTGAATAATATCGCACAGGGTAGTACGGGCGGCTCGATCCTGGAAAGTTGAGAATAAGGAGGACGTAATATCGAAAACATCGTTGAACAACTCGTCCAGGTCGGCACCATTGCAGCGTGGAATAAACTCGTGGAGAATTTTGAGCAGGCCAAGTTTAGTGTAGGTATTCACACGCCTAGAAGGCTGACGGAGGAGGAATGCCGAAATTTCAAGCATACTCCGAGATTCCGATGAACCAACGACATGGGGAGCCAACTCTGCGACCGTCTGCACACCAGACTCTAAGAGATCTTTGCTTGGACTCTTTCGTAAGAGGTCGCCTATTTTGATCAAGAAGATACTCGCGTATGGCTGGAGAACGGAGGAGTGAATCCGGTTCTGGTCTATTTTGGCGGTAACAGTGGCATTACCCAGATTGTCAGAACCAAGAGCAATCATGCTTCGAAGAACTTCATCAAGGACGAATCGTTTAACCTCATCTTTGGCAGATAAAACACCGAGGCAGTCTATGACTTTGACCAGGATATCGGGGTTGAATTCGACCAGGTAAGAGATTGTTCGGGCCGACTTGGACCATGCAGCGAAAAGACGAAGGAGCCCGGACACGGATTGTGCAGTTTCTACAGGGAATTGCTCAAGCCTTGGATTAACGAGTTCCTCGACAATCGTGGGCATGTACGGACTCCATGTAAATTCAGGACAACTCTCAAAGAGGATATTCAAGGAATGAAAGGCCCTTTGCCGGATCGTTCGCAAGAGAGATAACTGGAGGTTTTGGTCCCCTTGAGCATCTGAACTCGATGTAAAGGCGGCAGTAGATAAGCCCCGCGAGGCCTTGATTACGCAGTAAAGAAGTGGGTCAACGATCGAGGCAGTAAAGGGCGTGAGCTTATTCTTCAGGGTGCTCAGCATGTCTTCGAGCATGTTCAACATTCCTAGCTGTTTCCGCAAGCTCGTTAGGTCCCTCTGGAAAAGAACCTCGTTGATTCTTCCGTCTTTAAGAATGGATATATCGCCGAGGGCACCGAATGCTATGCCCAGGAATTGGCGAATTGCGACCTCTTCGAACCTTGTCAATGCAATGAACACGGCTTTGCGTTTAGCCTCCTGGCCCCTCTTCCCGCTGATGACTTTGCCATATAATAAACGCAGAATTACTGGGAGCAACTGGTCGCGGTGCTCTTCTCGCAGGTGACTCTCTTCTTCGCTGACGTCCATGAACACGGATATTTCCTCTCGAAATCGGGCGTCATCGAGGAGATTGAAAAGATTTTCCTGGTACCGGATAATTCCAGCATCTTTCCAAGTCAGCATTGCTTTGAGAGCAGCTTTCTGAATCTCCACATCACCGTTTCCCAGTAGTACGAGCAAAGCAGCGCGTACTTCACCTGACTTGAATAGAACTTTTGGATTGGTGAATTTAGAGAAGACTGAGAGTATTGCTTTCTGGTCTTTCCTTGACCAGCGCAAACCATCATGCTCGAGTGGCTGGTGAGGTAAAGCTTCAATCTCAGGCGTTTCCGGTATGGGTTGATCTAAGGCCCAAGTGAGCAGGATAGGTACTAGCAGCCGTGAGCGTTTCTCTGCAACTTGCGGTATGACGTTGAGCACACGTAGACTCTGCGTTCGACTAAAAGGCGTTATGAACTGGATGGTGGTGTGTTGACTTTCGAAGGCATGTTTAAGTCGCTCGTGTGTTAGCTCCGACGAAGCCTGCAGACCGGATAACTTGGCTTGGAGGTGCATGAGATTTGTACACTCAAACTCAGTCGCGCGCCTGAACACCGTCGGTTGTTCTGGGTGAGCATCAGAACGCATGGGCTCATGACCTCCGGTCTGGTCCAGCCATCCGAATGCTATCCGGGAGACGTGAGCTTCGCCATCTTTTGTTTCGCACATGTCTTTCAGAGCTGAGCAAGCATCATCCCAAATTTGTGCAAGTTTAACGTGCAGAAGGCCAAAGCAGTAAGTCGGGATTGCTTCACCTACCCATTCGTCTGACGATACTGTAGGGTAAAATTTCGCGAGTTGCCGGATACGCATCGATACCGCGCGCATACTCTGAAGATCAAGGGGCGTCTGTTCAACCATCATTGCGGTAGCGATGATTAGTCGCAAGTCGTCATTTTTCCCAATGATGATCTCAACAATTCCGAGTGCTGCAAGCCGCGCGTCATGTGAAGGGGAGCCGAGAGCTTGCATAAGAGAATGTTTGAGGTGCTCTTTGTGCGGTTCCTTAAGGTCTAACGGTATTTGGTTTCTCTCGAGGAGTGACAGTAGTGCTTGCCAGAAGGGAACCAAATGACCATACGAGGAAGAGGCCTGGCACAGAAAGGGCCATATGTTAGGAATACTGTCTCGGAGTTCATTTTCTTCCACAAGAAAACGGAAACCATTCCCTGCCGCAAGGACGTCAGATGGCCGGGGATGGCCGGAATCGCTGAGCCGCATTGCACTATCGAATGCCTTTCGGAGTTCATTTAATATTCCCTTCTTAATGCTTGCCGGAATGTTGAGGGCACATGATGATTCTAAAAACGCATTGCAAATATAGGAAGCCAGCTCTACTCCATCATCGGCAAGGCCAGAAGCGGTCAGGTCCTCGAATGACAGGACAATATCCTCGTACCAGAAGAGCGACGGTTCGATCGAAGATTTTTGTAAGGAATTAGTGCGGAGAAGCCTAGGCAAGAGACTACATAGTTCTGTCTTGGATTCTTGCGCATTCTGGACGACAAATCTTTCCATCGTGTTAGCAATATTATGAGATAGGCCAGGGTAGTGAGACGTACCTCTTGAAGTATGGGAGCAGGAGGTTCTGGAACCTTTCCGAGCCTAAATCCGCAAAAGTATTAGAAAAGGACAGGAAATAGCCTCCCCAGCGATTGTGAGTAAGTGATTCGAGGATTTGGACATGCTGTATTGCGACTTCCATTGGGCAATATTGGAATACCACCGCGGTGGCAGACATGAGATCTCGCATATCAGTAGAAGAAGGTCCTTTGGATTGGTTCGCACAATCAACAAGAGAGTTCAGCGCCTCTAACACTGGTTTCCATTGCTGGATTCGAGTGCCTTTCCTAACCGAAGCGACCACGAGTAAGAGGCGAGACGACAGTCCAACAAAGTTTCCGTCCGAAGTAGTTTCCTCAATTTGCGAGAGTACGGTATCAATCAGAGGCTGGAAGTTCTCATTATCTGAATGATGGATAATGGCGGTAATGACCCCGCTGAGAAGAGGCTCCAATGGTGCGGTATGGAGCGCAATGTACTCCTTTGCGTACGTCTGAGATAGCAATTCCTGTAGAATGGCCACGGCACTTGAATGCAAGCCCCTTTGAACTCCCTTCATTGAGTCCGCAAATAGAGACATTAAGCCCTGCCGGAATTCTTCGTCCTTCCCACTTCCTTGCAGCGCTTCCAGCTGGCCCGAAATGTGGCCTACAATACGCTTCAACGGTCCCTCGTCTCTGTGGTATACAGCGCCAGTTTTTCGAACCAAGAAGCTGAGCGACTCAGCGGCGAATCGAGTAACGAATGCTTTCTGATGTTCTTTCCCCAGGAGAGGGGTCATTAAGTCGAACAAGGGTATCAGATCCGGAACCAGGAGCCGCGAGAGATATTTGAACAGCCATGCCAGGCACGTAAAACTCCACTCAATAACTTCAACATCCTGGTGCTTTGCGGCCAAATGCGACACCGTCTTTACCACCCGCTCAAAATGGTCTTCAAATCGAACGCCGAGATCATGTGCAAAATGAGCCATGAGACTCAGCAGCGGCTCCTCGCTCCATTTATCCCCTTTCTCAATGTATTCGACGAGTAGGTCTAGGATGCGGCGGCGGTGGTGGAGGATCTGAGGGAGGCTCTCGCAAAGCGGTGTGACCTGACGGGCGAATCGGGTAAAACCATCGGACGTATTGATATCCCTCCATTCAGCGAGGGCAGTCTTGAAGTGTGAAAATGTGGTGTCCAGCTCGGCATCGTCGAGAATGGTGCTGCGGCCGCGACGAATGGGCTCAATCTTGAGCTTCGTGATGCGCTGTGAGAAGGACTCGAACCGGTGCTTCCGCGACGAAAGAGTGCCGCCTTTGGGATTGCTTGATGTTGGCCTTGGGGCCGACCCTCGCGACATGGCCGCCATACCTGTGGTATGTTTGGATTTTTGAAGTGAATGTCAAGATGAAGCCCGCTCTACAAAAATTCTGAGCCCGCCAAGATTTCGCGGCGCCTTTTGCCCCGACCGCCGACATGCCAAAACTCCGACGTCAGAAAGTCAACACCAAGCAGCCATCACTAGTTCCAACCCAAATATGGCTTCGAAAATGTGAGTCCATCCTTGTTTATGTCTTATTAGGCATACCGCATGTTATTAGTGACTAAGTCTTATCTAGAGTTGTCATCGGGGATGTCAACGGTCAGTTCCCGGCTGTTTTTGACAAGCTAGCTGGCCTTCACGCCAAAAACAACTTTGCCTTCGCCCTGGTGGTCGGAAATCTCTTTCCAAATCCAGATACTGCAACCACCCAAGATAATTCCAATATCCAGTCTCTCATCAATGGAAATATTGATGTCCCTTTGATGACTTACTTTGTGCTTGGCAATAAGGCCTTCCCGCCTGCCGTCGTGCAAAGGCTTGAGTCAGCAGATGATGAAATCTGCCACAACCTGTACTTTCTCGGAAAGCGGAAAGTCATAAAGACTTCCGAGGGAATTCGTATCGTATGTCTTGGCGGTCAACTTGACCCTGGCATCATAGCAGGAGAGTCTAAGGACAAGTATCCCCCGTACTACAGTGAAACCGACACCAAGATACTTCGAGGAGCTAAGACTGCCGATATTCTCATCACCAATCAATGGCCTGCTGGAATACGTGCCCGATCCAAAGTTCAGTTCCATGCTGACGAGGAGCCGCTCGCCCAGCAATGCCTTACCGATCTTTGTGCTACCATCAAACCAAAGTACTACTTCTCGACCTCCGGGGGAACATTCTACGAGCGTGAGCCTTTCTTTCATACACCTAGCGAGGAAACCGACGGACTTTATCCTATCACCCGTTTCATTAGTCTCGCATCGTATGGAAACGAGAAGAAGCAGAAGTGGATCTACGCATTTTCGCTCGATCCCACCGCGAGCAACCCGATCACGGTACCTGCAGGATCCACTGCCTCACCTCTATCTCTGTCAGATAAGAAAAGGGGTGTTCAGGATAATCACGAATCATCCGGTCTCGTCTACGAAGATAATCATGGTGGAAGGCGGCCACACAAAAGACGTCGACATGAACGCAGAGGCCCACCAACTGCCGCAGAATGCTTCTTCTGCTTAGCCAATGACAACGTCGCAACTCACCTGATTACATCGATAGGTGATAACTCATATATGACCACCGCGAAGGGCCCTCTTCCCATGCCCACGACCTTTCCAGAACTCGGCTTCCCATCTCATCTGCTCATCATACCTCTGATACATCAGCCAACACTAGCCGCGATGGATGAAGACGATCGTCACGCTACCTACGAAGAAATGCAGAAATACCGCTCCGCAATGAACAGCATGCTCAAGTCTCGTGCTGGTGGCGAATACGGCTCTGTTACGTGGGAGGTGAGCAAATCTAACCTCCCACATACCCACTGGCAATATCTCCCAATTCCTGCCGACTTCGTTCGCAAGGGCCTCGTCGAAGCGGCATTCAAAGTCCGAGCGGAACAGTTGAATTATCCGTCTTTCAAGAGTATTGACGTTGGCGATGGCTTTGAAGAATCGAGTGATTTCTTTAGGGTGATGATATGGAATCCCGATCACCCAGAGGATCAGTTTTCCAGCTTCATCTTACGATTTGATGAGAAGATCCGGTTTTCCCTGCAGTTTGGAAGGGAGGTGATAGCGAAGCTATTGAAACTTGACACAAGGGTCGACTGGCACGATTGCGGGCAGACGCAACCGCAAGAGGAAGCAGATGTCGCCGGCTTCAAAGAGGCGTTCAAGCAATTTGACTTTACAGAAGAGTAGGAACATATATTTGCGAAGGGCGAATACCCAGATGATTCCCTGCGCTAGAATGTACAATATCTAATATCTGTGTATGAGTACCATAGCTACAAAGGAACTAGGGTCCGGGCAGTCCTCGATCGCATGATGGTGAAATAGCCAAGACCCACACCGACATCGCTCCTAATATCACAACTCCCAGACCCCGGAATAACCAAGACCCGAATTCCAGGGTTCTCAACTTGCTCGATGCGGCATTTCTAGCCAAAAACTGTGGATTACGGCACTAAAGGGTTGGCACAGCAAGCAACGGTCTAGCCTGGTCTCACCAAGGCTTGATTACCAGAGCGCTGGTACCCTCTCATTTTGCTTCGACATCGAGGGCATCTTTATCACCCCAAAAACCCCACTTTCTTCGCGGGTTTTCGAAGAATGTGAGGATCGGATATTGAGTGACTGGGCGGGAGTTTTCCGAAGTGAATGTTAGGTCTTGGCACTGCCTTTTTCGGCCAAGACTTATTCTTGGCGGCGGGATTAGCACTGGTTCTAACAGGTGTGGAGGGGAACCTTGAAGTGCCCGGTGGGGCTTTTTACAGACATTTGATGTGTCAAACAATGGCCAAACGAAGTTCTCTTGCATGTTACCCTGATTTCTCCTTCCACCACTGATCTCACAATTCGCCACGACACCAAACCGCAAATCCTCATTCGCAAATGAGTGTCTTCCTCCCGTCCACTAAGCCCTCAGATCTCCCTCCCGAGCTACCCTGAGGCACAACCAAGCCTTGCGGCGTCGGCATCTCCTTTTAAAACAGTCCAATCACAGCGATGATTGGCATTGTCCACATTACCCCGCGCACCAATGATAAGCCGCGATAAGCACACTCCCCTCTCATGAGCCTTTTGCCCTATGTTGAACAATCTTCCGAAACACCAACCCCCAGTCGCCGCTCGAAAGACATGTGCACATCACCGGAGCGCGCACTCTAATTTCTGCAAGACGGCTGCAGATAGGTCGGCTCCGACATCGTTTCCGGAAGCTGCGAATTTAGATCCCGTTGTTGCTAGTCTAGCAGTGACATTCAGGTACAGGTCATGGGATGCCGCTTGTTTCTTCCGAGAGGGTAGAAGATATACAGCTTGGCCTTGTAACGACCTTCCGCTTCTAGAGGGGGTACCGCATAGAACAAGGTGAGGTTTGCGTAAAGTAATTGAGACATCTACAGGCGCGTGGGTCTTACGGTTGGTGAGTGTTGATTGAACATTCCAACTTGTCCATATCCCGGGATTGCTCCGCGAGGTGAAGTAGATATAAAGTGTGGCTAGAATCACCGAATATTTCCTTTAGTCTCACAGGAGGATTTTATCGGTACCGCAGATCGTTCTTCTAGGCATTGGACGCACGCAGCCGTCAATCTCATATAACATCCACCTCTTGTGTCCGTCAACCTCTTTCTCATTGCAACCTCTTACATACCACCCACCCCAAGCCATAAATATGAGGTCGCTCCTCCTCTTAGCCTCCACGGCCCTAGCGGCCGCGCTCCCAGCGCCCATACCCATACCAGCACCCACTCCACCGAATATTCCATCTACAACAACTGCCAAAAGCGAGCTCGCGGGTTTGACTGTAGCTGCGCAAGGTTCCCAAGACGGATACTCGCGAGATCTGTTTCCTCACTGGATCACTCAGAGCGGGTAAGTTTTGTTCCCTCATCATCTCCTTTCTCTATCATCTTCAGATCTTCCCTACCCCCGAAGAATCTCTAACTGGACGGATGTGCAGCTACCAAAATACAGATCTTGCAATACACGCGAAGTCGTCCTAAAGCGCGATGGTACCAACGTGGTACAAGATTCCTCTTGTGCTGCGACGTCCGGATCTTGGTACTCGCCGTATGACGGCGCTACATGGACGGCTGCCAGCGATGTTGATATCGATCACGTTGTGCCGCTTAGTAATGCGTGGAAGGTAAGTGATGATATATTCTGTTTTTCTTCCACCTATTCCCTTTATTCTCTGACTCTGAAGGAGAACGGGAGAAGTATTGATGAATGGGATTTAGTCCGGAGCCGCATCCTGGACAACAGCTAAACGTCAATCATACGCAAACGATCTGACAAATCCGCAATTGATTGCTGTGACCGATAACGTGAATCAAGCGAAAGGAGATTCTGGGCCCGAGGACTGGAAGCCACCGCTAAGTATGCCCCTTTCCTCAACCTTCAAACCTCATCTGCCTCACTTACCTAGATGAAGTCCCCGCTCTCGCGCGAGGAGAATAGATTTTAGTGCTCAAGAAAGAGCTAACATAACCCGATCACCAGCTTCATACTACTGCACCTATGCCAAGATGTGGGTGAAGGTGAAGAGCGTGTATAGCCTAACGATTACGTCTGCAGAGAAGAGCGCGTTGACGAGTATGTTGAATACGTGCTAAATAGATGGGGTATGCCAGATACGTAGAGATCGGTGTGGCAGGTGTCATGTGAAGTGGAAGGGAACGGAAGGTAGGGGAATAGGTGTTGTTTTGAAGTAATTAAAGTAGTAAAAGCTAGTTAAATAATAAAGTAAACTTAAAAAACACCTATCTATTTATTAAACTTTTTATAAATAATAAAAATAGTAGAGTAGGCTATACTCTATTATTACTTAAAAAAGTGTAGAGAAGTGTCTGTACGTAGCAGCGTTACGGTTAGGATACGAGTTATCGCGCGAGAGGGAATCACGTGCTTGCAATTGCAATAATTACAGGTTTTAGAAGTAATTGCAGAATAATCTTGTAACTGTTGCAACTACTTGCTAAGCCTTGCAACCACACTATACCTAGTTTGGATCATCACGTGATACCCGTGGGCCATGCCCTCACCGGATCTGTCCATCCTTCTTCTGTGGGGTTGGAGGCTCAGCATGTTCCTCTAGCTTAACTAGTGGTTGTAACATATTTTTACTTTTTAATTATATTTTTACATAACGTACACCACAGGCGAGTTGCTCACACGCCTAAGTTGCTTACTTTTGCTAAGACCCTACTAAACTACTCTTCTTACACTAATGCATTCCTAATAACACTACTTAGACGCTCTAAAAGAACATTAGATACAGCTTACGCTTTAGGCTTTTAAATAAAATGTAACACTTTTAAAGTAATATGCTATAGCTATATATAAAGTCTTCTAAAAGATAATAAATAATTAACATGCTCGATGTTACGATATCTACTTACTAGCCGAGCTCTTTTTGAGCTTGGTTGTTTAGTACGCGGGCCTGGGAGTAAGAGGGGTAATGCGGGATGAAGGATAGTATTTAGCGTGGGTGTACCGTCCACGGAGCGTACTATGTGGGCTTGGAGGAGTGGCCGATCGTGGTTTGCCTCTAGCTGCTGTATAAGGAGTATATATGTAAAGATATATAATAGTGTAGCGTTGTTGTAAATTACTATACTACTTAGTCTATGTAAAGAGAAGACGAAACGTTGATCACGACCTCCTAAATGATGGTCGAGATCAAGACTATATACATAGGTTCTAACTGTTCTAACCGTCGTGACCGTGGTGCCCGCAAGCCCGCGCGCTGCGGTCAGTGTTGCCAAGCTGTTACTTCTGTTCTGAAGTCTTCTGGCTGATCACGTGCTCCTCCTGTTGCGCTGCTAAGAAGAAGTTCCACCACTAATTATTGTATAATCTAGTGGCTGTGTGACACTTGCTTATGGTCCACTTAGGGATCGTAACACACGATATCTAAGCCAGAGAAAGTATTAGATAAGATCCTAATAGCCACAACAGGCTAGAAATTAGTTGAAACAGAATATAAGGTAGAACATATCCTACGGTCTAGAAACAACGGAACGCAGTTCCTAGTTAAATAGAAAGAATGGCCTACTAGTGAAAACACTTGGGAACCACTTAAGAACTTGAAAAATGCCCCAGAAGCATTGGCTCACTTTTAGAAGGCTTAGAAAGCAAAAACCACCTAACTAGGTGAAAGGGCGCTGGAACTAGCAGGCGAAGCCCCGCTATCCTGTGAAACATCGCATGGCCGCGATGTGGATTGACGAGTCCCCAGCGATGCAGGCTAAGGAGGAGGAAGGCTAGCAGCTTCAGCCTCCAGCGCCTCCAGTTCATCCAATAACAACAGGTCTCCCCCCATGTACTTAGCCTGCTAATCCTAAAGCAACTAGAGTTGTTTCTCTAGACAAAGCTCCTTAGCTAATGCCTTAGCAACCTTTTAGGATGCGACTGCCTTCTGCTCTTCTAGCTCTGCCCTTTTAGCTTTAGCAAGAGCTCTTTGCTTAAGGGCTGCAACCTAAGCTTCCTAGGCCTGTTCTATCCCTTGTAACACCTTCGCGCGATCGCGCTCCAACCTCTCCTAGGCTTAGTTAGAAACAAAAGCGTCACAACAACTCCCCTTCTGCACACACTCCACACAGTTGTCTAATGACAATGACATCACGCAATTTAAAGAGTAGGAACAACAAGGACCACACAGTTGCATCTTAGTACAGCAAAGAGGATCTAGGCAAGAAGCGGCACGTTCGCGTTAAAGCTGGCGGGACAAGCGAGGCATAGTCAACAGATAATAGGCATAGAAACAAAGAACAACACTTACTAGTTACAACGCTTTCCTAACACTCGCAGCAGTGTGGGCAAGGCAGCAAGGACGCCGCCGGGGAGGAAAGGCCGTGTGTTACGATCCCTGAGTGGACCATAAGCAAGTGTCAGACGGCCACTAGATTATACAATAATTAGTAGTAGAACTTCTTCTTAGCAGCGCAACAGGAGGAGAACGTGATCAGCCAGAAGACTTTAGAGCAGAAGTAACAGCTTAGCAACACTGACAGCAGTGACCGCAACGACCGCAGTGACCGCAGCGCGCGGACTTGCGGGCACCACGGTCACGACGGTCAGAATGGTCGGAACCTATGTATATAGTCTTGATCTCGACCATCATTTGGGAGGTTGTGATCAACGTTTAGTCTTCTCTTTACATAGACTGAGTAGTATAGTAGTTTACAACAACGCTACACTATTATATATCTTTACATATATACTCCTTTATTATCTTTCTTAAAGATTGTTTCCCCTGCTCCTTATACAGCTGCTAGAGGCAAACCACGATCGGCCACTCCTCCAAGCCCACATAGTACGCTCCGTAGACAGTACACCCACGCTAAATACTATCCTTCATCCCGCACTACCCCTCTTACTCCCAGGCCCGCGTACTGAACGACCAAGCTCAAAAAGAGCTCGGCTAGTAAGTAGATATTGTAACACTAGATAACCTTTATAAAGTAATTTTATAGCTAACTTATAAAGGCTAGATAATAGTAAGAAGTAAGTAATTATTAAGCATATACTTAAGCTAAATGTGTAAGGATTTTCCTCTTCGCTAGCAGCTATAGCTAATATAGCTAATTCTTTACGCGCTAAGCATAACCTAGGCTATTTTAGCATAAACTAGCCTAGTATATTTATAAAGTGTTATTTAAAGCTTAAAGTAAAATTTAAGTATAACTATAACTATAAAAGAGCTTTTTATAAGAATTCTAGAGTAATTTAGAGTTAGTTTAGCCTTATAAAGAATATTAAAGCTAAGTATAGCATCTAGAATAACAACATGTACAACTTTAATAAGATATGCTCTAGATTAGATATAGAGTAATTGTAGAACTTAGCAAGTAATATAAGCTTAGAATAGTTGTAGAGCTTAGCAAGTAATTGCAAGCTTAGCTTTTAATTACTATGTAGAACTTGTAATTCCTCTTAAGTATATAGTCTTAACCTCCCACCTCTAGTAGAAGGTTATAGTTATTCCTTAACACAGGACATAGTCCTAGGTATAGTAATATATCTAATATCCTTTCTAACTAGAAACGTGTGAAGACTATTCTTTTATAATAACTAGTATAAACACATTAGTTATTTTACTCCCTCTTTACTCTACCTCTTCTCCTACATACCCATACCTTACCTTTGCTCTGCAAGGTTTGTATAGAGGACTGTACACCATCTAAGCACTATTCTAAGTTAAGGCACAAGGAAAACATACCATTTCCTAAACCCCCCTCCCTCTGCTCTCCTACCCTCACTCTCAAAGACCTGTTACCGGCAGAAGGCACCTAGCAATAGGAAAGTCAAGGTAAGATATTGTAATATTGCCTCTCTCCCTTCTTTTATCTACTCCCTTTATTAGTAATCTAATTAGCAGGTTCTCTAGATAGCTTGCTTTTAGTAATAAGTAAAAGTAAGTATATTTAACTAGTTAAATATCCTAGACATTGCTGCTAAAGGATATCCTATAGTCTTAAAGAGCTTAGAACTAACAGGAGAAGGCTTCATGAGAGAGGTATCGAGCAGGAAGCACGAGGCACAGAGAGGGAATGCAGGATAGGGGGTGCAACGAGAGTAAACCTTAGGGTCGGAGGCAGAGGTACGGAGGCCGAAGAGCCTATATACCCCGTGCCAAGCCCAGGGTACTCAGGGGTTGGATAGTTGTAACATAACCGTGACACTTCAACACTTTATCTATAAATTTATCTTTTAACACATTTGCGTGCCTGCACTATTTGCGTCCGCGATGACTGTGATATCTTAGCTTGCCACGGCGCGTACGTTCTACAAGTAGACATAAAACCCTAACTACGCCATCTTATATCTACTAAATTTTTATGCAGCATATCCTATCTTGTAGTAGGTGGTTGGCATATAAAACAATGCTTCTTTGTTCAAGGACACATTTTTTGGCGTGGAGTCTCGCGGCTCTTTTCGTCAACTGTAATACGCTGAGTGGATTTGAGTATTTTATGTGTGATTTGAGCGTATGCATCTCACAAAAACACCGTACGGCCATGGGAGACAGTAAAGGTACATTACCGCAGTACGCTTCAGAATTATTCCGACTGGGACTCCTCTATAGCTTTCTCGTTAGATGGCTAATATCAGTATCGCATAATGTGGAGGATAAAATAGCCTGGCAGTAGCTGTTCAGAAGATCGGATGAAGTGACTCCGCTATCTAAGAGAGCTGAAGGCTCTCCTTATATACACCGAGCTTCGGAACATAATATCTCCAGATCCCGAGCTGCGTCCCAGGCTCTGAGCCCCAGCCAAGGCTCTCAGTATACGCGACACATGATTCATCATTGCGCAAGGCGATTAGAACACAGGGGTAACTATATATTTATATCCTGCCACGACAGCCTTGAAGATTCGTGTTGCACATGACCCAGCAGTGCTCTTAGCTCTAGCCCGAGAGCCATTTACTGGCTGACATGTGGGGAATATCAGGAGAGGGTGATGTTTTGTGACCACCCTTAGAAGATTTTGAAGGGTGAAGGTGGCGTTTGCGGTAAAGAGAAGGAAGACAAGTTTGAAGAGCAGGAGCAATTCCAAAGCCATAGGATACATTCTGCAGAATATAGTAGATGCTTGCGTTGAGCGCATGCACATAGCCTTGAAAGAGATATGCGACACGTTGGTCACGGATTGGAAGAGGGCGTGAAATGGAGACTTCAGCTTATTAGCTCAAAGCTAGCAACCTGCGCAGTGGTTCCCTCCCCTGGCGATGTTTTGTGGGTCGTGCTAGTTTGTTTGAAGTTCGAGCGGGGATGCGGGGAAAACTTTCGGGTGGTGAATGCACATCTAGAAGCCGCCCATGATCCTGTCAAGAGTCCGCCAATGCTGAACTTCTTGATAGAAATCGTGACTGCGATGTGTTATTGGTATGGCTCATGCCGCATTGAGGTACATTTGGGCGACTCGACAGAGCGACGGCTATGCGGCAATATTCGTCGTGATTCTGACGTGCGGCTGTCAGATTCGGGATATTCCCTTATCAAAGGATCAGCGCGATATCTGAGTCTCGACTTCAAAAAAAGTTGCCCATATTTGGTGGGCATGAGTTAGGTGAGACGGGCCGATGGTGGAGGGCCCCAAGAAAAAGCATTGATTGGTGAATTCTGGGCCCTGTCCCTTGGGCGACTCCGAAAGAGGCAATCCGGCATGTGAGCACTTCTCCAGCCTTTCCAAGCGCAACCGGAGGCAACAACGGAGTAATAAAAGGTTCCTCCACATGCGTAGAGAGTCTCTTCACAGGTTCGATAAGATGCTATTTTATGTCATATTGTGCTTAGGGAAATATTGTTGACACATTGAATCTGTAGAGCCAAGGTTGGGTCCCATCACCATTCAGACGCTAAACTGCATGCGGGCGACGCACTGGCCCGCTTTCACGTCATGAGAAAACGCGCAGGTAGCTCGAGGGCTTTCTCCGCATATTCACACTCAACCAAGCTTTCTACTCCCCCCTAGCATACAAAGTATCTTCCCGCACAGCGTCGGGATTCTCATCCGAACATATACCTCCCCCATCGAACCCATCTCGTCTAGCTCAGCCCTCCCAATGGTCTCCAATTCCGCACGAAGACCTGGCGGGGAGTCGTCCTCGAGGCTAGGCAAGTCATCGCACGCCGAAGCTGGGTCCTCGAATTCACTCGCGACATCGGAGAACCATCCTGAAGCTTCGTCTTCGTCTCCAGCGAAGAAGCGAAAGCATCGAGGGGGCAGGAAGCGGCGCAATCGGCGACAGTCGTTCGCAGCCACGTCAGAGGCCATGGAAGCTGGGGATCTGACAAGTGAGCCAAGGGCAGGCTTGGTCGATGTTACCAGTCAACCTCATTCAAGGACAACCTCCAGCTTCTACCGACTACAAGCGAATCACAGCAACACGAGCCTTGAGAGCGAGGCCCTCTTAGACCACCGAGACCAGGCACCGCTCCAGACACGTCGACAGAGCGTTCAAGCCACGGGAATTTTCGCACCGCGCATCAGCCAGCCCTTCGTTCGAGGTTCGCCGCAGCGTGCTTTGAGCCAGAATGTCTTCGGCCGGTCGAAGCTCTCCCGTCAGCAGCGCGCGACAGACAGCGAACATGAGAGCGATGATGCAGACGACAGGACACCATTGATGGGAACATCCCAGCGGGATACACCCGCCGGGGGCTATGGAGGGACAAGTGCTCCGTCGAGTTCGGGCAGAATTGAGGGAAAGAGGAGACCGTCCTCGAGCTCAAGCTATAAGAGGAGGCCTGCATTTGGGCAGCACCACTCGCAGAGCAACCTCGACGAATACAATGTAAACAACCCTCCGTCTGTACCTGCAAGTCCGGTTCTTGGGCCAGAGCTCGGGTTCGACGATGTCATGCTCACAGCAGAGCTCGAACGCGGGCACTCTCCGGAAGCGTCAAGGTCTAACAGGTCGCGCGATGCGCTTATCGACATCGATGAAGAGCCAGAACAACAGCAGTACACCGAATCGACATCCGTATCTCCAACAGGCGCGACCGAGGGTTTCCGTCGGCGCATGACACAGTTGCAAGCACTAGAAGATGTGTGCCTTCCGCTCGAAGGCATGTCAGAGATTGGTCAAGAGGACTATATGCACCGTCCTGAGAGTGGAGACCCACGAGGTCGTCGACGCCGTCGCCGCTGGCCTGATCTCAATGTACTGGAAGCTTGGTCTCAGGAGGAAAAAGAGCAGCGCACAATGGAAGGGTTGCGGATGCGGAAAGTCAGCGAGCCACTCCTGGTCGGCGGTCGATTGCGGCCGCAAAAGCATGTCTGGCACCGAGATACGGAAGATGCGCCCTATCGTTTTACTTATTTCAACGAAGAGTTTGACAATACTATCCATAGCCAAACGATTAGTGAACTAGTACAGCCGGGGCAAACATTCCGAAATCTCTTCATCCCGGATCCACCTGTCATCGAAGACAGCACAGATGAGAGCGATCTGGATGACGATATCGGGCAATTGACTAGGGGAATCCCAATCCAACCTAGTCAGACCAGCGCGAATGGACATTCCCGAGTGGGAACGAGAGCTTCCTCCAAAGTTGAAGAGACTAGACAACATTCCTCTGGAGAGCAGACGCGGCCTAACACTCCCGGTCCCGCACCCACGCCTAGACCCGGGCAGTCACCGGAAGAAAAGTCGAAGCGATACGGCCCGCGACCAGCATGGTGGCTAGATGTCTTATCTCCTACTGAAGCTGAGATGAAAGTCATTACGAAAGCGTTCGGTATCCATCCTTTGACTGCCGAAGATATCCTAATGCAGGAAGCTCGCGAGAAAGTTGAGCTTTTCAAGCATTACTATTTCATCAATTACCGAACTTTTGAACAAGATGAGACTAGCGAGGATTATTTAGACCCTGTGAATCTGTATGTGGTTGTGTTTCGAGAAGGTGTGATTAGTGTAAGTGCTTCGGGTTGCTATCTAGTGTCGCGATGCTGATTGTAGCAGTTCCACTTCTCAATGACTCCCCATCCTGCCAATGTCCGCCGGAGAATCCGCCAGCTGCGAGACTACCTCATCCTTTCCCCCGACTGGATCTCCTATGGCATCATCGACGATATTACAGATGCCTACGCTCCGCTCATTCAGCGCATCGAGGAGGAAGTTGACGATATCGATGAAGTTATCCTCCGCCTGTACTCCATTGAAAATGACAACGAAAACGAGAAGTCGAGACCAGCTTCGAACAGTAACTTGCATTACGAAAAGCAATATGTCGATTCTGAGAACGGAGAGAAGGTGCAAGACCCGGGTAGGAATATGCTTCGGCGGGTTGGCGAGTGCAGAAAGAAAGTCATGAGTTTGTATCGCCTTCTTGGAAATAAAGCGGACGTGATTAAGGGGTTCGCGAAAAGGTGTAACGAGCAGTGGGATGTGGCACCGCGAAGTGAGATTGGGTTATATCTAGGCGATATCCAGGATCACATTGTCACTATGACGGGTAATTTAAGCCATTACGAAAAGTAGGTTTGAGGATCAGCGAGATCGGAGTTCAGGGTTTGGGGAGCTAACGGTGGACAGTCTTCTCTCCCGTGCGCACAGCAATTACCTCGCCCAGATCAACATGCGCATGAACGAGCGGCAGGAAAAAACCGGTGATAATCTCGGCAAGCTGACAGTTCTGGGAACCATTGTTCTACCCATGAATGTAGTTACCGGTATATGGGGAATGAATTGTGAGTCCACTCTCCAAAGCTGGCTTAGGCAGAATTGTGATTACTGACCTTGTGTAGGTTTGGTTCCGGGACAAGATATCGAGAATCTGTACTGGTTCTGGGGAATCACGTGTGGCTTGATCTTGTTCGGATTGTCATGCTTCTTCATCGCGAAGAGGGTTTATGGTCTCGTTTAAGGACTTGGATTTGAGCGGAAAGCTTCAAAAGGAAAAACTATCTCTGTTATGGTGTGCATGAGTGGCGTTTTATGCATTGGATGATAGATCTTTTAATTAGGCTGGAGGAGTCTCGGGGTACATGCATGTGCATTGCGCGGAATACATAGATCGCTTACTGCGCTTTAAATTGCAGGGATTGATTTTGCTGTATTATTGTAATCGGCGTAAACTAGTTTATATAAATGTAACAGTTTAAAAAGATGTGCTTTGATCATCTAACTATGTGACTACAATCATGGAGAGCAGTAAAAGGATACAGGTTTCGGTCTCACACCGAAGTCCGGCGTATTCCAAAGGTCATGAGTCTTACCTACTTTCAAACTTGAATCCTAACCCTTCCTCGCCCAGATTCAACCTACAATACATACCTAAACAACGGCCCATAATTCTCAACCGCCAGCTCACCCCTCCCCTCTCTCCTCAACTCTGCTTCCCTCGCAGCCCTCTTCTGCTCCTGCAAAGTCCCATACTCACGATCCAACTTCTTATTCTCCCACACCAATATCGTTCTTAACGTGATGACCAGAACCGTCGTGAAGAACATAAACGCCGCACACACTGCCTGCCCCTTTACATAGAACGGCCCCTCACTCGACGGATAAAGCCTTGTCCCCAACAACGGCCCACACTGCCCAATAAGATTCAGTAGCACAATACCTGCACCACGACGTGTATCCGAACCTTGATTATTCAGCACCCAAGGGAGGATATTCGCAATCGCAGGAAAAATCCCCGCCGCCGACATAAACACCCCAAAGTACCTGGCCGCCACTGTTTTCGCTGCTGCGAGGATCACGTAGCCGATCCCGCCGATAAGGGTGAGTATGATGAGCATGATGCCGCGTTGTTGGGTGCGGTCTGCGATCCAGGGGGTTAGGATGGTGATAAGGAAGGAGAGGAAGAAGGGAGGCGCGGTTAGGCCTTGGGCGTTTATAGCGGAGAAACCCATTTCCTTGAGGATGGTTGGGAGGAATACTGGGAGGGAGGAGAAGGAGACATTGCAGGAGAAGTACATTAGCTGTGGTTCTGTTAGCAATGGCGCGGTAAAGTTTAAAATCAGCCATTCCATCCCGGCGCATCTCGGCTCATGTATTTCAACGACATCTCCAGCCGCAGGAGCGCAGACACTGGAGATTAAGGTAGGGAGGGATACGAGTACGGTTTAAGGATATACACAGAGTAAAAGTCAAAAACTCACCCCGAGAATCCAACCTTTGGGATCTGACAACCCCTGCCCCAGCTCCTTCCACTTCACTCCTCCCACCCTCGTCCCCTTGCCCGCCTGGTGCACGCCCCTTGCCTTGGCCACTTTCTTCTCCTCCTCATTCAAAAACTTCGCTTTCTCCGGACTATCCGGCAGAAAGAAAAAAGCCACTGCCGCCATAACAATCGTCGGTAACCCTTCAACCAAAAAAAGCACCCTCCATTTCGCAATCCCAGGACTTCCGCTCGTAATCCCAAATGCAAGCGCTCCGGCAAACGTATTCGCCAGCGGGGCTGCTGAGAGGAAAAATCCCACGCGCAACCCGACCTCATGCCTTAAGTAGAAAAATGAGAGCAAGTAAGGGATTCCCGGCCCATACCCAGCTTCAGTCACACCCATGAAGAACCGGAGCGCCATCTCCGCCGCCCAAGTATGGATCCCGGCCTGTACGGTTGACACAAGGCCCCAGCCGAATACGCAGAAGGTGGCCCAGATGTGGGGAGGCACGAGTTTCCACATTATAACTTGCGGCTCAAACAGGATATAGGAGATGTAGAAGATTGTTAGGAGCCAGTCGTATCGGTCGCTGGTTAGGGAGAGGTCGTCGGCCATTCCGGCGATGCGGGCGTTTCTGGGCAAGGGTTATTAGTGGAGCTGGGGGAGGGAGAAAGGAAAGCTGTAGAGGTGGTAGGAATACGATAGTGGGCATTGAAAGCGTAGCGAGAGGAGCCAGAGCAAAGGGATTGTCCGTGGAAATAGCGACAGCAACGGCAGGGATAGAAGTGTGTGTGGGGAAACGGTGTAGCCTGGTGCATGCATACCCAATATTTGAACGATCCAAAAACGCAAGCAGGTAAAGCGACATTACCAGCGGCACAACTCGCATATCCAATTTCCTTCTTACTCTTCTATCAAGTTCCGGGTCAATATCCGAGTGTCTTAATTCTCCTCCTTCCCCTTCTCTACTTTCAATCTTATCTTCAACTCTTTCGGGCGAGTCTTCTTTTTCCACGTCGACTGCATTTCGCATTTCGTCCTCTTGTGGTGAAAGACCTAGATTCGTTGTTGGCTCGGATTTGGCTTTCGAAAAGAAGTACATTGTGAAACATTGGAGGTGCCACTAGAAAACCCGCTCTGAGGATGGATAACGACTGTGAAAAAATCCGTGATGTAAAACAGGGGACGGCATATTTAAGCACTTCCAAGCCCACGCCAATAGCGCCGGAAAGGCTTGTCTTACCTCCACAAATCGCAATGTTGCAAGCCACATCCCTCCAAAATCCACTTCGGACGTGAAAACCGGCTTGTGTTTTAGTGAACTGGTGTGTCTCACCCTGTGAAACCGTGTCATGTGCATTTAGAGCTGCTGATTTGGGGTTAGTTTTTGTGCGAGATATTGCGGGGCGAAGTGCGGATGACGCATGTTGAACTAGGATGGGAATATGAGATCGGGGCGAGATGTCGGTCGGGGTTGCGAACTACCCGTTCGATTGGCTTGACGAAAATTCATCTGTTTTTTTTCTATCTAACTATCAATTTCCATTTTCAAATCTAAGCGAAGGACTTTTGATTCATCCTAGCTCTTCTGGTTTACAACTCACATTGAATAGATGCGCTAGTCACCACATAGGTCCTCTTCCTATCCCAGGGTCTAACTAGATATTGAGTCGAGCCCCAAAGGTTGAGAAAGCTCACATGAGGACGGGTGTTAGCTGCAAGGAGAACCGGTAGAAGAAGTACATGGCACCAAGGCTTGATATCACCCTTTCCTGTGCTGTTCTACATGTCGTGTAACCCGCCGCAGCGATTTCTAGAGTTACACGGTCCGTCCCTAGGAACTCGGATTTCTGCAACTTCGTGAATATGCGATTGTCGTAAAGGCATTGTAAACTCTACCATGTGCGTCCCTAGCCGCATGAATTCGACAAGTTCATCCTAACTCCACCTTCTACAAAGCGGTGCTGGTGGAGGTCTGTAATGCTCTATTTATTGTGAACAGAGAAGATTTAACGTTAGATAGTGTTGATAAAAAACCAGACCAGAAGTCTGGCAGACAAGTGGGAGAATCTAGTATGGATTCGTTGAGTTTGATGCGGTATAGATAGATTAGGCTACATGTTCCCACTGAGCATAAAATCCGAATGAGAGTGGTAGAAAACAGGGTCAAGACTGAACAATACGAATAACCGACTGAATGATCTCATGGGGGGTTCACAGGACTAATTTAAATCCGAGTACGTCGGCAATCCATACACACCTGCAACTGGCAACGCTTGCACTCGAGAATAAACTTCCGATGCCTTGTGTAGCAGATTTCGCAGAGAAAGCTACCACCTCTTCCTCCGTAGATCTGTTGGAACTTCTTCCGGCCATGGTGATTGCAGTCTTCATGCTCTCCTTGATTAGCATGCATATTATCTTGCATTTCTTGGATGCGGCGCTGACGTTCTGCAGGCAGAATATTTAGCGGTGCAACTCGGTCCACCCTCTCCTCCGCCCGGCGAACGAGGTTTACTTCGGTCCAGAAAGCACACTCGCAGCGGTGCCATTCCACGCCACAGAGGTAGCAGAATTCTGCACCACATCGGCACCTTCAATTTTAGATCAGTATGACAGAAAATGCGATAGAGAGAACAGGACTAGGGCCTCAACTCGCCTCATATGGTTACATCCCGTATCGATCTCAACAAGGGCCCGGCAGGAGAAGCACCTTTGCCAGTGTTGTTCAACGCCAAGTTCCAAAGTAACTTGAAGCTGTGGATCAGCAGGGCAGTCGCCTCCATGGAACGGGTTCTTGCACAATGTGCATGTGAGCGCATTGCAACGCGGACAAACCGCTTCACCGGCCCGGATATGGCTTGATGCTATAAATCGTCCACATTCGGAATTACTGCAGAATGTCTTATCCCTTGTCATTTTCTCAATTTCTGCATTGCGGAAGTCGTCTAATTCCTCTTCACTCAAATGTGCCTCAATGAGTGCGGGTGGGATGGGGTTTCCATGGCATCGTGGAGGTAGACAAGCAAGATCATTGTCAGAGACGGCTCGTAGAATGATGCGTTTTAAACACCGGTTACAGTAGTCGTCTCCACAGCTCAGGCGCGTAATGGATGCCCAGCGGAAGCTGTCCCTGCAAGAACAACATTCGAATTGTTCTCGGGAGAGCCTCCCGAATGCGTCTGCCTGGCGCTGAGCATAAGGGACTGATGGCCCGGCCCCATTTTCTTCCTCGTCGAAGTGAGCTTCCTCGCTTGCAAAATGTGTGACAAAGCGGCGGATGATCTCGTCGTCGATGAATTCGTTTCGGCCTTCTTCTGTGTCTGGTGGCGGGGCTTCAAGTTCGGGATTATCGGTACTGATTTGGACGGCGATGCGCCGATCTTCCTGGGCACGGCTCTCCTCTTGAGCAAATTCGGCGATGGCTTCTGCGTCAGCATCCACAGCATGTGCGACACTGTGGGCAAGCTTCACGTCTCGAAGGAATGCCAGGTGGGCTGTAATCTCAGCCTGATAGTCGACATATGCTACTGCAAGGTCTGGGGGACTTTCGGCAGGGTACTTTCCCTTCCGAGTTTCCCCGTGGTAGTTGATCTCCTCTAATTGGAGGGCGAGGGCGGTAATCTCATCATCTAGGTAAGTTGGATGAGAGGGCTGAATGGAAATGACAGCGGCACTCATGGTAGTGGAGCAGTGAAGAATGCGGAGGAGGCCAAAGTCACAAGTATGTAGTAACCTCAAAGGGTGCAAAGGCCGATGGGAAAGGAATTGGAATGGAACCAGAAGTTCCCCTGAGAAATAGGGGTACTTATCAGCTATGTTACCCCTCAAATTTAGATGCGGATGTTATTTGCATGTGGTACGGTAAGCTAGTTTTTGGAGCGCCTGATTCGCCTGATAGCTGCCTACCAGAAGTCGGAACCAAAAATCCCAAGCGGGGATTTCGACACTATGCGCGAGAGAGTGGAAGGCTAGGCGAGGGAAACGGTTCTTCTCTATCTCGATGTGCTGCAGAATGACTGGTATTTTGCCTTGTCGAGACATGAAATCACTATTGGCGGTGCATAGCCTCCGCTCACCTCACCGTCTGACACAATCTCCCATTTTGAACCTCCGGCAAACCCCCATCATCCTTAATATACCAGCCCTCGCTCCCCACCGCCGCCTTCGCATAAAACACGTTATCCGGATCCAGCTTCTTCTTCAACGCCAACAACCTCGGATAATTTGCTCCAAAGAAACTCTGCTGCCAGTCCGGCTCTCTGATATCCGCCTCATTCATGTAGGCGCCGCTGCCGGGGGTAATCGCTTTCAGCATCGGCACAATCTGGTAGCTGACTGCGTTTCGTATTGTGTTGATCATCGCAACACTAGTACCAGTCTCCCAAGTTCCGGCAACCATGAGGAACACCGCCGAATCCCGGTAAGCAGGGTTGATGGCATTATCAACGCCTTTCGGAGCCGGATTGCGTTGACAATAGAAGAAGAAGCCGTATCCAAGATCCGTAATGTTCTTCAAGGTGTTGAAAGTGTTGTTGAGAAGAGTTTGGTCTTCGAAATTCTTACGTGGGAAAAGCCGAGATCCCGTCGCGGTGTTCGGCTTGTGCTCATCAAATGGAGCTTTGATTTTGGGGAAAGCTCGCTCCCAGCCGGTGAGGTAGGTCTCATGGAATGTCGAATGTTGAGGTACGGAAAGCCCGAGAGCAGTGAGCCGCTTGAAAAAAGGTGCCATCAATGCGTCATATTGGGAGATAGTCATGTTTGGAGCGAAGAATGAGGTCATGTTGAACCGGAACCCTGGGCTGTCGCCCTTGATCAGCTGAAAAGATGGGAAAGCCTGTGAGCCACTGTCCGCAATGGCGGGAATATGCTCAAGATAGGCCCGGAAGGCGGCCCAAAAGGTTGCGTTTGTGACGTTCGGGCCAGTCGAGAAGTCCCATTGAGAAACGGTAACTGGAATCTTCGGATGAGCTTTTACGGTAACGGAGGTGACAACGCCAAAGGTACTACCACCGCCTCCTCGGAAGGCCCAGAAAAACTCCGGCTCGGTTGTAGGTGTGATATTCACGTGGGTTCCGTTTGGAAGCACCGCAGTGAGCTCCACAACGTTGTCAGCACCCATGCCAAACAGACCTCCGCTCGGCGAATGGCCACCTCCTGCGAGATACCCACCAGCAACTCCGACGGTCTGAATGAAGTTAGCAGCAATAGGCTCCAATAGGAAGTCGTGAACTTACTGAGCATTCGCCCCCGACGAGCGTAACACCATGATCTTCTGCGGTTTGATAATATTGTCCCAATTCCACACCGGCTCCGACTCTGACGGCTGGGCCTGTGTAGTATGCAGTGGAATAGTTCGGCAACCAGTCAACCTGATTCATGTTGTGCGTCCATATGCTGAGGGAGCCCGCCCCAGTTGACTTGCCGCTGATGTCGTGTCCCGTGTTCTTGACAATGAGGCGGACATTCTTCTCCTTGGCAAAGGCAATGGCAGCACTGATCTGCGCCGGAGTAGTGACATTGACGACATATTCTGGAGAGCCTCCGATTGTGCATGGAGTGGACGGATTTCGGGATGGTAAGCAGGACGCTCCCTGGTAGTACGGGTAGAGAATGCTTGATGGATCGGCAACGCTGCGCTATGATTAGTGGGGGCCACCCCAGTCGTTTGAATGTCTTACCGCAATTCATGATTTCCCCAGTTCTCGAGAAGGTACTGGCATTTAGCGGCATCATACTGCGGCCACGATGAATGGCAAACCGCCGCGAGAGGAACCGGTTTGATCAATGCGCCCCCAACGGTTTGATTTAGCTTGGCCCATTCCGCATCAGTTGGCCATTCCTGGTCTCCTGGGAAAACTCTGCAATGTTCCGTCCCATTCTGTCGTTGATGGAGAATCTGGGATCTCGTATCGACATAAGAAATTGGATATATTGGCGCCGAAGATGCAAGGAGACTGGAAATGTCCGCGGTTGACGCAAGCTGAGCCGAAATAAGAATTGATATAAGCACGTGAAGATTCATATTGCTGACCCCAGATTCCGTCGAGCTGGAAACTATGGGAAGTAGCCGTATGCCGACAATTCAGGAGCCTCTACTCGGTAGATATACCGTGACAGTGTGGGGTTGTGGAGTCATGGGGACCGGGAGAATGATTTAATTGGGGGGTAATGAACGATTAAGTATAAGATATGAAATAATCCACCGTAAGCTCAGATGAGTGTCCAAATAATTCGTAAACTTAAGACGATGGTAGTGGGGAGCACAGACTGGGGATGGCATGGATGAAAACAAATAAGGAAAAATTCGCCCCAGAGGGCATAGAGTACTACGAATGAGGCAACTGAACGAAGAAATCGGATGTTCGTAGATCATGAATGTCTGCAGTGGCAAGGTAAGCAAGCGGCATTAGCCTGATTTTGGTCTTGGCCGCACTTCGAGACCCGGCACATATCGTGGATCAGGATCCCGTACAGTAAATACAACTTATGGGACGCAATTACGAAGATCATCGCTAGTATAATTGGGGTTGTCTGTGGGGAAGCTATTTACGAAGCGTGTGATCGACACCCCATGCAAGGATCCGCACATCGTAAGCATTGGGGTAATTATGGCCACGATCTTGAGCAACGTAGGGGTTCGACTTAGAAGGCGAGTTCGACCGGGAAGTGGATCTTTGGTGCCTCGGAAATTTTTCCAGAATGCTTTACTTGAGCATTACATAAGCGGCTATCCCAACACCCACAGGTATACAAAGAGTTTTCAGCATCGTCTTTAATCCGGACTTTAGGACCCGAATCTGGGTCTTGTGCATCCAAATAGCGAATTCTTTTGACTCATTCATGAAGGGAAACTCCCCATCTGGAGTGGGCTTTCCTAAGAAATCACACAAGGGCTTCCAACCACTTCCAAGTTGATACTCTAGTATCCTCTCCTTTGGAACCGACCTCCTCACTAGTTCGTAGTGCTTCCGGTACGTCTCCTTGGCATTCTTTTCAAATCCGGCCCGATCGGAGCAATTGAACATCCCATACTCCATCTTGAGCATCAAGGTCGCGGGCCGAGCGCGCATGAAGTAGGGATCCAGTATCTTCAACATGATCCAGACCATCCACGTATAGGAAGCGGCGATTACTTGAGAGCTGAAGGAGTGGTACCATTTTTCTAGGTCCCGCTCGACGAGAACAACTTTTGCCTGCAGGTGTAAGTGATCGTTTGTCGAACCTGCTCCTAGATAGGATTTGAGATAGGTCATACATGTGGATACATTTTGATAAACTCCTCCGTGAAACCAAGAACGGGGAAGTCGCTAAGCACCTGGAAATCACCGAGGAATGCATCAAAGTCGTCTTTTTCGAAGGGCCTGCCCCGGCCATAAAATTTCGCGTCGATAGCTTTCTCCCACAGGATCTGGTCCGACGGTCTCGCAATGAAGTCGAAACCATGGTACGTTGAAAGACCTAAGGCATTGTAGGCCGCCATCATGGACACCGAACCGGTTCGTGGCATGGAAAGGTGGAGAACCTCCACTGGAGTCTTGCGCTTTGAGTTTTCCATCGTGTGGCAGGGTGCTTTGGATTTTCTTTGCAGCGGGGATCTCATGGTATTTAAGGAACCGAAGTAAGCGCTAATGAGAGTGACATTGGTCGCCTAGGGGCATTGCGTTGGGGACAGATAGTGGAATGACACAAACAGCGGATGGATAACATGGCGCAGATAGAGTGCAGCCACATATGTGTTGCTGGCGTTGTTCTTGACTTAGACGAGGTGCTACTTTAGTGTGTTGATGGTGCTGGCAGTGGGAGCTCTTCAACTAGGTTCTCGCTGGAAATCAACTTCGTGCGCACCGCGGACGGGTCGTGCACGGGCGGGTTGGCCCTCAGGAACAGCGGCATAGTTGGTAAACGGGGCTGGGCGAGGCTCTGTTAAGGAGGCGGGCTGAACAACACCTACCGTAAGGAAGTTACTCAAAATCCCATGCAGCTGATTCTACTCCTAAGCCATACGGCGACTCGACACATCACATCATCCACTATATCCGCGATGCCCAGAAAGTTTCATATCCATCGCTTAAATGTCGATTCTTAACTTTCCCGTTAGGAAAGCTCCGAGAATTGTGTGTCGTGTAGTCCATCTCGCGGCCAAGGGTTCGCTCCGACCGCTGGGCCGCGAAGTGTCTTCCCTCCCATACATTCTTCTCCAATGTGATCATCATGCTCCATGCTTGGGTGTAATTGTGTGTCTACTAGGTAAGATCTCTTTGTATAGTAGTCTTGTGGTGGTTAGCTCGTTCGTTCAGCGGCGCGGGCTGGATTATTCTCTTTTTGAAAGGGATGGAGTCGGAAATTTCGGATGTGGGACAACATCAGCGAGGCCCAAGGCATCTTGCGACAAGACACAGGTCTTTTGTATTTGAAAGGGTCTCGACAGAATATTCAGCATCATTCCTAAAAGAGGTAGTACGCCTTTGGCATTTCTTCTATGTCCGTCACCTTTAAAAGAACTACATTCGAACCGAATGAATCCTGGATCGAAGACCTTATGCCCCGCCCCAGCCATCCTTAAGAAACATAGACGACCGACGAACTCCTAAGTGGTTCCTCCCCCCGGAAGACCTATCACAAGATGACGGATCAGACAGACTACCTCTAGAATTCTAAACCCTGTGTCTACGACGAGATCAGTAGCGCCTATCGAGACAAAGTTGCCATGTGCTATTCGGCAGAGAGCATTGCAATCTCCGCGTGCTCCTTTGATTGCACTCTACCTGCTTCACGATCGCACGATCAGTAAGGACATTCAGCACATCACAGGCATGGCACCAAATCTTCTCATCCCCGAACGGAAGTCCCTGGAGATCACTCGAATCACATACCCAAGTCGCCGAACTACCAAGACGAGTCTATCATCTAAATACGAAGAAGACATACCGGGCGCCTTTTCCAACTCCCGAGTAGCTCGAGCGCTGTACACCACTGACGACACACAGGTGAACTAGAACGGGGTGTAGCACATACTCGCAACCTACGAGAAGGACTGATACTATCTAGAACGCAGCGACTTGCAGTAATTGGCACTCAAGCTTCTATTGCCGACAGTGCGAATTGATTTCGACCGTGGACTTTGAGACTCTACGAGGCAGCATAGGAACTTCAACCTCACATCTAGAGGAATCCAGTCGCGGCGCCAAAGGGACGGTGTTTATAGCTCGTCGATTTTGAAAAATAATACTTCGCTACTCGCTTTGTCGACTATGAGAAAAGTCCCACCCCTAATGCCCCTTAAGTGCCTCATCCATGACCTTCTTCACTGCCGGCCGCGAGGTCATCTTATCCATCCACTCCTTCACCGCTGGGAAATCATCCGCATTGAACGCTTCCTTCGGCATCATCCTTGCTGTAAGATCCTGCCATGGGATCCACGCGAGGTCGGCATAGGAAAATTTGTCCCCCACGAGCCATGGCCCACCAGTACTAGTGTCCGTCTTCCTCCCTGAAAGATGACCTTCAACCACTCCAGTAACTCGATTAATCTCTTTCGTGTAGCGTTCAACAGCGCTTGGCACCTTCTCTGGGTGGAACTTTGAGAACCACACTGCCTGTCCATAGTACGGGCCTTGGCCTGTTGTCTGGAAGAAGAGCCACTGCTTCGCATGGTACGACTCTGGCGTCCCGGGGGCAAAGCTCAATTTGTGCTTCGTGTCATACTTCTCGATCAGGTATTCGATAATCGCACCAGATTCCCATAATGTGAGGTCGGTGTTGGGGTCGTAGATAGCTGGCATCCGGCCGTTGGGATTAATAGCGAGGAACTCGGGCTTCTTGAGATCGGGAAACGAGATGTCTTCGACCTCATATGGAAGCTCAAGCTCTTCTAAGAGGATGGCAATTTTCGGTGGATTGGGTCCGCCTTTGCCCCACAATTTGATTGGCTTAAGTTGCGAGGACATGGTTTTTGGGCTCTTCAATGGAGAATTTCGACAGTTTCGAGAGTTTCGTGAGTTACGATTTTGGTGTTTGGACTTTGGACTTTGTTTAGGGATATAATGGGAAAGAAACTATGGTGTTGTCTTATACTACACCAGCGACGTTGACCGGACCGGATCAGCATCCTTCCGTGGACCTCGAATTATTCAGCGTGCATAGTGAATGTTTCCCGAAGGAAGGGATGCATTTAACCTTACTTACTCAGCTTCATCTTCACGGACGAATCTGCACGAACTTTGGATGCTTTCTTCCGATAGCCTCTGTTCCGGGTACCTGCATTCACTGTTTTGCCGAAACTAGCAAATTATCCTCTTGTCGGAACGAGATCTTTACTCTTATTGGAACGAGAAAGTTTTAGTGGAATAACTTGGCACTGGCATTCATGTTGCATTAGTAAAACAAAGAGCACAATGGCCCGCAGTCGGTCTCTCGGCCTCTCATATGTCCGAAGTGACATGGACGCCTGTCATCAAACCCAGGAATGCAATACTCTCTTAGGCTGACGATGTGTTTCGATGTAAGATGCAGAAATCGTCGCATGGTACTGTGCTACAAACTGCCTAGTAATTGAGGCAACTTCTGAAGGTCGTGAGTAGAAGTGTAGATAAAGACTCAGGGATCCTTAAACCTTTTTCGAAAGGATAGCAGGCTTTCTAATTTGGTAACAAATGATCGTCTACGGTAAAGGAGATATGCTAAGTAGCAATAACAACTCCCCAAAATAACTAGTCCGTTGAGGCGCTGAACTTTGCAATGGATGCACCCAAGGTATTTGTATCTTGGTTATGCGAGCGATGCTTTCAACCGCCGGGGTCACAATATCCCACTGGGCGGCTTCATCGCCTGTGCCCCATGTCGCGCCGTCATAAGAAGCGATGGGCTGCATCTCAGTGCTGCCGTCGGCGCGCCGGAAAGCAACCTTAGATAACAATGCCAACGATGCAGCATGGCCGATCGCGAAGACGGAGCGCTCAAACGGGCCGGTCGCGCCTTGCCCCGCAACCGTGTCTCCAGTTCTGACGCGACAGCCACGGGTCCCGGCGCAGTGCGTCATAAGAGAAGATGGTCCTGTACAGTGACAGCTGGCGGAGATAGTCGTTCATCTTGGCCCACAGGCGAGAGCGCGGTCTGTGCCAGTCGGGCCGGCCATTGTACAATATAGCCCAGATCCCACGCGCAGTACAAACTCTGGGCGCGGAGGTCTCCGAGGTAGGCGGCCTTGCACGTCGAGAGCACCCGCGCATACTCTCTCTCTGCCACGCCGTGGGCGAAATACAGGGCAGATAGCTCGCCGACATTCAATAATTTGGGTACCATAGCGATAAATTCGCTGGTTAGTGTCGTTCCAGACCGCGGGCAGCCAAGCACGAAGACCGGGTGGAGGTAGCTTTTGAGTGCCTGGGATATACGGATTAGTGTCTTCACCCTTCTCCTTTCAGCGATGCAAATTGGGTGTTACGACAGAAAATTAGTTGTGCGCGTAGTGGTGGTTTGGTCGGGTCCACTCGACGACTGAATGTTTCCTATACGACAGACAGCGGGATGATGATTTCCCAAGTGATCTTGTATTCCAAATGGAAGGATTGCGTGATAAGATAATTACACAGCTAGAGAGCCCAAGAGTGGAGATGGTGTATTTTGACTGTCATGTGGTGAACGATGGTCGAGAACCGACTCAATATGTATCACTTTATATTGCACTACGTACACCAATTGGTACAGCTAAGCTGTCCTAGCTATCTATTGTTGGATAGATATCCATTTGGCCACTTCCCGGTGAAATATGCTTCCCTTGGCACAGTACATGCTTATTCAGTCCGAGCGGGTCTGTCGCACTAGGCCTCAGAATTCTTCAATAGAGGTGCCCTCCCTAGCATCTACATCATCAACTAAATTAAATCAATCCTGTACATCAATAGAGATGTTACCCACCATATATCGTGTTAACAGTGCTATTCGCACCTGGGCGAAGCCCCTGGACGCACGCTACAGGCGAGACACGATTGATATAAAGAACTAGATAGCTTATCAGATCACCAAATCCCGACGCGGCGGGACGTTTTCGAGCCGTGGTGGTTTATTAGCAAGGCGCGATGAGCTTGTCTGAAAGATGCATGTGTGAGGAAAACTGGAGGCTAGTTATATTAAAGGAGCGATTAGCAAGGAGGTGGCTTGGCGTCGCCACCTAGTTTTGAACCTGCTTAATTGGGTGGTTTAGACTGGCTTATTTGCTGGAAGGCGATAGAACCCTACTATATAGTAAAAATGAAGTAGGGAAGTGTTTGGGAGAAGATACGATATTTTACAAGTTACCCTACGGTATTACGGCCAGTCACAGTGAAGATGCAAGACATATTCCGAATAGCCAGACAAAGCCCTGCGAACAGGCTTAAGAGACTTTATTGACCAGAGGTCGGCGGTTAGCCTGAAGGCTATATATGAAGGGTTCGACTGTATGAACTTACTCAGTGTCTGCAATGTCACATCCTCTAGTGTCCTCAACAAGGCCAAGTTTTCACAGACCGCCTTCACCCGCTGTGTTAAAAGGAAGAGATCAGGCGTTTTAATATAAAAAGGGTTCAAGACTCACCTCGGCCACATCCTCGTGCTGATCAATTAAAGGTGTTAGTGCCGAAGAGAAGACATTTTGTACAGTCGTTGTACTTATCGGAGTAGCCATGAAGGCGCCCAACGACCGAGCCATGACGAGGTAGCCATTGATCACGTCGTGGTTTTCCGAATTTGTAAGACCGCGTAGTGCCAGGGCCGTACTTGGCGCCACTATACCCACGCCCACCGAGGGCCCAACAAGCACGAAGTTGTATGCCGCATCCGGGAAATCATGGTCCTGTAACACCGCTGCTATGGCAAGTCCGACTGTCCCCCCGCAGACTAGGAGCTGGCTCGCGAACAGGGGGGTCTCGGTTGTTTGCCCACGCGATGATGGAGGCAGACATTGCGCTTACAGCCGTGAATGCAATGGACGGTATGACCATTCTAGCACCACTTTGCTGGGCCGTGTCAAGTCTCACGGCCTAGAAGAAGAGGGCTGTGTTGTAAATGATCTCACAGGAAACATTTTAGTTCTAGAAATGGTGCAAGAAAAAATAACTAGAGAAATATCTCACCACATGATTGATCACCGAGAACAGGAACCCCGTGAATATCAGAGTCGCAATCGGAAACTGGAAAACAAGGAGCAGCAGGACCGGCTTCGTAGCTAGCTGTTCGACGCGGAGGAAAACGGCACTGGATGTGGGGAAGCGGATCATGCTTCCAACAATGAGAGGATGGGTCAAGGGAAAGACATTCCCTCCAGATCCAAAAACAGCGAAGGGTCAGAGGAGCGTTGCTGTCTTCGTTGTCTATGTTAGCATTCACCGTAGCCGGATATAGAATAGAGCACGGACTTACGAGCCACCCTAGTCCAGGTCAGTCAAACCCTCGCAAACAAGATGTTGGATGCGAAGATTTAGACACCCCCTGATGCTGCGGATCCTCCGGCCTCGTGGTTGAGATGAACAGAATTAAGGAAAGAACATCACAAGGGAGTTGAATCGGCGAAGGCTTTGTCAGTGATATTAGATTACGCAGACTCGGCCCCATAATTTGGCTGGGTTGAATGATTAGTAGTAGCCTCTCTGCTCGACACCGACAATGTCAGTCAGAAGCACCGAACCTGGGACAAAACAAGTGTTAGCCCGTGGCTTTCAATGTGCTAAACATATGAATAATGGTTTATTACCCACAACTACCAGACTAGAAACTCTAAGACCGCAGAAATTTCTACCAGGGATCAGGAAGTTCCAGTAATATGCAAAGGAACTGAAGAGAAGGCCTGCGGTGAAGATGGTCGATGCTGCCACATATGGCAGCTTCCTACTAAAGAGAACTGACAAGCGTGCATATAGGGACTGGGAGATCCGAAAAGTGCGCAGAATCGCAGATACTGATAGTCCTAAGTCTAGAGCCGTTACCTTAATAGATTAGGGAAGATATCTTTGAAATAATGGTCAACTGACAGAACGCAGGGTAGAGAAGGAAAGCTTAAAGTTCAAAAAATTGTTGGAATAGGTAAATCGCTATTTGGAATCGACATATTGGTCAGTTGGAACCGAGCAGCCGACAAGATGTCGCCCGTGATACTGGTTCACGTGACCTAGAGGCTAGCGCAGGGTGAATCTGGGTCCCTCACCTCTCACCCTTTTCCTATTTAAGACTAGGGCTCTTTTAGCTACTATATATTTACCTCTGAGCTCTCTCGGGCCCCAGAGACCTTACACCACACCTCAATATACCTAGGTTGTCTCTCATTACCTAATTGACTACTCCATGCTCTCCACCATCCGTCAGCTCTAACCCTGCGATACAAGACAATCAAGCTAACAATAAATTAAGAGAGGGGAATAATTACCAGATAGAATGAGGATGGAACGGACCCTCGGCGTCTTCCATTCTAGCTGTAGAGGCTTGAAGGGTATGCCGGCATTCCCGTCATCTGGGATTGGCGATTTCAGGAGCTCCTCAATGGCATACGGTCTCGGAATTTGACAAATATAAAGCCAAAATGAAGTTTCGCCAGAAAATCATCGACTTAAAAGAACAAAGTATCCTCAGCGGAACTTGCTTGCTCACCGTCTTTCACGGATGCTGGATGGTCCACGGTCATCGAAACACCCAACGCATGCACTGTCATCTTAATATAGCTCGATGGCGAGATATTAACCGTGCAACGCTTGGGGTAGTGGAGGCTGTTCGGCTGAGCTACTGTCGTTGCTGGAAAATAGATATTAGCATTTGCTAATATTTTGGGAGTTGTATTTTGGCTTATTAAAAACAACACCGGTATCGAGTTAAGCACAGAGCTACGACATAATCGTATACAAAAGCCTAAAAGCGTTAACTCTACACCTTCAAAGCCGCTGAGATAGATAATCCGTAGCTTGTCTATCAATCGATGCGCCTAATTGTCTCCGAAGGCCACTTGGTAACGAATCAATCAAGTGTTCGTCACTTACGCTGGGGGGTGTCTTTCGAATAGATCACAATCCTAGAGTTTAGGCTTTTCCACCGAAGTGCACAGTCATTAAAAATGCCACATGCGCTTTATAGACCATCAGATACAGTAAATATTAGATAGTCGGTTCTAGACTAGCCTGCTGCGTGACTGAAGGACCACTGGCCCCAGTACGGCAACGGCCTCACTTCACTCCTAATGCATGAATCCCATCGGGCAGCCCAGAATGGGTTAATGCTCCAGATGGTGCTAGTACAAAAGATAGGGTCACCAGCGATATCGAAGTCAGAGATGCACTTGGAGGTTCTCGTTAACGCCTATCTTGAAATGTTTTCCTGCGGTTACTGAGCTTAAGTCAGCATTGCCCACCAATTCCCAACACTTCCACTCCACAGTCTTATCTAATTCAGCTAAAATAATTTCAACAAGAGAAATAAGCATGCACATCTCTGTGTGTTTCTATCTGTCAACCTTTACTAACATATTCAAGAAAAAAAGTTCAAACACACCAAACGATGGTCCCTAACTCGAAGAGATTTACCAGTAAGGGTGAAGGGGAGCCCAATCAAATTTGGGAGGCCATGCAGCCGCCGGCTCAGGGAGTCAAGCATGCTAGGGAGAGAGCTGTGCTAGGTAGATAATCTCCGTCGGAAGAGGTAGAGGGGTGTACCTAAAACTTCATCACGCCAACTAAGGGAATTGGCCTTTGAATTTAGATAATCATGAATTGAACAGGAAAGGCATAGTCAATAAAATATAAGTTTGACGAGACAAAAAGCAAGGTTCAATTTCAACACATTTGCCTTCACTCCGTAGCCTCTCCAGGGGCACGAGTTATGAGAGAAGTCATGTATTGAAGACTAAAGACCTGAGGAGCTACATGGTTTATATATTATTGTGGGACACTGTCCTCGCGTGAGGCAACTCCTTCAAAGCATATGCGAGATACTCAGACTAAGGAACACCCAAACAATGGCCACTATCCTGTCAGAATCGCCTTTGAGACTAACTGGGATAATATATGGTGTTCTGGCTTCATATTCGGCGCGGAGCAGTTGGGATATTAGCTATCACGGCTTCTTAATCAGGTATAGTCTCCAGATTTAGCTCAAACACTTCATAATGCGTCAGTTACTGTATGCGAACCGTAAACCTACGTCATCTCCTCCGTACAGTTAGTTAGAAACACTCGACTGCTCCGTAACTATACTATACAGCCCCCAAAACACCCCGTAACTAACGGTTGGACAAAATGACCCTATAAGGTATTGACCCTATCAGATTAGGCTTGCATTGGAGCATCGGGCACTATCTGCCGGCACCCGGACACCTGCAGTTGATCAATCGCACTTGAGCCAACCACCCATCTCGAACACTGGTCACTAACACATTGACCAAAAAACTTCGAGAGGAAAGCCGTCTAACTCACGACTTGTTCCGACTCCGAACGCCTCTATTGATATCCAGGGTGTGACCTCTAACGAACGATGAAAGCCCCACTTGGACACATGCTCGGATGTGCCCAACAACGGTATGTCGACACTGCTCCAAGTTTAAATACATGCTTTTCTTATACACCCTCTTCTCAGGTATACTATTCATGTGTAAATACCTCTTGCGTACACTCTCCGCGCATACTTGGAAGCCTTCTATTCACAAGAGTCTACTACAAAAGAATAAATAATACCAGCCCACGCGTTGACTATCATCATCTAAGGCCATCCAGAGTTCTATTGTGCATTCGTGGAACAGCATGATGTACTTATTTGCAATTCGTTAACATACAAAGCAATAGATCCACACAGAAGAGTAGAGCGATAAATCGCCTAGCTCATACTACTTCTAACACTACCGTCTATCTAAATCTCCCGGAAACTCCAAAATACCTCGAATATCTCTCAAAGCCACTTTGCAAGCCAGTCTAAACCCTGCGTCATCGAGTCCTCCAGGCAGGCCCTCTCCAGTGGATCGTCCGGGTTGCCTCTCACAGCAAAACCATGCCGCCCGGGCTTATAAACCTTGTGCTCAATCTCGGGTAACTTTCTCCCATTTTTCTTCGCTTTCGAATGAATCTCCTCTACCTTGCCCTTCTGCTCAATTTTCACCCCTGTATCCTCCAGTCCCCAACCAAAGGTAACAGGTACCACTAAAGCCTCGACGTCATCCGGAAAGCACAAATTACTTGGATGCAAGGCCACTGCTGCGTCCACAAGTGGCATCTTTTTGCCATCAATTTCAATCATGTTGTTCTCCAGCCCGGCCCGAATCGCATACTTTCCACCCCAGCAGAATCCGACCATTCCAATCTTCTGGCTCCTAGGAGTTGCGCGTCTTAACGCCTGCAAGAAATCCATACAGATCTTGTTGGTAGGTGCCTCTTTGTGCCTCGTCATCCACATGATAAATGAAGGAGCCTTAGCAAGCATGCCCGTATACTTTGCTAGTGCCGATTGCTTAGTCGCATCGGTTGGAATCAAAAGGTCTGCAATCTTGAGCGGCACAGGATCACCTTTAAAGAAGTCTGGGAGATAGACCAGCCATTCGCCGCTCTTGGCATACGCGTCGGCGATGAGTTTGTTGTTGGGAAGCGGCAAGCCGAAGATGTCTGAGTAGATTACTACGATGCCTCGCGGGTTGGTGCGGTTGCCGATGACGTAGGTGTTTAGACCATGAACCATTTCTTCCTTGCCTAGTGGTTGGCCTCTGTGGATAGTGCCCTACGGAATGTAAGGAGTGAAATTTATAAGCTAGATTTAATTGGGGCCTACCTTAATGCACTCTTCGCATGATGGATCCATTGCAGCTTGGGATGCTTGTATCACGTTACAAACAGTGCTCCACTTTGCGGTGTGTCAGCCCGAAACAACTAGTTAGTAGAGGTATATTAGCTGACCGGTAGGCTTCGCAAAGTAAGGCAGTCCGCGAAGACGAGGAAAAAAAGTGCGCCAACCAAAAGATGCGCAATGGCCGTGTTCAACCGATAGGCGGCAGTGTGTAATTGAGTGTAAAGCTCCGACTGCAACCAGAGAATATGTGCAAGTACGACAGCAGGGAACAAGGAGGACTCAAAGCGCTTGCAATTGATAGTACAGTTTTTAGACGGCGCAACCATGTTTCTTCATATATAGTAGACATCGGGGAGCAGATTGACCCGCTTCTAGAGTAGGATGTCCCGTCTCTTGTCTCGCTGTCTTTTCGCGCTCAACTCGGTGACGGAATCTCCGAACAGAATGCAGCCCTACTCGCGCTCAGCCATAAGAGGTTTAGCGTAGTGTGCTCTCGTTGGCTGCCCAGCACGTTAGGCCCTCTCGCAGCCCTCGAGTCCCACTCGGCACCGCCATTGAGTGCTGCGTCAAAAGCTTAGCCAAGACGTCCTCACAACACAAAGCAGGCGTCAAAAGCGAGGATATCGTGACCACCAGTCGGCTATTATTCTGACTGCAGCATGTCGCAGGTGCCGGCAGTGACAGCATCGGTGGCGGCTTCGGGCTCCGATAAAAACGCGACCTCTCCCGTGTCTAGTGGGACTCTTTCATCGGCACCTGCGCCGGTGCTGAAGTTGAACAGCTGCGTCGTATGCCGCCGCCGCAAGGTTCGCTGTGACAAGCAGTCCCCTTGCGCTAATTGTCGCCGGGCAAATATCGCCTGTGTCTTTCCATCGACCGACCGCCCGCCGAAATGGGCTCGCCGCCTTGAACGCCTCACCATCAATGCTGCTGCATCAAACACTCTGGCACTGCAGTCCGCCGACCCGGGCGTTAGTAAGGTCATGAACAGACTACGGAACCTCGAGAACCTTGTCAAAGAGCTAAGCGGCCAGCTAGAACAGGCACAGCTGGAGGCAGCCGCCAGTTCGGCTGCTGGCTCATCTGGACTCAACTCTCCTAGGAGGCCTACCCAAGATCCTGACGCAGAGCACCAGAGGCACGCATCACGCGACGCGAATACCAATAGTGTGCAGACGCAGTTTGGCAGGCTCGTTCTCCAGGATGCCAGCCGCAGCCGTTATGTGAGCAGCGGCTTCTGGTCTCGTGTCAACGACGAGGTAAGTTGGTCTGCTGTGGCAGCGCCGTCATCTGGACTGGGTGGCTCGCTGACGTTCACTGCAGCTTGAGGGGTTGAAGGTGGATACCCGCGGCCTCGCAGGAGATGAATCCGACTCCTCCTCCGATGAGGCCTCTCCTGGAAAGCCACCGCCGACCCAGGAACTTGAGCGGACACCTTTGGAACGCCATGCATTCCTGTTTCAACACAACTTGAGTCCTTCGGTTCGTGACCTTCGCGAGTTCCACCCACTACCGTCGCAGATTCCGTTTCTCCTAGATGTGTTCTCTGAAAACGTGAATTTCATCGTCCAGATCGTCCATATCCCAACCGTTACTAAGATGGTCCGCAATTTACGCGGCAGTGATATGACGCTCCTTACGCCATCCAATGAAGCCTTGATGTTCTCTATCTACTACGCTGCTATAACCTCCATGGAGGAAGACGACGTGAGTTTTCCTCAGATTAATCTGCCGTGGTTCAAACAGACATTGCTATGAACTCTATTTATGCTAATCCTACGAAGGTCTTGACTAATTTCAGTTCTTCCAAAACGGACCTGAATCTCAAGTACCGTCTCGGCTTAGAACATGCCCTTGCGAAAGCGGATTTCCTCAACGCCCCTGACATCGTTCTTGTTCAAGCACTTGCTATTTTTCTCTGTCTCGTTCGCCGACACGACAGCCCGAGGTTCGTGTGGATGATGACCGGGCTCCTCATCAGGATGGCCCAGTACCTTGGGTTGCAGCGAGATGGGTCCCAGTTCAAGCACCTGACTCCTTTTGAGATTGAGATGCGACGAAAGGTTTGGTGGGCTGTGTGCATGCTGGATTTGAGAGCATCCGAGGACCAAGGGACAGACCTGACTATCGCGAACGGCAGCTTTGACACGAAAATTCCCCTGAATATCAATGATTCAGACATTAGCCCCGAGTCAGATCAGATGCCCACAGAGCGCGATGGTGTTACTGATATGTCGTTCGCACGCATTTCTTGTGGACTATGCGATATCATGACGCAGATGATGGCCCGTCTAAAGGACGGTGCAGCAGGTCTAGAGGACCAAAGCCGTCTGCTGAATGAGATCTACCAGAAATATGAACAAGGTTACTTTCAGTACACGACGGAGTCGGGGAATATTGCCTATTGGGTCGGAGTAACCATCGCGCGGCTCGTCATGGCCAAGATGACGCTGATTGTTTTTCTCCCTGTTCTCTTCTCCTCCCCAAGCGAACACTTCACGGACGAGATAAGGACTAAATTACTGATCTCGGCAATTGAGGTCGCAGAGTACAACCATGAGCTGAACGCCGAGCAAGCATGTCGGAAATGGCGCTGGATTTACCAAACGTATACTCATTGGCACGCCATTGTGTACCTCCTAATCGAAGTTTCCCGACGCCCTTGGTCACCTATCGTCGAGAGAGCCTGGGTTGCACTCCACAGCAGCTGGCTGATTCCTTCCCAAACCTCCATGGACAAGAATTTGCGCATATGGTTTCCATTACGAAAGTTGATGGCTAAAGCCCGCAAACATCGCTATACCGAGCTCAACCGGCTGCGCGCCGATCCACAGGCCGCTGCCAGGCTGGATATGGAGGAGCAGAAAATCCCATTACCGTCGAGCTCTGGGTCGTTACCACCCCGGTCCAGCAACAGCATCTTCCGTGAACGGTGGCGCAACCTCGTGGCTATACCAGAAGGACCCCGAGATGGCACACACACTGCTGTAACCTCCGGCGCAGAGCTTTCCGACTCGTCGATGCTTATAACCCACACTAGCCAGCCAACTGCAAGAACCATTTATCCGTATAGCGCGGGCGATTTGAGCTCTAATATGGCCTCTGAGCCGATCTATCTTGGCACGAGCGGACAGCAGGGCGACCAAACCCTGGAGTGTACCAGTATCAGAGACCCAGAACCGGCGATTACAATTAACACTCCGAGCGATTTGGCCCTCGGGCAGACCGCCGTGTCAGCGTATACTCCCTTCCCTACAGTCCCCACAGACTGGCCAGATGGCCGTACCATGGGACCCGGTTTCGTCCCTTGGATGTGGGCTGATGTTGACCCCTCAGTTGATATGTTTTCTAACTTGAACATGGATTCCATCGACTTTAATATGGGCATGGATGACGAAGTGAACTGGTATAATTGGGTTGAATCTGCTAAGGGTATGGACTGGGATACAAGGCCGAGCGGCCATTGTCAGATCTAGCTCCCTTTGGCGCAAACAGTAGTGAATAGTGGCAATTTGAAACTCTTGGGTAATCATAGCTGTAAGCACATGCCTAGGGATGATGCTCCATTCGATTAGATCACAAGCATTATGGACGGGGTCCAAGTAGTCGAGCTCCTGGGAATCCCGCACAAAGAGCCAATGTCTGCGGATACAGGTCTGCGAACTCGCTGGAAAAATCTCCATGGATAAGTAATGTGCCGGTTGACCAAACAGCGCAAGCTGCACAAGGAAATCCAGCAGCCGAGAACGCAGCAGTCGGGAGCGCCATGCCGCAAAGAACACGGACGCCGAGAATGGCAAGCCTCAGAGACAAGAATAACCTCCAGCACAGCCACGGCCTGCTTTTGCGTCTCATCTCCTCATAGATCCGAGCATTGCTGCCATCGGGCCATCCAGCCAATTACGGTCTTCTAAACTTCACCAACAGTGATATGAAATTACTGAAAGTGGAGTCACTAATGAGCATCTTGTCCCACATGAACACAAGCCTAGAGAGCGGTAACCACATACTGCTGATTATGCGAGCATGTTACCCCCCTTCACCACTCGGGGGTCGTGCAAGAAAATCGTTAGAGGGGCAAGCAGTTTGCGCTTTAAGAGGCAACCCAAGCCTAGTAATTCCCCAATAGACAAGAGTACTACGACTATGGCTTCCGCTCATCTCTACATCCGAAATAACGAAACCACCACGCTCGATGGTGAGTAAGTCCTGAACAGGCTCCAGTGTATTATGAATCAAACTGAGAACGTACTCAGCAAATGGAACGCGAAATTAAGGCAATAGCGATGTGTAGTTATGGCGGCATAAATTGTCACCCACTAATCTCACATTTCCATTCTAAGCTTTCCCGGATTCATCTGACATCGAGCCGACGAAATCTTCACTACTGCATGGCAATACATCGGAAATTGAGATTCGAGATCCTCAGAGTTGTCCCGGACCAGCGAATTCCTCATATTCTCTGCCAATTGTCCAGAAATCTAGGGTCTTAATGGCGTTCATACATCAATGATGCAAGGCTTTCATCAACTACTTCAACGTTGCGTCTATTTTTAGTATACATCCTCTCCAACACCTACTTAATGTCAAGATTTCGAAGATATTCTATATAGACCAAAATCAGAAATTTTGTAGGTTATGGAGAGCACTTTGAATCTTCAAACACCGTCCTGGAAACTGGGCATTGCTGGAATGACTCAGTCCAAGTCCGAGAACTTGTCCTTTAGTAGGTAGCTACACATGATGTATGGTCTAGGCTATCCAGAGGTTGCCCTTTGTCAGAAACTAGTGAATCCACGACAGCTCGGATCCAAACCAGCGCTTCCAACAATGCGTACTACTGCACGATTAGGCGGTTTTGATGCCCGTACAGGTGGAATTTTGTGTACGTTCGTACGGCAGGGAGGATGAAAGGCAGGGGTGCGTATTGTAATGGTTACAGCTCACGCGATATAATTAAGTAGTGTAATTTAATTCAAGTACGGGGGCTCTATATAAATCAGCTAAGATTACCTTACCCTGCTGCAATTAATACTTAGCTACAGACAGCGTAATATTGCAGGAGATGAGTGTAGAGGGATATTAACTTCTACAGCCTTCAAGACTGCATAACATGGACAACAGAGGTATGTTTGTAGAATCACCTGGCTTGGGCAGAAGCGGCCTACGGCTGTTTCCACAACCGCAAAGTGTTTACCCCAGAGAAAATGAAAGAGCGCTTTCTCTCCAGATAGCCTACCCCTGCGAAGCGCCAAGTTATTCTCATTCATTACTCATGAAGCCCCGTCATCCCGTGGTTAGACATTCCAGCGATGAAAAATTCCACTAGGGCCATGCCCCCTGTTCAACGAGCTACGTGCGTATCATTCTTCTGAATACAAAGAACCCATACGTTATGTGCATTATTGATTATATTGACCTTAGCATTCTCTTTGCTAAATGTAGGTTAGTAGCATGACTTTAATAAAACGTTTCACTGAGGGAAAGAGCAATACAACTTCCTTTAGTTGTTAAATTAGACTAGGTAACGATAACAGCATTTTATCGCAATAAATTATTGTTATTATTAATAGATTATTGCAATTATTATAATAAAACAGTGTTACAACCACTGGTTAGGCCAGAGGAGCATGCCGAGACTCCAACCCCACGGAAGGATGGACCGGCGCCGGTGAGGGCACGGCCCATGGGGTCACGTGATGGCTTAAATTAGGTATAGTGTGATTGCAAGGCTTAGGAAGTAATTGTAGTAATTGCATGCAATCACTGCTGGAACTCTGTAATTAGTACAATTGTAGACAAGTATATGTAACAGCACAGGCAAGACAATGGGTCCGAATGCGGTGGGAATCCACTTAGAGGCATATGGGAGTGCGTGGGGACTTAGAACCTGGGAATTTCTATTAACACCTATAGGCCTTGTACAAAAGGATATTAGAAAACTACTAAGCTAGCTAAGGGGAGAGGTGCAACTAAATACTTAGGGTAGAATAAAGGTAACTATAGAGGACAGAATTAAGTTATAGTTAGGGCTAATATAGAGACTCTTTAGATAAGTTCTAAGCAACCTAAGATAGAATAATTTATAAGAATTATTACACTACTCCTCTTTTATAGGCTAATAGTCTTTATTTATAGTGTATAAAAAATATTTAAAACTAATTTAAAACTAATTTGAAACTAATTTAAAACTAATTTAAAACTAATTTAAATAAAATTGTTATTTATCTTTACTAATAAATTATTTATAAATAATAAAGACCTTAGTTTATAGCTTAGCCTTTTTATTATTTTTAGAACTAAGAAGCGCATGGGGACTTTATAGAACTTTAAAATTATAGATAATATTGTGTACTAAAACTCCTCTAAGTGTAAACGTGTTACTTGCTCTATACTAGCTAGTAAACTATATAGAATACTAGAAGGATTTAACTGCATAATTACACTAAGTATAATAATTAACTAGATTATACATATGCTTAGAATACCTCTAGTATCTATTATACTATGCATAGATTTAAGATCTCTGTATAAATGTTTTATAAAGCTTAGAATAATAAATAAGAAAAGGCTTATAATTAATATTATGTTAATTTAGAAATTATATAAAAAAAGATTATAAAAATTAGGTAAATTAATAGAAAAGACAACTTAGTAAATGCCTATATAAAGAAGGCGCTAAACTCTGCTCTTATATCACAATCGGCATGCTCAAGCTACAAGCAAGAGGTGGCGTAACCCAACTAGATTAAACTAAGGAGCAGAGGAGCTGCTCTGCGAGTTTAAATATACATGTGTGCCCCCTGCTAAGGCGCTACTTATAGCACTAAGGTGCTACTTGTTGCGCAAGCAAGGGAGCTAATGCCGCAGAGCATGTGACGCAGTACGCGCTGTCACATTACCCCCCTCTAAAGCTTAATTTTTACGTATAAAAGGGAGCTTAAAATTAAGCTAAAGAAAAGAAAAAATTAAAATAAACTCTCTTTAGCTGCTGCTTATAGCGTAATTTTGTCTACTAAGTTATTACTGTTGTTGCTGTTGTTGTCCTCTGTGTTAGGCTAATAGTAGCCTAGTGCTAGCTTTAGTTGTTAAACTACTAATTTTTTTGCTAGCTGTACAGTTGCAATGCGCCTAATAACTGCCAGGAGCTAGGGGCAGTCCTGTACCTAGTGAGCTACTAAGCCACATCGTACGCATCTCCCTGCCTTCCTCCATTGTGCGCGCTAGGAAGGAGAGACTAGCCTAGCCCTAGTGCTAGCACTAGATGTAGCTGCAGCAATGTTAATTATATTAATGCTAACTATGTTAATGCTGCTAAAGTCTCTTTTATTAGGTTTAGGTTAGATGTGTAGAGTATACAAATATGTATTTAATTATAAGGCTAAACGCTGCACTGTGTGCAGGAATACTAAATAGTTATCTAGTAGCGTTAATTAGCTATCTAGTGTGCGCTAAATTAAAGCATTAAGGCTTTAGTAAAATGTTATAATCTTAATAGCAGTAGGCTAATCTCTGCTTTTAGCTTTATACAAGATCTGCTTAAATTAGGCAATATAGGCTAGCAAAGGCTTACTTTTGTTTTACTGTAGCTTATGTAGAGCCTGCTAAGCCTTATAAATTTTATTAAGATTAGTGTATACTTATTATAACGTACCTAACAGGTTGGCCGGCTACACAGGTTAGCTAGCTACTTTTGCTAAGCCTCTACTAAACTCTACCTATCTACATAATGCCTTAACAACAACACTAGATTAAATCTTCTAAAGAATGTTAGATATAGCTTACTTTTTAAGCTTTTAAATAAAACTTAAAACTTTTCTTATAACATGCTATAGCTATTTATAATGTCTTTTATATAACACTAAGTAATTAACACACTAAACAGCTTTTATAAATAAAATGCTAGCTTAAATTAAGAAATTTAACTAAGCTTAAAAAAAGAAGTTATTAAGTATATACTTAAGCTTATTATGCGCAGATTTTTTTTAGGCTTATAGCTATAGCTAATATAGGTAATTCCTTACGCATAAAGTGTAATTTAGGCTAGGTTAGCTTAAACTAGCCTAGTATGTAAGTTAAGCACTGCTCTAAGTTTATAATAAAGTTTAATTATAAATATAATTATAAAAAAGTATTTTATAAAAATTTAAAAGTTCTCTAAAGCTAGTTTTACTTAGTAGCTAATATAAAAGCTAAGTATAGTATCTAAAATAAAGACACATATAACTTTAATAAGTTAAGCTTTATAAGAAGCTAGATATTAACTAAAGTAGTTATTATAGCTTTAAAGAAATAAAAACAGCTAAAGGTAGTTAATATAGTAAAGTAATAAAAAGTAGATAATAGTTATATAAAGCATTAATATAATAAAGTAAGCTATTTTACTTTTTATTATTTTTAAAAGCTACTAAGGTACCTAACAGGTTAGCCAGCTACACAGGTTAGCTAGCTACTTTTGCTAAGCCTCTACTACACTCTACCTATCTACATAATGCTTTAACAACAACACTAGATTAAATCTTCTAAAGAACATTAGATATAGCTTACTTTTTAAGCTTTTAAATAAAACTTAAAACTTTTTTTATAACACACTATAGCTATTTATAATGTTTTTTACATAACACTAAGTAATTAACGCGCTAGACAGCCTTTATAAGTAGAATGCTAGCTTAAATTAAGAAATCTAACTAAGCTTAAAAAAAGTAGTTATTAAGTATATACTTAAGCTTATTACACATAAATTTCTTTTTAGGCTTATAGCTATAGCTAATATAGCTAATTTCTTACGCGCAAAGCGTAATCTAGGCTAAGTTAGCTTAAACTAGCCTAGTATGTAAGTTAAGCACTGCTCTAAGTTTATAATAAAGTTTAATTATAAGTATAATTATAAAAAAGTGCTTTATAAAAATTTAGAAG